TGCTTACATTTAGCGACTTCTTAGAAAGCACATTTGTGTATTACAGCTTTCTGTCACATCACATTGAAAAAGCCAATATTGCGATAACAATTAACAAACAATATATTGAGCTGCCTCAGGCCAAAGCATCCACGAATGCCCTCTCCCCACGACCCCCAGCTACAGTCAAAGAGTCCGACACAAGATTGATTCATAGTTAATGCAGCCTGACACCCCTATGACTGTGAGAGAGGGAGGCAGAGAAAAGAAGCGATAAAGGGAGAGAGAGAAGGAGGAGGGGGCTCTGCTTGCGGTCAGTGCGAGGAAGAGTTCAGAAGGTCTTTTCCCACACACCGAGAGAGAGAGAGGAAAGAGAAACAGAAAGAGAGATGCTTAGTTCTCAGTGAGCGCAGACATCAACAGATAAAGCTGGGACAGACAGAAAGAGGACCTGACTCTCGCAGAACAAATCTCGTAATTCTACTGTCTAACATCGATTAGACATGTTAGTACTGCTTCTTTAAGGACAAGTGCTAAGAGATGTGATGTGGCTAGGCCTGTCAATCACAAAATTGTAACGATTAATTTGTCGTGGTCGTGACAAAACAAAACAGTAACTTCACGGGAGGAGAAAAAAAAGTTTACCTGTGGTGGGAAGTTAATGGAACAAGACTATTTTTTCCCCAAATAGTTCTGGATCATTTCTATCGATTTATTCATCATGAAATCAATAAATTTTCAAAGGCCGCTGGTGTTTTACAAATTCTGTGAAAAAGGATTTAAACACTGATTCTGACTGTGCCATACGAATAATCACAATATTTCAATTCCTTTTTTTCTTCATTATGTGCAGCTATTAAAGTACAAACATAAGTGGCCAAACTGGCTGATTAGCTATCCTGTTTCTTAGCTGTTGATACTTAGCAGCGCCTTAACGACAGACACAGCTCAAGCTCAGATAAACAAACATTACTCATCACTGCTCTCTAATGGTGTTATAGCACCAGTGAGAAGTTTTTGGAAGACTCATGATATGTCCTAATAATTGTGTTTTCTCCTTTTCTTTATTTACATGTATTTGCCTCAACTAAAGATGTGCAGAGGTACCTGAGTGCTCAGTTAACCGTTCAAGGCAGCAGTATTCAAATACTAAAACCAGTATTCAGGTATCCTTTACATTTAATGATGGCAAGGCATAGAAAATATACAGGCTAACACTTCAGGGAAACATTGATTTTGTTCATGTTTGTGAGTAAGCATGTTCTGTTAAACTGTGCTACTCCCGAGCGCTGAAACGTGAGCGCACTGTCAAGGACGTGTTGTTAAGGATGTGACTGAGAAGGCAGAGATACAGACTATCATTTACTAGGCTAGCTACTCTAGCTGAGGTTAGCTATGTCCACAAACAGTTTCTTTGACAAGAAACATGTTGGCACGTCATCTGCTGATTGGAAAATATTCCAAGTCTTCTTCAGCATCCAGTGTCGCACCGGTTAACTCATCTGAAGAGGCAGCCTCCATTACTAATCCAACACAAAAATGTACCAATGCCCCTTGGCTGTTTTTGATCAACAGATGGTTTCATGTGAGCTGCTTTTTGAGCAACACCAGTGCTGTCACCTAAAAAGATAAAACTACAGCCCTATGTTATTTCAGACAAAAGCCTTTTTTATTTTTTGCTGTTGTTTCTTTCCTTCTCTGCAGTTAAACAGATATGTGTTCACAAACTATCCTTCATGAACATCCCATACCCAGCTGATGAGAAAACACTTCATTCACATTCTGTTTGATGTGACATAAAAAAGCTAACAACTGTGGAAAAAAACTGATCACATTAAATAATTGCTATCAGCTAATTACATAATGACTGTGACAGTCCTAGACGTGGCAGCCAGATGCACAAATTATAATGTAGTAAGGATTTAAAGTATCAAGGCTGTCATGTATCAACTACACATATGCTTACCTAAACTTTCTAACTTTCAGGTAAACAAACAGCAATGCGCCAAAAATAAACTCCTCTGTAGCTAAAGCTTCAAGGCCGGGTGAAGCGGCAGGCTTTTTTCTTACAGGCGGCAAAAAATAAGTGATAAATATATCCATATTAGTCAGTCAACTGTTTGAATCCTTTGCTCCACACGATCCTTAAAACATAAGTGAATCATCAAGATCTATGACAAAAAACAGACAGAGCTGTACATCTTACTGACGAGGCCTCTGTCACATCAAAACCGAGGCATCATCTATCTGCACCTCCATGTGTCACAGATAAGGTAGGCAATCAGAGAGAGAGAGAGAGAGAGAGAGAGAGAGAGAGAGAGAGAGAGAGAGAGAGAGAGAGATACAGTACATGTCCAAAAGTTTGTAGACACCTTCTCATCCAACGTTTCTTCTGAAATCAATGGTATTAATAGGGAGTTTGTCCCCTTTACTTTTCTGGGAAAGCTTTAAACTAACTGTTGTAACATTGCTGTGAAGATTCAACTGTATTCAGCCATAGCATTACTAAGGTCAGGTACTGATGTTCTGAATCCCAAACACCACTCCAACTCAGCCCAAAGCTAGAGGAGTGAGCTCCATCCCTCCAGAGAATGCAGTTCCATGGCTCCACAGCCCAGTGATGGGGGATTTATACCCCTCTAGCAGACGCTTGGCACTTGGTATGGTGGCCTTAGGATCATGTATGGCTGCTCCAGAGCATCTCATTCTACTGTCAGTGCTTTTCTATGGAGAATATACAAGCTTTATGTATACAACTGAACACCTGTGTCAGCAATGGGTGCATCTTAAAGTTAGAAGGAATGTCTGTATACTTTTGAACATATAGTGTATATATGTATCAATATAGATCCAGAATGGCTTGAATATAAACCACCTTATCCCAAAGAACTGCAGTGGATCTAACCCCACGCTACTGCTGGTGTATATACACACGCCACATGAAAAGAGGTCAACAAATAACCCTATTTAATAAACAAACGATAACGAGGTACTTCCTCTACACAGAATTCCCAGTTTACAGCAATATCACCATACAACATGCTGTGCAAATTCAGGCTGTTTTTTTCAGTCTAAATAAGATTTCTGTTTCCCAGACACAAACTTACACTCAACCTATCTGACTGAACATTTTCTCAATGGTAGTGCTTCTGTTAAGCGGAACTCAAAGCCACAGTCTCAGACACGTGATTGATTTTTTCCTTTTTACCCCTCCCACAAGAACTCACAGCAACTTTTCTTGCCAATTATCATCCAACAACTTTTATGGCTATATTAGCTATAAAAGTGCAAATAAATAAATAAATAAATAAAAATCAAGTTTACGGGCTTAGTTTGTTTGCTATTTATTTATTTGGCATCTGCATAACTGAAGGGAGTGCAATGTAGTTCTGAATCATTTCAATTTTAGTGAAAAGCAGGGTCAGATTTTTTGCTTTTCAAAAATAAGCATAGGTATCAGTCTCCAAAAGTTCCTAATTTATTGATTATTTTAATATTTATGTCCATTTGCTTTAAAGGAGAATTTCACCGTTATTTTCAAATTTCCTTACATTTTTAGAATCTGCATAATTCAATCATCAAAATGTAAACAAAGTCATTCAGAGTGGTCTGTTATAGGAACCAGAAGCTGCAATCTCTAAACAAATATAGCCATTTTATTTATTATCCAAAACTCCAGTGAACCTATGCTCCTGAGTTTGTTTTATATATGTAATGTTGATGATGGTAAAATAGTGGAAAATCTGAAAAAAAATTGCTTTAGTGACTATTTTCTTTAGGTCTTTTATGCCTTAAATGGCTTCTTAAAAATCACTTTCTGGCCAAAACTATCTCAAAACTATTATAAAACAATGTTCAGGTACTGCATTCATAAGCATTTCAGGTAATAACTTTCTGTGAGGGATCAGAGACATGAAAACACTTCGGACGTCTGGTTCCCATCACCACCACTGTGAACAAATCTGACCCGGCAAGTTCCTCTAAAACTGAGCGTTTCACATCAAAACACTCTGAATGAGTTTACTTAATTCTGCTGATATTTTTGAAAAAGCGGTGGAACTCCCCTTTAAGAATGGCTGGTTAAAGCACTCCCAGCACAAAAAGCTGGACTGAGCTGTTGTCACACTGACGATAAGACGATTACGATAAGTTACATTACGATAAGTAATGTGGCTCGTTAGGCAGCTGACTTGTGACCAAGACCGATTTCTCTACTTATCGTTACTGTCTGAACTTGTAAAGTAAAGCGATGATAGTACAGAGCTGGACAAGAGGTTATTACAGTAGCTATAACCAATCAGAGAGTCATCTGCCATTCAAAACTTCAAAACACAGCACTGCCCTTTAAATCCTTAACTTGCTCCACAACAGAAAAGCAGGCGGCACAGTCAACTGAGCTACATCTGGAGGAAACTATCGTTGAATAAAATAAATTCAACCTCGAATGCAGATATGAAAAAAGAGTTGAGTTCCGATCTTCGTGTTGCTGAAGCGGGTAGCTACCTGACGGCAATGAACTTTACATACCCTGTTTTAGTGTTAGTGACTCCGCTATTTGGAAAACGAAAAGACCAAAACTTAAAAAACGACATAACGGCGAGAGAAAACCAGGAGCAGGAACCAACAGGCACGAAGCTGAAGTTAGTTTCTTATTCGAATTTCCCGTTCCACCTTAAACCGTGCAGCAGTTACATTCAGGAGCCTCAGGCGCCAGAATGTAACTACTGCACAATTTAAGGTGGAACGGAAAATTCAAATAAGAAGCCAACTTCAGCCTGGTCCAACAAGCGGTGTTGTGGTGAAACACAAAGCGTCAAAAACAGACAACCGTGTTTGTAAAGGTCTGTTAACACTGTCGGACTACTCCGGCTTTCGGTCTCAGCCAGCAGCAACTGAGTATCAAGATGTCGAGCTCGAAACAAGAGCAGCCGCATTGAAAAGCACATCCCGAACGGCTTTAAACTGTTATGGCAACGTCGCTGCAGCTTGGACGTTTTTCATTTGCCACCTCGAACACTTACCGGTTAAAATATGCGTCCACCGAAACACGCCAGCTCCTTTAAGCCACTTCTGAAAGCTCCGCCATCTTCAGCACTAGCTGTGTTTGTTTAAATGGGAAACACTCCCAAAGCGCAGAGAAGCCCTTACTCCGGCCGCGGCCCTTGGCATTCTGGGTAATGTCGTCTTTCATAGCAGCAGAGCCGCTCCGTCTGCGTTAGCGCTTCGGGGACAAAAAAACTACAAGTTCACGAACCCCCTCGGAATGAAAACAGATAGCCACTAGGAGATGCGAAGTTGTAGCGATATCACAGAATATATAAATATATTTATGTAGATATATATTTAACGTGGGTTTATTTTTAGCTCGTAAAGAGAATCGTCTCGTAGGACAGCCTATCCACAGTGACTATGCGCGAATTTGCATACTGCAGAATGTTGAACTTCTTGGTTGTAATAAAACCTAGTCTATCATTTGGTCACTTTTCCACCTATTAGAAATGTAAATATACCTTTAAACAACAACAACAACAACAACAACAACAACAACAATAATAATAATAATTAACTATATGCAAGTAATATGGAATTGTCTCTGCTGAAGTTACATAGTAATAAATATACAACTTTCTGTAATGAACATTTAATGCAAAGTTACTAGCCAAGTAATAAAAACAGCAATAATATGTTGCACAGTATCAGTCAAAAGAGTACATAAGGTAAGCCTTATACAAGAGGCAACATGGACTTTGGCCTTATGGAGGCATGTGTATGTTACTGTGCATTTGTTTTCTTTCATTTGTCAAAGCATGTTGGGTAAAGATCACTGATATCTACAGGATCCACTGATGTTGCAGATGCCATGGCCTCCAGAGACCAGACTCAGACTCGTCTCCATGGTGACCTCTTAGGCATACCAGTGTTGAATTTCAACTGTTGGAGAAGGAGACAGTGCTAAAGAGGGAGGAAGGGAGAGAGACACACAAGGGGAGAGAGAGAGAGAGAGAGAGAGAGAGAGAGAGAGAGAGAGAGAGAGAGAGAGAGAGAGAGCATGGACATGGGTGGAAGGAGGGAGGCAGGAGGGGGAAGGGAAAGAATTGAGTGGGGAGCTGTTGTAATTAGCTCATTGCTTGCTGTTTCCTGTCATGACTGCAACACAGGCCTCTAATCTCATCTCAGCAAGAATGTGGATATACAAATGGTGCATTAAACTTAGTAACCCGATCTACAGCAGAAAAAAACTTCTATTTCCTCTTAAATTCAGAGCTTCATTTTCATGTGATTTATACTATAAATCATATTTATACTATATATCCGACAGGAGATTAAAAGAGAGTTCAGATAGAACTTCTGATTTATCAGTTCTGTGACATTCATATGAAATCAGCTCCATGTCTGGTGCGTGAGGATCTCAATGTGTGTGTGTATGTGTGAAAAAAGAATGAGAACGCCTCAATAACATTCCTCAGAGACCCAACAGAGGCCCACAGACCTGTTTGTGCCCCTCCCCCCACTTGCCGGCAAAAAAAAAAACCCTTACCAAACCCCCCATGAGTGAGAGATGCTTTCCCCTCCAACCCCCCACCCTGCTTTGAAAAGGACAGGAGATAGCAGTTTGAAAGGACAGGAGATAGCCCCTAATCGCCTGCGCCTATACATCGCCTACCTGCAAACACCCAATCATTCGGCTCTTCTTCTCCTCACCCATCCCCCCAACCGGCTTAAGTGATTGGCAGAGTCTGAGAGAGGATCACATCTAGCCCTAATATGCAAAAAAGACCATTGAGAAAACAAGTCAAGTCCCCTGACTAATTGTAAAGATAGGATCGGTCCAAAGTTAGATATTTAAATGAGGCATTGCCATTGCTATTGTTTTTTTCCCACAGTATATGTTTTATAAAACCTCAACAGTGTAAACAAATCAAATTTGTTCTCCTTTACTGTCTATGAGTTCCTTGCAGGTACCTGACACAAACACAATGGAGCAGATTCTGATTATCACTAGAAAGTCACTCCTTGTGTTAATTTGTTTGAATTTCTATATTTTCTTAAACGTATGGGTGGGTAAAAACCAATGCTCAGTATGTAACACATTGCTCTGTCTATCATCAAGATGTTTCCCTGGCTTAGACTCCTCCTGTGTATGTGTATTTTGATTTATTAATGCAGCAGGGAGCCTCACAGACAGCTGTCCTCAGCAAAGCTCTCAGGAGCAAGAAGAGCCAGCAAGCTGAACAGCTCCCTCTAGTGGTCCTCTTAGAACATGAGAAGGCAATCAAGCACAAATCTCAACAGGAAAACATTGTTTTGTAGTAAAATGGATCACATTAACTCTGTCTATAAGTGTGGCTTGTTCCGATCAGCAGGGAGATTTGAAGACATCAGCTTCATCTTCACCACTCATCTTTTCTAGTGACTGCTCAGCTTGGAATGATACAATTCTGCCCCCATTGAAAAGAACTACAGAAGTACTACAATAATTTCTGTAGAAGATCTATTGGAATCTTAAAAGGGAATTCAATACATTTTTTAAAATAATAACTGAGAATCGAGTCATTTAGAGTGATTTTGATGTGAAATGGTGCCTTGTACTGAAACCTACTGATATCTTTACAATGGTGGTAATAGGAACAAGGCGTTGCAATGTCTACAATGCAAATATGAATTACAGTAAATTTTATTTACTATCAAAAACGACCAGTGAATCTACACGTCTTCTGAGTGTGTTTTTATTTGTGATCTTTATAATGGTAAAGTAATATTTTGCCTCACAATGCCATGCATGTACCCGTCGACAATGATTGGCTTTTTAAAAATACATTACTGGCCAAAACAGAATGCTCATGAATACCATCAGGTATTCATAAGCACTTCATGCAATTGCTTTCTATGATGCAGCATTCAAAGGCATTAAACACTTTAGACGTCTGGTTCCTATCACCACAGGTGTGAATAATTCTGACTTGGGTAAGGTTCTCGAGAACTGAATATTTCACATCAAACCACTCTGAATGTCTTAACTTACATCTTAATGAGTAAATTATGCAGAAATTTTAAAGTAAATTGGGACAATAGGTATAGTTTACTACAAGGTACTACACGAGTAGTATAGATTACTAGATATTATGACAAAAATATTTTACAACGATGAAAATATATATAATTACAGAAGTATTACATAGCATTACAGAAATCTTAGAGTTTCTCATTGTACAGTCTGGAGGATCTGTTGCATGGTACAGATGTCACTGCAGCTCTCTCTTCACTCTAACAAATAAGACCAACCAACACTACTCAAGTGAAAATCACTTAGAGGCTGAGCTTCTCTTCTGAGCTGAGATGCTCTTATAGTCTGCCACTAATAGGTACTGACACTGAAATAGAGATTTAACCCTGGACTAAAATTGCATTAGAACAACAAGAGACACTAAAAGATTAAGATGGGTGGCACCAAAGCTTAACACATGCATGAATCAGTGACAGTGGAATAAACGTTTGTGGTCTGACTCTCAAATTCTGATGCCACATATCCAAACTGTCTTATGTCCAGTGATATTATGCTTTGCGATGAGAGTTTGTCTAGCGAAATCCTCTGGAAGTAAACGTTGTGCTGTGACCAGGCCTGTGGTGGTGCTGCCATCTGACCTTGGAAATCCAAGGTTTCCAGGGAGTCACCAAGACTTGAGCTCCAGCTCCTAAGGTCAGACACTGCAATTTGAGATCTTCTGAATAAGGGTCTGCATTTGCCCTGTGCTGGAAACAACTGCTATAATTCTACAGTAAATGTACAATAAAGTTTACAATAACACTATTTACCTTATAACAGTGCTTGTTATGTATTTTGCGAGCTGATGTCTAATCTTAACTCTGCTAATTTACAGTAAGTTTCTTTAAAATATATGTAAAAGAAGTACAATGGTAGCTTGAAATTCTACAAGATTAACACAAAATAAGTAAGATTTAATGAAAATATGATTTACTGTATATGTAAAGTTCAAATAGATTAGAAATAATAGAAAATTGGGCAGTGCTATAATTATTCCAAGCAGTGGTGATAAGAACCAGAAGTCTGAGGCGTTTAATGGCTAAAAGATACCGCAGAAGTATTTTTCTTGAAATGGTTATGAATATGTTGCCTGATGCCTAATGCATTATTAGGTTTTGGCCTAAAACTTATTTTTAAAATAAGCCATTAATGGCTGAAAGGTGCGTGCAGGGCGTTATAAGGCAAAAACGTACCCAGACAACCTTAAAGTGATTGACTTTTTTTTACTTTACCGCTATTAACATAACATTACACAAAAACACTGTTTATTTTGGATAGTATATAAAATGACTGCTTGCACTGTAGACATTGTGACTCCTGGTTCCTATTATCACCATCGATTGTAAAGAAATCCGAGTTGGTTAAGTTTCTCAAACACCCTGACTGTAAATTATCTTACAGTAAAATACGGTAACGTTGGCTATATGTGCAGTTCTCTACAGCAGTTCTAGTGTGACCCCAACGCGGCACGTGCACTGAGGTAGCTAAACGTTGGAGTAGCCGCTTTTGTGGTAACACCCTCAAAACTTCACCTCATTATGGACAGTATTAATATTAAACAGCCTTTCGTGAGATTAGGAAAACCTCGTATAGGCAGACTGGCTGTCTGGCGTCTGAAAATAAAGTAAGTTTCTCTCCAGCGCTCCTGCTCAAAGTTTCTGGACTCTGAGGGAAAGATAAGGTATGCTAACGTTAGCAGATAGAGTTAGCGAGCAGATTCACAATACGTACCTAAACAAGTTTTAATGCCCCAAATACTGAAATTATTTTATTTTTGCCGTTATGTACGCAGAGAAAGCATATTAGGCTTGTAAGTTATTTAAGTAGCTACATTGTACTGGCTAAGCTGTTGTCTCTCACAGGTAACGTGCGAGAGGTAGGCTAAGTGAGCTAACTCGCTAACGTACCTCACTGTTAGCTAACCTAGTTAACCTAGCTAGCTAACGCTAGGGTAGACAGAACCCGCACCGTGAGCTGTAGAGATGTGTCCGGTTTAAATAATGTTTTGACAGCCATTTGTCCAGATAATTTTGTGCCGGGTAGCCATATTCAGTGACCCATACATAGTTTACCACACGTTTTTCTTTGTTACAGAAATTTGGCTCAAAGTCTTCATATATTAGCTCACTTCTCATACGGAAATCTGATAAATGGCAATATAGCTGTAGATTTCAAATATAAGACATAAATGGGCATATATGGATTTCCCTTATATCCGTTTTATAATAGTTACATATGGACAACAGTTAGCGTTATATATGTGACATGTAAGCCAACGTATTTGAAATTGGCAATTTTCAAGTACGGGACATGTAGCGTTATTTCAGTCATCTATCAACATAACGCAACAACGTTACATCATACATAACATATATGTACATATGTTCTGAAACATATGCCTGATCCTTTATGATATATGTGCAAATATGGTCATATATAATTTCCCATATGGGCTGCCACTCTCATAAGAGTTAAACAAAAAAGTCTTTTAATTGGTAAAAGTCAAGAAGTTTATATTTAACAGGGAGAGGACAGATTAAGAAATTAATTAATTTATTAATTAATAAGCAAACAAGTATTATTCATACTGCGGACTGAATATGATTTGGCAGAATGCACATAAACATGTACATTTGAGACTGAGCAGTTAGAAATATTGAAGCCATAAACCGAGACAGGCGAAAACAACACCCGAAAAACATGCTTTTTAGGTCACTTGGAACCCAACATTCATTTGAAATGTGATCTACGTGTCTATTGTATTTCTTTCTGTTACCATTGGATGGCGCAGTAAACGTGAAACGTAAACAGCATGTCATGTCACTTAAAGCACGTTTCCTTTCTGCATTGCATAATAGAAATTGCTGTGTTGATTTTCTACTTCTGATTAAAATAGCTAGTCACTGTGCTGGTTATGGTTAATAAATATCTGGGCAGTGTTAATTGACAACAGTCTTTTCAGATGAGTGGCCAAACAGACAGATTGGTGCCTCTAAGGTCACATTCATAATCTGTGACTTACTTTTAAGAGTTATGTTGGCTGTAATGCTCCTTCTGCATACTGAGGTGGCCTCCTGACTCTTGGGCTGGAACATTTTAATAGGGATTTATCAGTATATTTGGATATAATGTTTATGTTTAATGTAAAATCATGCCTGTAAGTTGAACAGAGCCCAAGTTTGCTATGCAACAAACAAAAACATGCAGCAAGTGGCTTTGTTTTTAAAACGTTAAATGGATTCACACCTATGTATATTGCTATCCTTTGCCTATATGCTCCTACAAGGTCCCTAAGGTTAGGTTGTCAGTTACTTTTGACTGTTCTGCGGTCTCAGTTCAAATGAAGGGTGATTCTGCCTGTGCTGTTTCTGTGCCATGAATTTGGAACAATCTAGCAGACAAAAAGCGCCGTCAATGATTGGTTTTAAGGCCAGGATTAAATAAATTTAGTAACTGTTGAAAGTTTTGCTCTTATTGAGGACTTTGTGTAGCATTGTCAGTGTTTTCCTTGTGTGTAAATGAAACAGGTGTAAGTGGAGAACTGACACGTGGACAAACGTTCTTTAATTGTAACATGCTTTAGTTTTAATTGTATTATGTAAATAAACGTGCTTATTTACTAACATATATATATATATATATATATATATATATAGAGAGAGAGAGAGAGAGAGATGAGATAGATATAGACATATATGTATATTAATTATATATATATATATATATATATATATATATATATATATATATATATATTACTAAAGGCTGCATTTTTAACATATAAGGAAAATCAAAGAGTAGAGGGTAAACTGAGTAGAAGTTCAGAAGACATATGTTTGCTGGCACAAAATCTACCAGGTTGCGGGTAGCATTTTGTTCTGTGTCTATAGTTTGGTGTATTATTGCTTGTCATCCGGATTGCCTCTTGTTCTTAAACTGGTGTTTTTACCACCGATGGGTGAAGAGATTTGGTTTGTCAATGTTGAGTTAATAGTGGGCTTTGAAAGTGTAGAATGTGAAGTACATACTTTATGAAATGAGTGTATTCTTTGGCTGTGCATTCAAGCCCCCCCCCCCAAAGTGTTACAGTGTTTCAGTTATGATGTTATATTAACTTAATCATTTAGTATCTGCCTTCCGTAACAACTACCACTCCTGCCACAACAAATTATACTGACACACCTGACATCTGTGAAATATTGAGGTTATTGGCAGTTATAACCCATTAAATAAGCCATTAAATTATTGCCTCATTGAAGTAGTCTGCATAATGTAACACTGAGCTGATCAGTAGCCTCTCTGTCTGTTTACTCTTTTGTATTTGACTTTTTCTTGGTGGCTCATTTAACTTAAAAGACCGTAAAAACAAAGGCCCTTTTTAACTGGATGGCTTTGGGCCTGTGTTGAGAAACCCTTCTGTTGCTTTGCTTTTTAAACACCCATGTTAAATTAAGTTGGAAAAACATTTCCCTCTTATGTTGGACGTTGGAAAATATGTTGTCTCTGGACCTGTTTTGGGTTTTTAAACGTGGATTTCTTGGTCAAGGCCTAGCTCCTCTCCCTCTGTCCTTAACCCAGCTATAGGCTGCCTTTGCTGAACAAAAGGCACTCAGTCAGGAAACGTTTCAGCCAATCAGCTGCTGTCTTCCATCCTGCCGGAGAGTGTCATCCAATCGCAGTGCAGCTTTTATCAACATGCTGGCTCGGCTGGCTTGGAGTGCCGAGGCTGTGCTCTCTGTAGAGAGAGAGGGCTGAGGGCTGTCCTCCATGTTTTAATAAGCATTGACATTTCACACAAGTCTTTTTTAGCCATGCATCCACAGAGGTAAGGTTGATTTTCTATTGTTTCATTTCCTCTTTAGCATACCTGCTAATGTTGACTAATGCCTTAACACAGGAATAATGTTCTTATTCAGGGGTGGTGGAAAAGAAAGATTCCTGTCCCAACACTATAGAGCTGGATCCTGACAGGAACAGGGCTCAGCAGTCTCTCTCTATGTCTCTGCAATATTTGTGAGCCCTTTGGATCACATGGTTAAGCTGTGAGTGTACACAGATGACCATGACAAAAGTGGCCTTCTGTGCTTTCTCTCAGCTGTAATGTTGATCAGGCTGGAGGGAGCAGGGCTGAGAGAGGAATACAGTAGTGTGAAGTGCTGTCACAGGCCAGCCCTCTCAAAATGGAAGGCCTTGTGGGTCAGGCAGCAGCAGCCGAGGCTGTAAGAGGAAACCCAAACTCAGCTGCATTATTGACTGCCTTGCATTATATAGGCTACTGGATTTGTTAGATTACTGCTGACGGTGTCTTTTGCTCATGAATGTATGCTGATTCTTAAAAAAAAAAAACAATGACAGTTTGCTTCAGCTTATAGATTTGCTTCGCCCACACAATAGAAATTTGTAGCCTGTATTCTTCACACAGATATAGTGTATCTTTGTACGTGTTTAGTTTCAGTTTCAGTCTGAGAGGTTTCTGGGTTCAACATAGGGTTCTAGAGTTCTTTGCATTGATTTAGGCTTTGTAGGTTGTGTGATACAGTGCTTTTTGTCAACATGGTACTTGTAGCAGTTGGCAGCCATTTCAGACAGCTTCCCTTTTTGGCTGTGTAGCTGAAAGGCCTTGTCCTGTGTACTGTACACATGCATTGAGGACAAGTGGCTGTATCATTTTGCATAAAAAACATGCAATCGCTGAATCATGGTGGCCACAAACAGGAGCACACTGCAACGTGTGGGTGACACATCCATACTAACTAAACACATTGAAAGTATATTACAGTATACTGTGTTCAGATTGTCTAAGATATTAACAGCACACTACAATATTTTACAGGTTTATATCAGAAGTATTTGGACTGGCACCACTCAAGGTTTTGTTTATAGTTGGCTGATGTGACTTGGCTGTTGGTGGAAGCAGAAAGCAGGGAATCCCCCTGAAATAATGCAAACCTTAATGCATACTCTGGGGCCAAAATATCAGCCTGGGCTTTTTTTAGCCCTCAAGCTACAGATGGCGAGTGTCCTCAAAATCACTGGTGCCCCAGACTCAAGTCAATTCTGTTTGACGATGCCTCAGTTGCCTTAATTGATTAAAGCTGCTGATCCTGGCAAATCATCTGACCTTACCTGATTGAAGGTTACATTCGCTTATATGTTGTATTTTTACATTTAATCAATGATTTAGAAAGTAAGCATTGTGTTTCATTAGTTGATTACGAATCTAACCCTTTTGAGGATATTCCTAGAGCATTCTGTATTTTATTAGTGGATAACGAAACTCTGGTCATTTGACCCGGCAATAGGAAGAGCACCAATAGTCTTAGTTGGTTAATTATTACAATATACACTAGTAATTGTGTTTTACAATGTACCATATGAAGTTACACATAATAATAGTAAAAATAATAATCCATGTAGGCCAAGTTATTATAGCTACTGAGGTGTATATACATTAAATAATCCTGAGGGAAGGGCTGAAGGGTATTTTCCAAGATTGTCGGTGAGGCGTGTTATGTTTTCTTTTTGGTTACGTTGTTTGTCTCTGCATGTGTTTGTATGTCTGTGTTTGTATGTGTGTGCGCAAGGCCCTCTCTGCATTCCTGCGAGCCGCTGTACTGGCAAAGCTTGTGTTCTCACAGTTGCCACGGCGAGCTTACAACATCTACAAAATGGACGCCCGAGATTGCTCTTAACCATTAGAGAGAGAGAGAGAGAGAGAGAGCAGGAAAAAAAGGGACAGGAGGCAACCTGATACATGTTTGTTGTAGTGCAGCAGCACATATCTTGTGCTCATACACGCTTGCCTTGTGTGAAGGTTTGAACAGAGAAGTGGAGTGTGGTTTGGAGAGTATTTTTGATGGTGGATGGCAGCAGCAGCCCTCCCTGCATTGCAGCAGCGGATCAGAGCAGAGAGAGAGGAGCAGGGAGAGCCAGTGTGCCACACAGCATCTACCGCCCAATCACGCGCCTCCGTGTGGCTCTCAAACCAATCGGCAGCCCACAGCTGAGGTTAAAGATTGACAATCGCACTGAGAGCAGCAGGGAGAGCAAGGCCCTTCTGGAAAATTCTGCACCCATCTTTGTCTCATCCCTTAAAGCTATTGCAATTGAGAAAAAAAAGAAAAAAAGATATTAGGCAAGGGCCCTGCCTGAAGAATCTGTGTACTGTGCACGTAAAGAAAAATAAGGTATGATGTTATTATGTGTCAATTGTTTTACATTGAACTTTATTGCGATGTCAGTGTGTTATGCGATTTAAGGAAGAGCAAAATGATTATATATGCATTGTGCTGTCTTGCTGTATGAGGGTTTTGTGCCAGCAGTGATATCGATTGTGCAAGGGAAATGGCTGTTGCTAAGGATAGATGGTGGATGCAGGTTTGAAGAGGATAGAGGAGGAGGCCAAGATGGCAAGTGCACAGCCTCTGCAGATGTCTTGTGTGTGTGCTTTCATTTTCTCCCCTAAAGGTGCACAGAGGGGGAGAGACTGCAAGAATCAGACCAAAAGACCTGCCTTGGAAGGCAAAGATGCTGCTGCCTCAACAGGAATATTATTATTTTTTTCAAGATTTGGGATCCTGTAGCTGAAATACCTTCGACTGATCCGTATAATACCATATTTATAATTATGATCGAATGAGATTTTTATCTCTGAGCTTCACCGAGTCGTTGGAGGACGTGTGGAAATAGACATTGCTACTCCTTTTTTCTATTCTTTGTTTAGACTGATTGACTGCAGATAGCGAATGGCTGTTTTCTTGATGGAGCAGTGCAATGGTGGGCATATGTGGCAGGGAGCAGGGCACAGGGAGGAGAAAGAGGAAAAAAACAGCAGAGCAGTGGTGGCTGACTGTCATTTTGGAACCATTCAGCCTGCAGAGTGACACAGACAAGGACATTATTACATGGCTGAAATTGTATAGCTGAAGATTTTATACCTTTATGCTGGACAGGGAATTAAAATACTCATAATAATGACATCATGCGCAAGGCCATCCCTGGGTTTGGTAATAGGCTTGGAAGCATCCAATACAAAGAATTAACAAAATGTATTTGATGTTTTTTGACAGTAGATCAATACAGTGCTATGTATATACCACCTTTCTTTTTCCCTGGCTGTCCTCGTGATTAGGTTGTATGTTGCTGGTGGCATTCTGGAGTGAGAGAAGGCAATTTCAACCCCACCCACTGGATACATTATTCAGTTTTCACTGGGAATTCTGCCTTTTGCTGCTAAATTAACAGTGGCTCTATCACCTATAGCGATTATTCGTACTGTTTCCAGTTAAATCCACTGTTGCTCTATACTTTAATGATAATGTTGACGTTTATATTGTTTATGTTTATCGGTTTAAGGTTGTGGACCACATGAAAAATTGTAATCATCTGAAAACCGGATTTTTATGCCATATAAATTGTCTGTAGGATCAGAGATGTAATTGTTTGGATTTTTTTGTTTGTTTGTTTTATTTTAGTTTTGGCTCTAAGGTTTCCTTCCTATGACACAACTGTGGAATAGAGACTTTCTCATTGATGGTGGATTATTTACTTTTGTTCATGGGAAACAAGTAATTGTTCCATTTGTGCACTAGGACTCATTTTGTCAGTATTTGCTCACGGACTACAGACCTCTGTGAATGGTCTCCTGCAACGGCACTGAGGGAGACCATGAGCTTATGTCAAAGGAGCTCTTTCACTGAGAAACTTCACTCTCTCCCACATTCAAAGCAGTGGAAATAATAAACCGGAGACGACAAATTCAATGAGACATCTTGGCTGCATCAAAGCTTCAGTCTCCCTGCCCCCTCCTGTACCCCTACTTCCTTAACTGGTGAAACTGAAATTTCTGAATGAAAGTACTACAGTGCGCAAAACTGACTTGTGTTCTGGTTTGCAAACATTTTGTCACAAGCTTTGTGTAACATAATGGTGTTTACCACACTGAAAATAAAATTTAATGTTAAATTGCCTTGCCTATAATAAGTAAAGTTAGATATTGGGAGGGCAAAGGTCAGCGCATGACTCCTCATATGGCTTTTAATAGTAATAGTAATGAAGCATTGGCAAGTGTGTCAACATGTTTAGAGGAGAATACTAAGCATTCAAGTATTCTGACCATGTAAAAAGCTGTAATTCTTTTATCCCTGTGAGAACACAGCCACCTGTGTTTTAGAAAATGGCACAGCTGGGTCTTCAACCTGAAATCACATTGCTTACTATTTATTTTACTTAAAGTTAATTGATCAGCACAGTCAAGCAAATGCGGTTTTTACACATTTATTTAAAATAGACATGGTAAAAACTACAATAAAAGGCTCTTATAATGAGTAAGTTCTCTTTTGTGTGCAGTTTGGCTGAAGAAGAAGTGAAGGCAGAATCAGATGTGAATGAAGGGATGGAGATTGCCACACGATCCAAAGGTGAGGAGACCATGTGGTCAGTTTTTTAAAGATGTGGTTGGACCAGAAATCAAATTTGCGCCCTAAATGCAGTTGATCCACAAGAACATGTCTGGTGCCAGATGTTTGCTTCTTTAGTTTTGCACTAGAGCTACAAGGCTGACATAGCTGACAAGTAAAAAAACTTATAGTTAACAGTTTATCAGTGTGCAAACTGCATGCCTAAATCATCACACACTTGGCTCAGACAACGTCAAGTTGTCTATAAAATCAAAGGGACCATATATGGGCAAACACAAATTTTTCTCTTTTATAAATACTTACAAATTGGTAAGACTTTATCATTTATTATAGTGTACAACAGTAATATAAAGTAGGTATTATTACAGTAGGTTAATAATTGATTAATAACCTCAGGTTTCAAGGAGTTATGTTGTATCAAACAGACTTGCTTATGTGGTTTTTGACACTGTATGACGTAGTTTATCAATTAAAATCCATTTTGCTCATATTTTTGTCAGTTTTTCAAGCTCAGTGTGGTTTATGACAAGTGTGTAACGATTTAGGCATGCAGTTTGGACAGTGCTAAACTGGTGGTTATATACTTCTATTACTTGTTAGCTACATTAGCCCTGTAGCTCTAGTACAAAACTGAAGACACAAACCACTTAATCACAACAATTTTAGCTGATCAACTACATTTTGGGTAAGAGGAAAATTGTGCAAATTAGATATTTGGCTGAACGATCTCTTTAAAATTACTAAAGAAATATATTTATATCACTGTGCAGAAGTAGTCCTGACATATTTTTATCTTAGCCTTCCATGTATGTTTACTTTGTACAGTGTCTGATTCAGCATCCGCAGAGCGCACTGCCACTAAACGCAAAGTGCCCAGCCCGCCTCACTCTTCCAATGGACACTCTCCTTCAGAAGTGTCTCCGAGCCCTGTAAAAAAGAAGAAGAAACCAGGAGCCGTCAACAACAGCAAAGATCAGGTACGGCTTGCTTAACTCACCTCTAAAATACTAGTTCAAACTTACTTAAATTGTCTTTTGCTTGACTGTTCAGTGGTGATATAGAACCACCTCAAGCTATAATCAGTCATATTAGTCATTATCCTAATGCTGTGCCTAGCCAGTGCAGATGGAAGTATAAAACATACCAAACACAAAAAGGTGTCAAAGAAAGTTATTTATTCTGTCACTATGCCAGATTAATCTTGTCTTAATTTTTAAGCAGTGCTGACAGCTTGTATTCTAGCTCCCCAATTAGTCACACCTCAGAACCTTAGAAGAAACAGAAACACACTTATGGGCATATGTGAAATCATTTTCTAGAGTACTGTGAGGATCTCCATGTACTTAGTGATACTCCTCAGTTCTAAATTGGAATACCTCTCAGTTGTGTGTGTGGATAAGAGAGTCTGTTGTACTTTGAAAGGGCTGGCAAATTCCTTGGCCAACTCAGAGATAAAAAAATAACTGCAATTGATTTATTCTTTTAGTTGAAGCCCTGGTGTAGGGTTGTTTTTCTTTTACAAAGACCAAATAAAGATTGGCAGATTTTCACAATAAGGCAAGTGAGGTCAGTGTTGCTGCAATGCTATAAAAGAACATGCTTAGATATTTATTATAACTGATTGAAACTGTCATTGAAAAAAATGAGAGATTTTCTTGTGGACTTTTCACATATTATATCATGCTTTCTTAATACTTAGTTAATTTGAATTTATGATCTGAAAACAAATAATTACAAACTACATATGCTGTAGAGCAGAAATGGGTAGAGTAGCCTAAACCTATACTCAAGTAAAAGTACCTTTCCAGTTAAACAACTTTAGCAGAAGAACAAATGTGTCAGGTCAGAAAAACTACTTAAGTACTGAGTAACTTTAAGAACTGCAGCAGCACTTCTTAGTATGTCCAGCATCTGTCAGCTTAGAAACAGATGTTTGTTTTGCTAAATTTTTCTCTTTTTTGCTTGAATGTAAATAAATTTAAAAAATAAAATGATAAACTTCAAACATCAGTGGTGTGACCAATCGCATAACGCTACAGATGTTCCTACCAATGTATTGAAACTGCTTACAAACAAAGGAATTAGTAAGGAGTAGGAATAGAAGTAAAAGTATATTCTCTGGAAAATATAAATCCATCAATATGTTACTTGAGTATATATTACTGAGTAGATGGAACTAGTTACTAGCCACCTCTGCTGGGGAGTATCCTCTGCATTATTCATTTAATTACATCCTTCATGCGTGTTACCTGTTTGTGTCGTAACCTGCAGTACATGTATTTTGAAACCCCACTTCTCGTGTTTTTCTCGCCTGCATTCCAGTCCGAACTAAGACATGGTCCCTTTTACTATGTGAAGCAGTCCGCACTCACCACAGACCCTGTTGATGTTGTACCGCAGGACGGGAGGAATGATTTCTACTGCTGGGTGTGCCATCGTGAGGGCCAGGTGCTCTGCTGTGAGCTCTGCCCGCGTGTCTACCACGCTAAGTGCCTCAAACTGGCCGCAGAGCCCGAAGGGGACTGGTTCTGCCCTGAATGTGAGGTACCAGCTCACTCTAACACTGCTACTGCCACACAAGAAATAGCTGTACCTGAGGCCAAAGACAACTGGTGCTATTTAAAGACATAATGTTATTGTTTTGCATACTATGGAATTGTTGACCTAAGAGAAATGCCATCTAAGAAAATGTATGTGAGCCAAAATATAAAAATGATTCACTTTTAAAAGTCACTGATTTGAAACTGCTCACTGAATGGGAAAATGGGCAGTGTTGTGCCTGTTTCCATGGATAAAAATTACTTTAAAAGAGCTTGAACTCAAAACCTTATTTTCTCAAAAAATGAAATATTGCCATATGTCATGTGAAAATGTCTTTAGGTATCCTGATATTATATTTTTGCCATATTGCCAACCACTAGGTTTTAATCAGTTAAATACATTACAGTATAATCACATCACTTTCCTGTTTTTCCTTTCAGAAAATAACTGTCGCAGAGTGCATTGAGACACAGAGCAAAGCGATGACGATGCTCACTCTGGACCAGCTGTCTTATCTACTCAAGTTTGCTCTCCAGAAGATGAAACAGCCTGGTGTAAGGGTTTTGTCTCCCACTCAGACTGATTGATGATTGCATTTGGAAGCTAGTCTCTTGATTTGGCAACTGCCTGCTGATAGCCGTATCATTTTCCAAATACTCTACAAATTAACTAGCAGTAATGGAGTCCCTTAACTCCTGTCCCTCCATCCCAAATCTCTTAACATTTTCTTCCCTCTATTATTGCAGTTCTTGAGCAGGATTGTGTAGTTTTTTTTTAACCTAGCTATTTGTTCCAGTCCAGCTAAGAGTTTTCCAGTTGCTTTTTTCTTCTCCAACTTTGTAGCATTTTTAAGTTATGTTTTCCTCAACATAAATTTGATCTCTTACTTTAGATGCTTGCTGAGCTCCATGTGCATTTTTTGTGTGAGGAACTCAGCCAAGAGTGGTGCTGGTTGTATCAGAGCATGTGTTGGTTGAATATGCAGAACGCCTTCACCGTCGTACTTTATTTTAGCATCAACAACGCACTTCATCTCTGTCCTTCCATGCTGTCAGCTCTCAGAGAAAAGCTTATAATTGAGTAAACAAACCCTGAGAAAAGCACCCACTACTGTATTCCAACCAATCTCCTCTTTATACCCTCCTCTTTTAATACATTTTGAGTAGGGTGTTCTCATTTGTTCTTGATGTAGACTTGTGGGCCTGTGGGTTCTATGGGTTATGTGGGATTGTGATCTGAAGTTTTTTGGGCAATGGCAACCATCCAAAAGTCACTAAAAATGTAACTGGCCATGACTTTGTTATATAAAAGCATCCCTGCTCTACGGTGTAATTACCAGCATTGCTTTAACCTTTGGAAATTGATAGTTACTGCACTTGCTATACATTACTATTAATCCATTTTATGTAATTACATAATAAACTACATGGCGAGATAACGGTTAATTATTGTAATTACATTATTATATATTATATTAAACTTAACATTCTGTATCAAACTTCAGCCTTTTTCTGTCAGTTTAACGTCAAGGAATTCAAATAAGAATAATTGTTGGGAAGACGTTCTTTTACTTAGGAACACAAACGTAGTACCAATTGATAGTTGCTAATAGAACTTCCAACAGAAATTCTCTGTTTTAATGCACTTTCAATGACAAATGAATAATACAGAATAACACTTTGTTTTACATGGAATAGAATTGGACTTTGTGATAACTGGGATTTTATTTAATATTAAATAATCTCTCCACAAGCAAGATAATTTTAATGCTCAAATACTTTTTATGAAACTAGCTCTGGAGCTGAGGTCTGTTTGACACCCTTTTGATTCTGCTGCACTGCAGTGTAAAAAGTACAGACAAGGCTTCCTGTAAATGCCACATCTTTCTGAGACTCTCTGTTCACTGTCTTCTTTTTCTCTCTCTAGACAGAACCATTTCAGAAGCCAGTGTGTCTTGAGCAACATCCAGATTATGCTGAGTATATTTTTCATCCCATGGATCTCTGCACATTAGAAAAGGTAAGAGCAGCACAGCAGCTTCCAAAAAACTTATCTCGCAGTGGTTTGCATTTGTTTCTGTATTGGATATGTTAAAGGTTTTTTTTCACTCTCATCTAGAATATCAAAAAGAAACTGTATGGTTCTACTGAAGCTTTCTTGGCTGATGTGAAGTGGATTTTGCACAACTGCATTATTTACAATGGAGGTTGGACATAACACCCCTACAATTATATTGATCTTCTGTTGTTAATGGTTTGTTGGAAACATTGTAAATCGTGTTTTATTTTCTTCCAGGAAATCATAAACTCACAGCAACAGCTAAGGTTATTGTAAAAATCTGTGAACATGAAGTGAGTAAAACAGATTTTAAGAACTGTTTTATAAATCCAAACATAAAAAAATGAAAATACAGAGTTTGGTGCCAGTTGTTTCAGACATCATCTGTTCTTCAGATGAATGAAATTGAGGTCTGTCCAGAGTGCTATCTTTCAGCGTGTCAGAAGAGGGACAACTGGTTTTGCGAGCCATGTGTAAGTTGTTCATAGTTCCCAGTTGTAGCTTGTTCCCTGTAAATACAGAATACCTTTTACTGTAATTTCTACAGTTAAAATAATTTGTTCTTTGTTTCTCTTATTTCTTATATTAGAGTAACCCCCATCCCTTAGTGTGGGCCAAACTTAAGGGGTTTCCATTCTGGCCTGCCAAAGCTCTGCGAGACAAAGATGGACAAGTGGATGCTCGATTCTTTGGGCAGCATGACAGGTGAGAAGCAGAGCATTAACTTAACAAAGAAAAACTATTCTATTCTATTCTATTCTATTCTATTCTCTTTTCAGAGCCTGGGTTCCGATCAACAATTGCTACCTCATGTCTAAGGAGATTCCTTTCTCTGTAAAGAAGACCAAGAGCATTTTCAACAGTGCCATGCAGGAGATGGAAGTCTACGTTGAAAACATTCGGAAAAAATTTGCCGTCTTCAATTATGCCCCATTCCGCACTCCCTACACACCCGACAATCAGTTCCAAATGCTTCTCGACCCAGCAAATCCAGGTGCCGGCTCGGTCAAACCCGAAAAACAAGAGAAGATCAAATTCAGCTTTGACATGACTGCATCACCAAAGATGCTGGTGGGCAAGAGCATGATGTCAGGAGGGATTGGTGGAGGAGGAACTGGTAGGCGGATCTCTATGACGGACATACCTCGTTCACCAATGAGCACCAACTCCTCAGCCCACACTGGCTCTGATGGAGAGCAAGAAGGTGGAGAAAAGAGCCAGGCCAAAGGTTCCCTACCCCATCGCACTGGAGGAGAAGAGCCTCTGGAAAGCACAGGTAGTAGATTGCTGTATGATTCTGAACTATACTTTGCCATTTTGTTCCATAACTGATGAACATTGTTTGACCTGTGAACATATTGATATATCACATTCTAATCTGAGCTCTACTAGAATGATAATTCCATCCTACATAATTTTGTAGCATCTACAGTGACAAGCAGTATAATGGACTGCTTTGTCTCAAGTTATGTATTTCAATAAAAGAAAGTTACAGTAAGATACAAGAACATTAACTATGCTGAAATACTTACACTGAATACTTTGTGCACAATACATACACCTGGCTCAACATGCTAAATACCTGATGAGCTGAATCTGTGTTAGAGCAGGAAAGACTGAAATGTGATGGGTAGGGTGTTACAGAGGCTGAGAACAGCAGAATATCTTCTACTGTTCATTCACCTTTAGCCACATTTAGCCACATGTTAACATTTTTGTTTGAAGTAGTCGGCATCCAGTTTAGCCAACTTACTGGTCTTCAACCCACAGCGTCCCCTGCTGCTCCTCGACCGGGTCCTGCGGGAAGTGCAGTGGACAGCCCTAAACCATTCCATTCTACTGCTCCCAGCACGCCCATTAAACAGGAAAAAGTTCCCACCACAGGCAGCATCCTAAATCTTAACCTAGGTACGCTGATTCTGGTGATTCTTTATGAATAATACTGTAAAATGAATGTGTACATCCAACACCTTAGTAATAAGTAAACTCAGGGCTGATAGACTTTTCATACAGACTTCAATAAGACTTTTATTTTTACAGATGACTGTCATAGTTTATGTATGCAACAAAACCTCATATTTCCAAAAAGGTTACTTTACAGGACATACAAATGTTCTGAACTTTTAATAGAAGTAAATTCCAAGTAAGTTTGAGTCTTTTCTGTTGATCTGTTCATCATGAAATTTGGACACATCATAAAGGGCGACTGACCTTTTCACTTACGTAACAAAATGAAAATCGACAGATTGAAGATACAAGGTTTTGTCCCGACAGCAACGATGTAGTTTAAACTTATGTGTGTTTTGTTTATAACTCTACTCAGACCGTAGTAAAGCCGAAATGGACCTAAAAGAGCTGAGTGAGACCGTACAGCAGCAACAGCAGCAGCAGCAGCAGGGGCCTCAGGCCTCACTCACTTCACCCAAGAGGCAAATCAGAAGCCGCTTTCAGCTCAATCTCGACAAGACCATTGAGAGCTGCAAAGCACAACTGGGTGAGCTCACAGGCATCAGAAAAGCTTTTCACAGGTCACAGCCTGTTATTTTTGCATGCAGTAAAGAATAATTAAATTAGGAAAAGGTAGAATTTATTATAATGCAGTACTTTAATTATGATTGCTAACAATGGAAATTATAATATTAGAAATGTTTGAACTTCAAATTACTTTACATTTGCTCACCTGTACACAGGTATAGATGAGATATCTGAGGATGTGTATAAAGGTGTAGAACACAGCGACTCTGACGACTCGGACAAGTCTGACTCCAGCGATACCGAATACGCCAGCGATGACGAACAGAAACCAAAAATTAGCCAGGACACTTGTGCTGACGATAAAACAGAGAAAGAACCATCTAAAAAGAAGTCTAAACCATCGCCACCTGTTAGTGAAGACAAGGACAGCAGCATGGAAGCTTCGGGGACTCCTAGCACAGTGACCAAAGGTGAGACTTTGCAGAAAGCAGGAACTAGCATCACTCCAGTGAAAGAAAAACCAGTTGTCGACTCAGAGAAAGAAGTGCCCAAAGCAGCACCAGTCTCTCCGAGTGCACGAGACAAGTCCAAGGCTACAGAGGAAGCCAGGCAATCTGCATCTGTTGATGTAGACATGGACTCAGACTCTGAGAGAGAGCTAGTGATTGATTTGGGGGAAGAACCAGGAGGAAGAGAAAGGAAAAGAAGCAGAAAAGACGCAGCCGCTGTCACCGCACTCAAAGAAACAACAGCTTCCAAGACGGAGGGTAAGTCACTGTATACTGTTTGGATTCTCATTATATTCATGACTTTGTGTTCTGTCAAAATGGCAGGCAAACTAGAGACAGGTTATTGTAACTAGGGACTAAGTTTATCTTGATTTTACAATAATTTATATAACATTTATTTATTATGTCTTGTGTTTTTGTCTTTTTTTCCTTTTATATTATAGGTAAGGCCCCTGCGACAGGTAGTCTTGCCCAGTCTCAAAACCCTGTAGTCCCCTCCTCCACGACAGGCCTCAAAGACCCCTTGCAGTCTCCCATGGCTATTCCTCTAAATGTAGTGGCTGTCCCCGCTGTTCCAAGCACCACTTCCCTCTCCTCTTCTGCATCCCTCAACACCACTCCATCAACAGCCCCGGCCTCCTCCTCCACCCCTACCAGCACAGTCAAAAAACAGCGACCCCTGCTGCCCCGGGAGACTGTGCCTGTGGTGCAGCGGGCTGTGGTGTGGAATCCCACTGCTAAGTTCCAGACCTCCTCTCAGAAGTGGCACATGCAGAAGGTGCAGCGGCAGCAGCAGAACCAGACACAGCCAGCAACTCAGACGCAGGTGTTATCTCAGGCACAGCGTAGCCAGCTTCAGCAAGCGCAGTCTTCATCTTCAGCACAGCAGCCTTCATCCAGCACACGATATCTGACTCGACAGGCTGTTAAAGGTAGGTAGACTACAATGCATTAGTAGAGGTGGGTAGAGTAGCCTAAACCCATACTTAAATAAAAGTTTTGTTACTTAAATTAAAACAACTCTCAAGTAGAAGTAAATGTATCCTAGTGAAAAACAACTTAAGTAGAATTAAAGTATAATCCGATCACTCCTCAAGTACTGAGATCCCCATAACATCTGTGGAAAGTAAAAGTGTTATCATTTGAAAATACTCAATAAAGTATATATAAATCCATCCTGTTGTCTTTAAGGGCATGTAACTGAGTGCTAGTATTTCAATCGCATCTGTAATTAACATGTAATTACCCATTCTTTTTTAGCTTTTCGACTTGCACCATTAAGCTCAGCAGACCTTTAAGCGTCCATGTGCAGAATTAAGCTAAAATGCCTTTACTTCCTTCAGCTGTGCAGCAGAAAGACCCCCAACACAGCACCTCCACCTCTGCTGTCACCTTGGTTACCAGCGCGCCAGTGTCTGCAGCCATAATGGCAGGTGCTACAGTTAGTTCTTCCTCATCATCAGCATCCTCCATGGCAGGAGATCTCCAGATCCCCACCACCTCTGCTGATGTGGCAGCTGACATTGCAAAGTATACTAATAAAGTAAGATGACTTCTCTTTTCCACAAGTAATGAAGAATCTTTGGACCTATTAGGAATTAGGACATTAAACCTGTGTAGTTGATTTGGTTGTATATATTTTATTTTCAGATTTTAGAGAGTGATCTAAGTGTGCAGTGAGAGGATGAATGTTTTTCATGGTGTGGTCTCTCTGGTCTTACTAATGTGTTATTGAGATGACACTGGTTGAGAAAGTAAATTTGGTATGTATTTACAGATAATGGATGCAATCAAGGGGACGATGACTGAAATATACAATGACCTCTCCAAGAGCACCTCAGGAAATACAATAGCAGAAGTGGGTATTTTTGATACTCTGACAAATAAATTTAATATTTATAAGATATTCGCTTGTTGTCCAAGTTTCACTGGTAGTACATGATGAAGTCCTCTTTTTTTGCCATGCAGATTAGACGGTTACGGATTGAGATTGAAAAACTGCAGTGGCTACATCAACAGGAGTTATCAGAGATGAAGCACAATTTAGGTTTGTTATTTTCAAACTGTGAAGCTGATTTTATTCAAGTAAACCTTCTTTTTTAAAGAATCACTTTTTTCCTTAGTATTGTATATAATGGACTACTCTATGATAAGCAGAAACTAAATTACCAAGTACAATGTTTATGGTTTTTTTTATTTTTCTATAATGTGCGTATGTGTTTGTGGATGTTTTCACTCAGAACTGACCATGGCAGAGATGAGGCAGAGTCTGGAGCAGGAGCGAGAACGGTTGGTTGCGGAGGTAAAGAAGCAGATGGAGGTGGAGAAGCAGCAGGCCGTGGATGAGACCAAGAAGAAGCAGTGGTGTGCCAACTGTAAGAAGGAGGCCATTTTCTATTGCTGCTGGAACACAAGCTACTGTGACTACCCCTGCCAGCAAGCCCACTGGCCAGAACACATGAAGTCCTGCACACAGTCTGGTGGGATAAAGCACAGTTTGCATTGATTACCAGTTTAAAAACTATACACTAATCATATCTTGACATTTCAGAATTGTTTAAATATGTGTGCAGCTATACTTTGATACTTTCAGCATAAGTGTGTCTGATACATCTTTGTATTGAACAGTTGCAAAGTGTTTCAGGCAATAACTCTTAAGATCCCTTCGTTTTTTCAGCAACATCGTCACAGCAAGAGCCCGAGACAGAATCAAGCACAGACACCATTCCCAAAGGTTCTGGGCATCCTAACAATGGTCAGGACTCGCCACGAGAGATGACAACAGCCCCTTCCGCAGACAAGGACAGCGATGTGGACAAGCCTAAGGACAATGTTACTGTCAGTCTCTCCTAGCTCAGACACACAAACTCTGCTTTAGAACAGCACTTACACCTGCATAACTGTACAAAATCATAGTTGAATCCTTCACTACAGCAAAGTATTTTTTATTTTGTGTTTTCGTCTTGCCAGTCTGTGCTTTGGGAACTTTGAGAATGCTGATTTACTTTTCTGTATCAATAACAATTCCAAACAGAAGTCAGCTGGATCTCCCATGTGCCACACAAAGCATTTCTGAGGCCTAACTGATTCTGGATATTTTAGACTCCATAACTTCATTCTAACTACTCTGAAAATAGTACTGAATTGAAATTACTTGATTCAAATGTGTACCTCATGTACACATTAACCAAATATATTACATCTGTTTTTCCACATAAAGCCAGCGTTGAATGTCAAAATGAATCCATACAAAGATCGCTGATTTTTACACAAAGAGTAATAATTCTATGGTGCTTACTCCATGAAAGTAGGATTTTTGTAGCGTTATTTGAACCCTATTCAGCATTAATTGCTTCACTGATGTAGAACTATTTTTTCTCAGAACATAAATCTTAATTTTACTGTCACTTAATGCCTCACCAGCAAGAGTGAAGTTGTGGAGATCTGAACACCTAGCATCAGATATGAAAAATATGGTTAAAAAATGTCTCTGTGTCAAATAATTAAGACCCATTACTGAGGTGGCTTTATATCATAAAGACCTAAAACAAGTCATGTCTTTCACTGTGAAAGGGGTCATGGTGAAGAGGCAGTTACCGTTAATGTTACATTTCCATTACAGTTTCTATTCTTTCCTTATAAGCTTTATATGGGGGTGGATAACAAAGAAAAAGGTATGGGATTTCATTTTTATTTTTATTTTTTACAGTTGATAGATTTTAAAGAATACTGGTTTATATTCATATTTATGTTAATTTATCCAACATTTTTGGTAATATGAAGCTCTAAAGACTATATTTTATTTTGCCTATGCATCACTAAGACCATTTGGAAATCTCTTTGAAGAAAATAAAAAATGTTTCACCACTGTCTGAACAGATTGGCCATTAGGATTCCAACTATTTGGGGGTTGTTTTTATCTTTTGAACCAAACTGTATTTAATATGGTCAACAAGATACAACCTTACTGTATCACTGGATAACAGTCTGATTCTTGTTCATAATTCAGAATGCAAAGCATCTTTTTTCATTTAAGCCTAAGAACATTTTTTTGCCTTTATCTGCACTCCTTCATGTGCCCATGTTGGTGTTCTGTTTTTGAATGTTACGCATCTGACTGAATGGCATCTGACCAGGCTGCTTTGTTGTTGTGTTTTTCTTTCCTTTTTTTCAGATACATTATACTGTTTTAACCATTGCAGTACAGTGACTACATTTCAAAACTGCTTTTGCCAGCAGTCTTACTGTCCTGTTAAATAACTCCTGATTTATCATTCCGTTACAATTCTGAACGTAACCTTTTATTTTCCATTGGGCTTATATGTTGATCAATCTTGTTACCAAAATTGAGAAACTGTAAAATACTGGTCTGTTGTTTATTTTTAAATGCCGTTATTTAGATTTTGAAGAATAATTACAGGACACAGACGATATCACCCTTTCAGCAGCCTCCATAATTTAACATTGACTGTTGACTGTTGACAATGGATACATTATTCTTAACTCTAAAAAAAAGAAAAAAAGAAAGAAAACTATACAGAGGATTCGCTGTATATATTACAAGAAAAGACAAATGTTTACATATTGTACATAAATAAAGATTTGGTGGTCTTACTGTTTTTCTTTGTCTTTAAATTTTGTTTCTGGTCAGAGGATATGAATTGATATCTGTTGCTGGACACAGACAGTGATGTAATATAGCGCTGTAGATTTTAGGCTGTTTTTGTGCTCCAAATATATCTTTTATATATATGTATATATATAAACATTAGATGGCACTTACAAAGCAACTTTCATGCTTTTTGGTGCTATACAAAACCATTTTCAAAAAAGTTCTGTATAACACCATATACAACACATTCTCAATCAATCTGATAAACCATTTCACCATGCAAAGAACCATTCAAGCATGAAATGGTTCTACATAAAACCCATGGTTCTAAATAGAACCATTGTCTTTACTGAACGATCCTTGAAGAACCAACTCTTTTAAGTGTGCAGATGTAGCCAGAAAGTTGCATTGCAGGTTCTATGTAATGTTTTTGTGGCTTTGGGCTTAGGCACTATACTAGCGTGTGTGTGCATTAATCATTATCTTAGCTTTAGGGTAGTGTAAAGGCACCTTGAAGTCACGTCAGACCGGTAAGTTTAATCTATATAGATTCAGTCTCATTGCCGCAGGTGTATAAAATCAGGTGCCTAGCTATGCAGTCTGCCTTTACAGACATTTGTGAAAAAATGGGTCATTCTAAAGAGCTTACTGAATTTGAGCATGGTACTGTAGTAGGATGCCACCATTGAAACAAGTCAGTTTGCAAAATTTCTTACCTCCAAGAGATTCCACGATCAGCTGTGAGGGGTATTATTAAGAAAATGGAAGTGTTTAGGAACCACAGAAACTCAGCACTTATGTGGCGGACCATGTTAAGTTACAGAGCGGGTGCTGAGTGCTGAGGTGCATAGTGCATAAAAGTCTCCAATGCTCTGCTGACTCAATAACTGCAGAATTCCAAGCCTCCTCCGACATTAATATCAGCACAGCAACAACTGTGCACTGGGAGCTTCATGGCATGGGTTTCCATGGCTGAGCAGTTGCATGCAAGCCTTACATCACCAAGTACACTGCCAAGAATTGGATGGAGTGGTGTAAAGCACACCACCACTGGACTCTGGAGTGGTGGAAATGTATTTTGTGGAGTGATGAATCATACTTCTCTATCTTACTCATTTGATGTGGACGTCTTGGTTTGGTGAATGCCAGGAGAACGTTACCTGCCTGACTGCACTGTGCCAACTGTAAAGTTTGGTGGAGGAGGGATAATGCTATGGGGTGTTTTTCAGGGGTTGGCCTAGGACCCTTAGATCCAGTGAAGGAAAATCTTAATGCTTCAGCAAACCAAGACATTTTGGACAATTCTATGCTTTCAACTTTGTGGGAACAGTTTGGGGCCCTTTTCTATTCCAGCATGACTGAGCCCCAGTGCACAAAGCAAGGTCCATAAAGGCCTGGCTGGGTGAGTTTGGTGTGGAAGAACTTGACTGGCCCACACAGAGCCCTGATCTCAGCCCCATCGAACACCTTTGGGATGAACGAGAACAGAGATTGCGAGCCAGGCTCTCTCATCCAACATCAGTGACCTCACAAATGCTCTTCTGGATGAATGGGCAAAAATTCCTCACGCTCCAAAGTCTTGTATATATACAAGATGCAAAATACAGGGGGTGCTGGGGGGGTCCAGGGCTTCCTAATGAACCTCTTGGATCCCCTGAATGTCTCAAAATCAAAATACTGGGGGGTCCCTGAAAATAAACTTATTATAATGTTATGCTGCTGGGGAAGAGACTGTTGTGGCAAAAATAGGCAGCTTTGCTCAAAAGTTCACAATTAAAATAAAGCTTAAAACACCAGGATTGGCAGGAAAAGGCACAATTTTTTAATCAAGATTAAGGCTTTCCTAAAAAAAACGAGTTAATCTGAGTTGGCCCAGGCAAAAACTGACCATCACAAAAACCCATAATTTTATTCTCATTTCTGGGCAAGGAGGGTTCATCACCTAACTCCTTGTCCCTCCCAAATATTTTATATCTTTTGATTTTTACACCATTATTTCCAAACCTTACATTGTTTTTTTGATTATCTTTCACGTCATTATTCACGTCATTATTCACATCATTATTCATGTCATCATTAACATCATCATTTTTTCTTTTTAAGAATTCTACCATTATTTCCAAACCAAACAGTAACATATTTTTAAAAAAATAATCACAGGCCAAGGCCACAGTCAGGCCTAGGCCTTCAAACTTTATTCACTCCATGTATTGCTTTATTCAATATGGTTACAACTAAGTATCTCTATGTTTGTGATTTTCTCCTTCAAAGACATTTTAATACTTATATGGAACAAACAGGTTTGTCTCTGCTCGTGTGCCTCTCCTAGATGAGGCCTGTTTACACACCACTACAATTTGCAACATACTCAGGGTCACCCACAGATACACACACAGAGGGAAAAGCTGCACATGCACAGAAAGAGAGCCATACAGTATAATATATGATTGGTTATGATTTATTACTTTTAATTAACCTTAAGAATTTTCCATATTGTCAAAAATTCTCCCTTAAGACACTCAAATACAAATGCAGGGGAAGGTCATTGTTTAGCTGCTTCATCCACAATCAGCGAGCTTCTGTCTGTGGTATTCTTAAAACACTATGCAGCATTGGTCTGCCTCAGGGTGGCGCTGTAGCAAATTGGTTCACCCAGTTGATCTTTCACAGCCTGCAGAGCAACTGATGCTCTGCGCGGGATTCCTCTGAAAAGCTTTACAGTATGGAGTAGCTTGACCAATTTCCCAAGAGTTTGGTGGATAGAGTGAATTATTACGCATTTCTCAAACTGAAGGCAAAATAGAGATGTGTAAGAGCTCAATTATTGTGTGGAAGACCGCATTACCAGACCTGAAAAGAGCATTTTCAGAGGAAGAGCTAACAGTTAGCGCCTCTATGGTGAATGAGATAGCTAGCAGCCAATGCTGGAGTAGCCAGCCAACATGGGACCCCCAGAAAACCAGAGGGTATTTCGCTTTTCACTTTCTATAAAGCTTTTTAGTGTCGCCCACCTTATTAGCATGAACTAGAAGAAATACAGAAAGAAATGAATGGAAATAAATTCAGAAAATATGTATTTATTTTTTATTTAAAAATATGTATTTATTTAAAATTTCTACCCTGCATTTATTTATTTACTTACTTACTTACGTATGTATGTATGTACGTTTACATTCACGTTTGGTCTTCCATAGAAACCGTCCCCAAAATCTTCACCTAGGCGCTGCCTGCACTTCCCCCCCTGTCCTGCGGGGGTGCTGTAGCAGGAGCGGCGGTAGCTCTGTGTGGTTGCCCTCCACTAGCGCTGAGAAAGGCGCTCATGTCTGTCTGCATTCGCCCCATCAGCACGGAGAGAAAATGGAGGACAGAATGTGGCGGTGACCGCGTTGTAGACACGCCAGATTCACAAGTGAGTTTGCACCACTATGAACGCAGATGGATGCATGAAGTGTAATTCTGTGTTTCAGACGGTGTCTTTCATTGCCTGTGAGCGTTTCTCTAACATCGCACTCGGGTTTAACTGAGCAGCTACGCGAGCCCAGACGTCGGTAATGGCGCCTCGGACGAAGGCCACCATATTATCATCAGCATGAGGGATAAAACATTCCTTGCTGTCTGTTTAGAACCGAATAGTAATAGTCATGGAGTTGGAAATAGCTCTGTTGTCGGAGTACAGCTGCGCTTGTCACGTTGCATTAAAATCTTGAAGGGACAGTTGGGTTTGGCGAACTTCAGTTTGTGTCACTATGGTGATCCTCGCGTAGTCGCTCGCGCTGGCCTCGAACCTACCAGACTTAATACGACGAGGCTGATGTTGACTTCTTTTTAGATTTTCCATTTCCACCTTAAATGATGATCCACCTTACATTTTGGTGCAAGAATGTAACTGCGGCTCCATTTAAGGTGGAAAGAGAAAACTAACAAGAAGTTGGTGAATTCAGCCGACCTCAGCCTCGTCTTAGCACGACGGTTGTTCGCGATGGATCTCAAACATTTGCCTGCCATTTTAAAATACGCGACTACTGTTGGCTGTTGCGGCGCTGTATATACATGGTTAAAGCTTTAGCGTCATGTTGTACAGTGTATATGCAGCTTTCCTATGAGTTAACGTCAGTAAATTGTGCGTCCTCACCGAAGTCATAGTCGACTGTTTGTTTAGCCACCTTTAGCCAGCTAGCTAAACGTGCTCTGTGGGGTGTGCATGTTTGGTTCCTTAGCGTCGTCATTGACGGTACGTAACGCTACATAATGCGCTTCTGGGACGTGTGTTTGGCAAACAATGTTATTTGTTCTGTCGAAATTACATATTAACGTTAGTAAACTGAAATACATGTAAAGCAGGGTCAATAACATGTCGCGGAAGAATTTGACTGCGGCTGATGAAGCTAACTTCATCGTTAGCTTGCTAGCTCAGGCTCCAGCGTATGCAGACAGAGCGGGGTGTGTATTAATCCGCAAACGTTTTTACATCCGTTAAAGTGAAAACTCATTTAAATTGGTCGTTTGATCGCAAGATATTAATTAACAGGTCAGCTGTGTGAAAGCAAGCAGAAATGGGCTTTTATTGATCTATTCCGTTCCTCCTTAAACGGTGCAGGATTTACGTTCCGGCGCCTGCACACGCGCCAGAGGCGTAAACTACTGCACCGTTTAAGGTGGAACTGAAAAATCGAAGACGACGCCAATTTCAGAATCGTGTTTCTTCATGCTGAGACATTTATTTTAATAATACCACCAGCATACTCGGTTATTTCACGTGGCTCTGGTGTGAGAGAACACTGAACCAAAGCACCAGGAAGGAATGTTCATTAACATTTTATTAATTTAAACCGTACATATACGTTGTATCCCAATAGTTAGTCGAAAGGCGACGTTTTAGCCATATATGTTGCACGACAGTTGCATTGCAAGAGCTGTCTAATGTTTTGATGGCATAGGGCCTCGCTGTACTAGCACCTAATCCACATTGAGTGTGTATTAATAATTATTTTAGCTTTACATGGGAATTCCACAGATTTTTCTGAATTTCTGCATAATTCTCTGGTTGAGATGTAAACAAAATCACTTAAGTATTTTGGTTAATTAGTAGAGAAACATACAGACTGAGATTTCTTTACAGTGGTGGTGATGGGAACCAGGCGTCCCAATGTCTACTGCGCAAATATAGCCAGTTTATCTGAAACCGCCAGTGAACCTAAACAGGTTTTCTGAGTTTTTATATATAATGCTGAAAATGTTAAAATAATGGTCAATCTGGGGAAAAAGTTTTCTTTGGAGAACTATTTTGCCTTAGACCACCCTTAAAATAAACTGAGCAAAATACGTTTTAGATCAAAACTTTATCACAAAACTGTAAAACAGTGGTAAGTTTCTCTAGATTGAAGCATTTCACACCAATCTGCTCTGATGATTTTGTTGATATGTTAATTGTTTAATTATGCAGCAGTTTCAGAAAATCGGTGGAGTTCCCCTTTAAGGTAGTTTATGCTGCCTTCAAGTCGTCTTGGAAATATCATATTGAGCGCACATGAACGCCACCACATTGTCGTATTCTGTAGTGGGGGAAACTTGAATTTTTACAATGAGCTCCAGGGTTTCTGAATTGGGTGCATGTCAATGAAAAAGCAGTGGTAGCTCCTGATAAACTGGTTGTATTTCAGTTACTCAGCAGCCACACATGAATAATGCAGGTTAAAATCATTCCCATGTGAAAATAAAACAGTTGATGCTTCTAACTAGATAAAATCATTACTCATCTAAAAAAGCATCCTCTGCTCTTCACTTTATTGCAGTAAAATAAATGTAATAAATGACAAAAACAAATGTGAACTAAAAACGTCTTTTTCAGTGCATCTATATTGTTTTCAGCCAAAACCACTTGAACACAAGTCTTACTTACGACTGCCAAAATCATAAGTAGGGAGTTCCGCGCAGGATTTGAAGGTAGCTTTTGGATATGGGTTTTATGACATCCGACATCTTGTTGGGTAGTTGTCTAGTTATGTGTGTGAATCCTGTAGATTATCTAGTTAGCATGTGGGACAACGGAATGATCAGCCTTTGGGGCTTTGTGGTGCAGCATATTTCATAGCCAAAGGGAAAGAATGTTTTAGATAATGAGATTAAAGTGATAGTTATTTGCCACTGTTCATATTTTTTGTCTGTATGGAAGTTTAAGGTTGTAATTTTCATACACAGATGAGCAAGGTTCTGTAATGGATGGAGGTACGTGATCATAAAATTGCTTATAGATTTGATTAAGATATTGACTTTGTGAGAATTTACAGGAATTATTTTAGTCTTCCAAAAAAATGCAAGTAAAGGTTAATCCATTTCTTTTGCTCGAGAGTATCTCAGATTCTCTACTTCTCTGTTAATTTAGCTAAAATATTTTTGTGTAAGGATGAAGATAAACAGATGTAATTACAACTTCAGTATATTAGATATATAATAAAGTTTTAGGTTTCATGTGCAAGCTTTGTCTAGTTTTAATAGACAAAACAAAATTTGCTTATATTGATATATGTACAGGCCTGGTTTAACTTGATACTGTATTTAAGGAGGCATTGTTTTGATTCCGGCAATGACCCCTGGATCTAATTAAGTATAGGAGGGGTTGCGTGTGCAGATGGAAACAGCTGATTGAGATGGTATGCTTCACTGTCCATCTTGTAGTTTTTTGTTCAAATGATTCAAGGAAGGAGGCTCCCATTGGAAACCACTTAAAAGTGAATGACTGGTTCCGTTTTGCTGCACACAGTCCACATGATACGATCTAGGTCAGGGATACACAACTCTGCTCCCTGTTAGACTGTGTTCTAGTCTGCAGAGTTTAGCTCTAGGTCTGATTTTAACTCCCCTGATACAGATGATTTGGACATTGACACGCATCTAAACATCTGAAATGGCCTTTTCATGAATCGATTAGCCTTGGTTTAAATAGCACTGACACAGTTGAGTCACCATCAGAAATAGTTTTTTGTCTAGACTCAAGCTTAATCTGGGTTAGGGAAACTGGTTCCTAGTTTGAACTAAGATCCATCCCAAGATGTGTTGGTCTGTCAGCTAGTCTAGCTAGAATTCTTTCTCAAGCAGGTTGATATGTTCAACCAAAATAAACGTGTTTGGAAAGTTACTTTTTCTATATGTTCATCTATTATGACTAATGTGGATATGATTATTTTAATAATCTTGGCTTCTTTTTTTAATTCTATAGTCTAATAAGGTTTGATCTCTCCTTTCACAGATTACTTTTGTGATGTGTACGGATCAGGACCTGCTGTAATCGTACACTGCTTCCAGTTCAGCAGAGCCTGAAAGACAGACAGGTACAGTGCAGCAGTTCTGCTTCACCTGATTCAACTTATTTCACGTTTTGTATTGCAAAAGGTTAACATGGGTTGTTCTGGAGTCCTTGTGTTTAGAAATTAATTGATCGTTACAAAATTGCGAATTTCCTTCACTCATCAGTTGCAGGCAGGTTGGCTGCACATGTAGTCGGACTCTCAAGTGCTTTTCAGTGAATGAGCACTAAATTAAGGTCACATTTCTTCAGCTTTAGATTCTTTTAAGTGCAAAGTTTGCCTCATTCATACCTTTACTAAGCACAGAAATCCTTAATGTACATTGCAGTATCATACATGTTTAGACTGAAAATACACCAGGCCACATTAAAGGCACTTGAGATAAATACTGAGTTTTGTAGAGAGATTGTATTGGAATTGGGACTGAGGGGGTGAAATAAATGGGAGTATGTCTTTTCCCAATTTGTAACAAGCTTGAAAGTGGGACCTTGAAGCACATTTTTATACTTGAACCTTTAAAACCTTTAGATTTAAAATGCATGAAGAACAGTCTTCCTTCTCATGGGATGTACACTACCACTAAGATAAGTGCTTTTCTAAAGAGGCCGTCTCTAATGATTAGCTCTCATTTCTCGTGAGAGATCTCCCCACGTATATATGCATTTTCATGTTAGGCTAACAGTTGAATCCGTCAAAAATGTTTCACATTTTGATGGCCTCTCGAGGTGGATGAATGAACTTAACCATAATAGCTAATTTGATGCCACACAGTCCTTAACAGCTTGCTTGATGCCACACAGTCACTCCTAGAAATGTAAATATTCTAGGACCTAAGTGTTTTGGTAGGCTTAGAGCAGTTTACAGTGTTACACCTAACCGGGTTTATTGTGGCAGCAGCTGCAACACACTTTGCATGCTTCATTGATTCACGTGTGGAGAAATGGCCAATCCACAGGTTTATGCTCAAAGGTGCTACCTTTTAAAAAGTAAGAGTTCCATTATTCCAAGAATTCCATGAACTACATTCGTCAGTGTGTCTGTTTACACCTGGTCGCTTCATGTGTCTTGAGTATTAGGATTATATCTGGATAAGGCCAAGACGTATAAAAGTGCAAGTGTAAACGCACCCATGGCGCATTTAAAACAGATGCAAATGTGATTTTTCAAACCACTTTAGGAGGTGTTCTGAGATGCATTAGAGCCACGTGCTAGAAGAGTGTAAACGCATCCGTGCCTCCAAGACACATTCGACAAAAAAAAAAAATCCCTCCCACTCCAGCCGAAACTCCTTACAGTACCTTGCAGTACGTCACTGGGTGTGTGATCTGTGCCTGTGAGGAACATAATTATGCACAATGTTCTTGCCCGGATGAAACTTAATGCTTAATAGCCATATGGACAGACCTCTTTAGCATAGCACAGGAAGAGACTGAAGGATAAACAATTGGTAATTGGTTGCCGTGTAACAAGCGGATTTGCATATTTCATCCCACGCAGCCATCGGATTTCGGTCAGCCTGAAAAATGCATGTGGCTAAAATCTTGTCAGGATACAGTCCAGATACAAGTCACATGAAATGACCAGGTGTCAACGAGGTCAGCATTTCAGGAGAGGCTCAATTTTGGTTTCACTTTCAACCTTGTAAACTTTTAGGCAGAATAGTTCTATGTTACTTGTCTACCTTACAAAATAGGATAACTGAAAAAATGTAGCATGGTAATTATTTTCTATTTATTTAAGGGAGATCATTTAAAATACAGGGTGATTAAAAAAGATTTATCTGATTTCAAAATGATCTGTTTCACCTGTAAATCATTAGAGTAAATTGTCAATGGTTTAAGTGAGCATAAAGTTTATGTAATTTTACAAGCGCTCAGTATGAACCTCCTCCAGCTGTACAGACATCAACACGATGGTCAAATTCATCCCATACTCGATTGAGCATGTCTGGTGTCACTGTACTCACAGCTCTCTTAATGTGATTTCGGAGATCATCCAGTGTTCTGGAACCAAAGACGAATGCTCTGAGCTGTTGGAGGTTCACTGCCGCCGAAAATCACGTTGCACAGTTATGACAGATACACTCTTATTGAAGTGAAGAACGCAAAACGCTTTCAGGGGTGGCCGTCTCCTCGCAGACTGAAGGGAGCCATCTTCCACTAACAGTCAGAAACTCTGTGACCCCCTCTTTCAATTGGTATGTGATTGGTTCGTAGGCGCCTCACAGTTGTAAAGATATGGTGCTTTGAAATCGGATGAATCGCCCTGTATGTTGGGGTTTCTCCCATTCTTACTGTTTACAGATTATTCTAGAGCAACTTTAAGTCAGGTTGACTAATAATGACTGCTTTCCATGTGCCTGCAACTGGCTGCATTTTTTGCAGGTTTTAGTGATAAGTAAGAAAATAGTCATACACTGGTTTCAGACTTGACAATAAGTAAACTAAAGAGTGTGAAAAGTAAAAATTTCCTAACAGGTTACACATAGAAATCTAAATTACCTGTCATTACTACATTTGCTGCCTTAGCCGAGGTGGTAAAATGCAACAGAGAGCTCAGATCTGCATTATATGTTGTGCTTCTCTCTTAACTGTAAATATTGTTTTGAAAAGTAGTGAGTGACTCCATCAGCTATGGAGGAGAGTGTGAGTCCTGAGCTAGCTCAAGCTCCTGAGCCTGAGTCCAGCCAGGATCCTTTGGATACCAGCTCACAAGGTACTTACAGCTTGGACCGCTGTACTTAATGAGAGCACCACTTTACTAATTCATGGCGTCTTAGTGGAGTTCTAAGTGTGGCAATTGTTTGTCAGTGAACATGGTTCTAGATGGGAGACCTGATCAATTTGTTGCCCTGGATTTGGAATTGGGATGTCATTAATTGTTATTGCATTGGATTCATGGAAATTGGCACAATGAACCAAATGGTTCTGAATCATTTAGGTGTATCAAATAATTGCTGCTTGCCTAATACATCTTGCTTTGCTTCACATTGTTTGATTTTCCTATTGATTCAGTTCAAATCAAGTCACTGTGATAATTAAAAGTCAAAATTAATAGTTTGTACTACATGTTTTCCATTGAAATTTTCAAATGGTTTGTCTGACATTGCCCACAGCTCTGCCAGCTGTTCCAGAGGAGGAAGAAGACAACAAAGACCAAGGGGATGCTGCTCAAGAAGACAGAGTAGAAGACGCTGAGAAATCTGCCAAGACTTCTGGCGAGTTCAAGAAAACCTGGGGTTTCCGTCGAACCACCATCGCCAAACGGGACATGCCTGGAGACACAGCAGTGGAGAGCCCTGAGGCAAAGGGCGCGCCTGTGCGCCGCAGCGGCAGGCAGGCCAAACGTACCGACAAGCTGGAGGAGTTCCTGGTGACGGTTAAGCGAGGAAGAGGAGCAGGCAGGCGGAGCGCTCCCGCTCAGCTGGAAGGTGGGGATCCCCCGTCCCAGACCCCAACAGATGCAGAGACTGCCTCAGAGGCCAGCTTTGATGGGAATGTGGAGGCCAAAGCGGTGGAGAACAAAACACCTTCTCCAGTGAAGAAGACTAGAGGGAGGGGTAGGAAGAAGGCAGCAGCCAAGCCCAAAGGAGGCCCAAGTGGGTCGGTCAGTGATGATGGCAGCTCTGAAAATGAAGAGGAGGCCAGCAGTGAAACCTTGAAAGAGGTGCAAGAAGAACAGGCAACAAGTACCAGCACAGAGGACTGCAAGATAGAGGAGACTGTGACAGAACCGAAAGAAGAGGAGGATGCTGTGAAGCAAGATGAAGAGAAGAGTGAGGAGATCAAAGAGAAGCCTCCAGAGGAGCTTACCAACAAACGACCTTCTAGAAGCCCTGCTAAAGCAGCTGGTAAGGACTCCACTCCCCCCAAGAGAGAAGCCAGGCCGAAAGCAGGAACAAAGTCCAGAAAGGAAGAACAGGAAGATGAGGACGAGACTTCGTCTAGCGAGTCTGATAGCGATGGCTATGACCCCAATGCACTGTATTGCATCTGTAGACAGAAACACAACAAAAGGTAATTATTTGTGCTCATAAAATGTCAGTTTTATAATATGCTTTAACTTGTCTTTAACTGCACACTTAATCTAAGTTTCATTAATTTAATAGCTTTTGCAGTTTAAATTGAGGAGCATTCCATTTGAGTAATCTTTTGTGATCAGATTTCTGTATAAAACTTTGCATGAGCAGCAACATGTATTTTGATTTTAAGTTGAAGAGAGTGAAATGTACTTTTAATGTGGTGTTTTACTATTTAGTATACTATTTAGTGTGTCTTTATTTAGTGTAATGTATTTACAGTAATTTAATGAAATAGTTCCTTGTAGCTGGTCATAAAGGTATTTGATTGAAGTGTGCGGCATGTGCTCAGGTTCATGATATGCTGTGACCGCTGTGAGGAGTGGTTCCATGGAGATTGTGTGGGTATTACTGAGGCACGTGGACGTCTGATGGAACGTAATGGCGAGGATTATGTTTGTCCCAACTGCACTGGCAAGAAAGTTCAGACACCAAAGCCTGCTGCGACTACAGCAGTGACTGAAAATGGCAAACGCCCTGCCCCTACTGCTCGTAAAGTAGAGCTGGGTCCAGCACCTGCTACCCAACCCACCACACCAACACCTTCGACCTCTGCTCCTGCTAATACAGCTCCTGCCACAGAAGAGAAACCTGGGGAAGACCTGGGCATTAAGGGGAGGATAGAGAAGGCCACCAATCCAAGCGGCAAAAAGAAAATAAAGATTTTCCAGCCGGTAGGTTATTTGTAGGGTACATTTATTGGTATTAGTATTTTTCTTGCTGAAGTCCTTCACATATTTTATTAATTTTGTGTATAAGAAACACCACAGAAACGTCAACGTTACTTCCTGAATCTGTAAATCCTTAATCTTTTGTACCACACTGGTTAAGGTCGTCTGAGGTTTTCCAATAGAATGTTGATCATTTTCAATCAGTGAACGTGTGCTTGGTATGTGGATCTTAAATAATGTTATAAATAGAATAGGTACAATATAATACAGAATTACTGAAATATTTATTTACAACATGAAATGTAAGCGTTCTAAAAGTAGTTTGTAGTATTTAAAAAAAAAAAAGCAAATCTACATTTGATTTATTTGCTTGTTTTTTTTTTTTTGTTTTTTTTTCTTTTCTTTTTTTGAAAAGCCAGTGAAAATGACTGGTGATAATCTCATTCTTTTACATTCTGAAATTCACCCCTTCATTCTAAAATAGTAGTAAACTTTGTCATCCAGTAAGCCATTACATTTGAAATGCTAAAAGAAATGCTAAATATTTAACTAGCAAAAAGGGACATGGTGTTCTTAGTTATGCACTACCAGTAAGAATTTTGGACACAACTGTGAATATGCATATTTTTGTCATTTTTTTTGTGTAAATGCTTAAGCTTAAATGCAAAAAAAAATTGTTTCCAAGACACTTAGAAACAGTAAAGTTGATCAAATTGACCTTTATTTCCAGATTTAAAACAAATGTTCAATGAAGAAAATTGTTTTGAAATGCCACCAGCAGGTGGTTTTCAGCAGCAACAAGGTCTCAGCAAATGTATATCTTAAGTGTTGGAAAATCGGCACAGGTGACTCCTCAGGTGTGTAAAACTGTCAAGACAAGGGGCCTCATTTCTATAAGAATCTGTGATAGAAGATAGTTTGATGTAGCACTTTGTGGCCACTACACGGCACTGAAAGAAGGGCCCAGGTTTGATTCCTCGGCCGGGTGTCCAGGGATTTTTCTGTGTAAAGGATGGAAGTCCAAAGACATGCAGTCAGGCTAATTGAAGATGCTAAATTGCCCCTAGATGTAAATGTATGTGTGAATGCATATGTCTGCCCTGTGATGGTGGCTCTGCACGTCCCTTATTCTTTTCTTTGAAACTACTGTAGTACTATATAACACTACTAAGACATCAAAACCGTAAAATTAGGAAAACCCCTCTATGAGCAAGTGTGTCCAAACTTTTGACTGGTAGTGTAAATATGACAATGTAGGAAGAAGTCTGCACTTGAAGAGGTAGGTGGATCTGCTGTAACTCTGGACTTTAGCCTAAATGTGGGAATATGGCTTGAGTGCTCATCATTGTCTGTACATTTTGATGCATATCTGAAAAGCCGACTAACTGCAGGTGAAGCCAGAATGTTATCCCCTTGATCAAAACATAATTTGAGCTGGTATATAACAGCAGACAGTGGACTTGTACAGATCTAAGCTGTCATCAGAAAATAGTCACTTAAGTTTTCTGTTTTCTTCAAATGAAGACAGTGCTGCTGTAAAAATGCAAAGACTCAGTTGTTCAGTTGTTTTATTACATGCAACACCTGCATGATGCGTTCAGTTGAGTAGCAGACTTAAAGATGCAGTGTGTAAGGTTTAGTGGCATCTAGTAGCGAGATTGCAACAAATTGAATACCCTTCCTTCACCCTCCCTTTCCAAGTCTGTAATAGAACCTATGGTGGCAGTCAGGTTTTCACTTTGACGATGAGGATTCACCCTACGTTGCCTTTTCTTGTGCTAAATAAGTATGATCCTCCATTTGTCAAAATTTGGGTGCTTAAACTTCTCACAATACAAAACAGTTAGCCAGCAGCGGCCATGGGTTGTTCTACTTCTTCCAAGTGGTGCTATAGCGCCACCAAATTCAAGCTGTCAAATCAGTATAAAACATGAAAGGCACACTGTGTTTGGTATGTCCATTCTGGGCTCCTCTAGAAACATGGCAGTACAACAAGGTGGCCTTAGTTGGAAGAGGACCTGCTCCCTATGTAGATAAGAAGGGCTCATTTAAAAGCTATGAAAACATAGTGATTCGTAGCTACAGGTGATAATACACTAATGAAACATGGTTTTGTACATGCCACACTCCATTTCTGCTGATAAATCTCTCTAAATCTTGCACACCACACCTTTAAGATCAGTGATCATCAAACCTGCTCCTTTAAGATCAGTGATCACCTGACCCAGTCCTTTATGGTGCCAGACACAATCTACCACACCTACCTGAGCCAAATGCCATGAGACATTTTTGATGGCACTTGATCTAGCAATTATATTTGGGAGCGAGATAGATTTGAGTCGGGACTGAACACTCCAGGAAAGATCTCCAGTAGGAGGATTGGACATGTTTTGTAATGGTGTTTAGGATGTAAACAGCAATAGCACAGCAATTGTAAAATTCCATATTTGGACTTGTTAAACAGTGCTAGAGCTGGTGTAGGATTACTGAAAGGAAGCATTGCAGTCCTACATCTTTTACTAAAGAGGAAGCATCATCAAAAGCAACTGTTCTAATAATTGCAAAGCTCAGTAGGTCTTACCAACCCGAGTTTTCAGCAGGCAATCGTGACTGCAGAGGAGTCCTCTCTACCCAAGTGCATTGGTCCTGGCTGCGAGAGGGATGCTCTGCCTGACTCTGTGTACTGTGGAAATGACTGCATCCTCAAACATGCTGCTGCCGCCATGAAGACCATCACGACTGACGGCAAGGAGACGAAACCCAAGGAGAAGGCCAAGACCAAAGCACAGAAAAAGACTGCAACCAAGTCAACACCCAAGGTATTATACTGCAACCAAGATAACCAAGAGGTTGCATAGGAACTGCAGTAGGGCATATTTATTAAAGCATTAGTAGTATGTCTTTATATGCAGTGCATTGCATCAATTGTGAACCATAAACAAGCAAACTGCTATTGTGCTGAATTGTAAATGGTGAAGGTGGCTGTGCCAGTAGTGATGGCAGGTAAATAACAGGTACAGTGTCGATCTTTTCTGTCTGTAATTCATGTTGTTAATTTAAGCCCTTTTGATGTTAATTCTTGTTAAACCATGAAATCTTGCCTACATCATGTAGATCGGTGGTTCCTAACCGTGGTCCTGGAGTAGCCTGTGCTCTGCATATTTTAGTGTTTTCTTTGCTCTCTACATGCCTGTTCAAAATAATCAGCTTATTAACAGGCCCTTCAGTACTTGACGTGGATATGTTGGGAGCAGGGAAAACACTAAATTGTGCAAGATAGGGGTTACTCCAGGACCAAAGTTTGAACTTGTGATGACAGTCTTTGAGCCACCACCCCAGCTCCCTTTAGCAGACGGGTTTAACTAGAAAAATCAGAATAGATCATTTTAGTACGTCTGTGCTTTCTGAAAGAGCGATTTTGAAGTCTCCTTGATTTGTTCTGATTTTTAACGTGTATATTCTTTTCTTCAGAAGAATTCAGCCCCAGAGCGGAGGAGCAGCAGGAGGTCCACTGAATCATCCAGTAAAGCTGAAGAGGAATCATCGGAGTCAGAGGCCCTTGAAAATGAAGAGGATGAGGATGAAGAAGATAAACTTGCCGAGGAACATCCACCACCCCCAGCTATGTCATCCTGGTCCAGCGACCATAATTACATTGCAGTAACTCCAGAAAAGACTACACCCATATCACCAACTGTGTTAAACAAAGCGTGTATGTATCTCTTTGAAGGTTTTCCACATTTATATGATCTCCTTTTGTGTCTTGAGGTGTAGAACTGATCAGATGAGCAATATGTTGGTGTTGCTGCCTAGGTCAGGAAGGCAAGCAGGCTGCTACACTGTAAATTAATCTGAAACCTTCATTCGGACGTGCTTTGGAAAAATTTGTTCCTGCACAATGTAAGCTTGTGTAAGCCTTACAGTTTGTAACTTCTTGCTGTTTTAAGAGCATTTTGGCATAATAGGGCAGGTTAAATTCTGCTAAGTTCAGCAGTACTTGCATAATATATACAAAGCAGGAGCTTGTGAACAGGTGGGTATAAGTAAAACGGTAAGTATTAGTGATTGAAGTTGCAAGTCTGCCTTTATATCCAGGAAAAAAATGTATTACACATTTAAAGGGTGGGTTTTCTGGGCACTTTTTTCACAATTGAGTATGGTATTTTCTATGGCAGCTTCATTTTGGTAATTTCATCTAAAATTAAATTAAAACTGTGCTGAGAAAACCACCCCAAAAGGTTCAGAGTTAGTTGTTAGTTTTAAATACCTAATGCGTGCCTTGCCATGATGTGTATCTTTTACACTTTCTGCCTGAGGTCTATAAGCATGTATGTGGAGTGTGAGAGTATGCATTTGAGTGTGTGTGTATGCTGGAATGTTGACCTCCTCTCCAACTGCTCTGATCTGGGAGTAGTATCTTCATAAGAATGGAAGTGCTGACCACTCATCTGAACAGGTAGGTCTCGGTGTCTTTATCTCGTGCCCACTTTTCTCTAAGAATAGAGCATCATCTCAGGGACATTTTTGGCAACCGTTGCAAAATTTGTTGCTATAAACACCATGATTAATGAACAGATTTTTGATATGAATTGCATGCCCTGCATTTATGAAATTCACTTTGGACAAGTGACTTTGAAATAAAGTGATATTACAGAGAATATTCTGATGCCCCGTGCTTCAATTTTAAGTCTTTTATGGATTTGTTTTGGATTTCATGGCCTCTGCCTGCTTTGGCCATTGCTAGACAGCCAGCCACTGATCACCACAGATCATTGCAGTTGGAATAACATTTGCCTGCTGACCTGAGAGGGGGAGAAACGCATCATGTGGTCCAGACACTAGAGCTGACACTCTGCTTATGAAGTTTGAAGCTGCGAAGACTACAAATGAAAACTGAAGATGTGGTAGTCTGCCAGACAGCACCCAGAAGCAGAGCCCACTGCCCTCATTACTGCAACACACACAGAGGAAATGCCAAGCCAAGATTATAAAAACATGCAGGCAATTTCATATACTTGTGTTTCTTTGCTTTAGTTACAAAAGTGAGTAGTTGCTTATAAGTACATTGTTGGAGTTAGCTCAGTAGACTAAAGTTTTTGTCCTTTTGTCATTAAATAGAAACTGTTGCCTTGTAATATTGGATTGGGCAATGAAAATATGAAGATGCTCACTGACAAGTTCTGAATGACACTGATTTTCTCTTTCATTGTCGGTAGCAGAATATTTTGGTGTTCAATCAAAGGCTTTGCTGAAAACTGTACCTAATCAGGGAATTAAAGTTCTAATCAATAGCTTAAGATGGCATGAAGAGTTTTTTTGGACTTTGAATGAGCTTCATACTGATATGCCTGAATTTTGTCTGTCCAAGAGATGAAAGAGTCATTAAACCCAAAGGATGACATGATTGCCCTGTGGATAAACCTAAAATGGCAGCACTTGCTTCACAATGAAAACAAAAGACAAGCCTTATTGAAGTAATAAATGCATTATGACATCATAATAGGTGTGGGGGAGAAAAACTAGTTCTGTTTAGACCAGTGATTGATGGGCCTTGGATGAAGTGGATATATGTGAGCATGTTTTGTAGGTAGGCATCTCCCCTGGGTTGGGTTTCTACACTTGCATTAAGTAGCACCACACAGTGTACTGTTGAAACATTACATTGTAGTTTCTCTTAGATTAAGTAGGCATATGATCAAAATAATGTCTTCATTTTTTTTGCACATGCCTTTTTTTGGCCTGTGAGCTTCATTTCATACTGCAGCATAAATTTATAAAAGGTATTTGCATTTGGGCACAGTTTAGTTTTTTTGTCTTAGGTTTTGTGTATTGTGTATTAACATGCAGAAACAGGGGAGCCTGTCAGTTTAATATCAGAGACAAACAAATTCACCATTGTGGCAATTTTGAATAGAATTTGTAAAATATGCTGTTTTTTTAATTATGTTCTTTGTGTCATTTGACCAACAGAGCATATTGTATGCATATTTTTGAAGTGTAAGGCCCTTGAAGGTAATAATGAATATAACTGACCTGCCAGAGGCAGGTATGCTGACAATATGGCATATAATCTCAGATTGCTTATTTTACATTTGTGTATTTCATAAAGGTTGCACACTGCAATGAACAAATCCTTTTTAAATTGATCATTTATGAAGCTGCCATATGTATCCCCTTTTTGTGGGATGCTCATTGAGATTTGTGTGCCATCTTATTCTCAAAAATAAAGATTTTTCTTCTGATCCTTTTGATTCATGTTTTTCTTTCACTTACCATTCCTCAGATATATGGTTATGGACCTTTTTGCTCTTAGACATTTTTTTAAATTTTCAGAAAGTGAATACAGAATCAAGGCAAGGCACAAAGATGTGTTATAAAAAATATGAATTCAACCAAATGGTTACTGATTGTGTTGCCATGAACAGATGTGACCACATGGATGCACATTAGTGTTTTTTCCAATTGATTACATGATGGGTTTACTTAATTTCACTTTGTCTTAAGATTTTGTTTTCATATGTACTTTTGTGTTTTATGTTTAGCAGGTACCCAGAAGGATAAGGAAAAAGAAAAAGAGGAACAACAAATGGAAGTAACTGAGCCAGAAAAGAAAGACCCTCTTCCTGTTGAGAAGAAACCCCCGGCTATGACAAAATCCCCCAAAGGAGGCAAGAAGTCCCCAGGCTTGAAGTCAGTCAAGTCTGCTCCTGTAGCCACACCCAAAGGCAAAGCAAGTACTACTAATGCAAGCAATGCCAAAGACTTGAAAAAACATCCCCCTCCCCAGACCAAAATGGGCAAAGCCAAGAAACCAGGGCCACCCCCTCCCCCCATCCCAGTCTTCTCTTCTTCTGGCCCACCTGGATCACGGATCCATGCGACTGGAGCTTTGAGTGTGGCTAAAAGCACCTTCACCATCCCTAAAAAGCAGCCGCAGGGTGGGTCAAAGGAGTCTGCAGGCTCTGGACCCTCTCCCACCACAAGGACACCTTCTGCACCCATGTCTTCTACATTCCAGGGTCACCCACCTCCCTCCAAACCTGCCCAGCCTGCAGCCCCTGCATTGCCACCTCCGAACAATCAGATGAGATCCAACATCCGACGCTCACTTACTGACATTCTCTACAAAAGGTGAGATACCAGTAAAAACTTGCTACTATGTGTTATTGTGATGTTTATTTTCTCACTGAGTTATGAAATAGTGTTCTGAAAAGGCATTTAGAAGTAATATGTATAGTATAACTGATCAGAAAAAAAGTTTAAAACTGTTATTGAAGAAGGAATAAGCTAACTGATTCAGATTCAATTACAGATCAATTGTGACTATGGCTGGTTATATTATTCATCAATAATGTCATTGTACCATAGGGTGAGTGACAGTGATGATCTCTCCATGACTGAGGGTGAGGTGAGCAGGCTGGCTGTTAGCATTGAGAAAGAGATGTTCAACCTCTATATGAACACAGACAGCAAGTACAAGAACAAGTACAGATCTCTCATGTTCAACCTGAAAGACCCTAAAAATAAGGTTAGTCAACAATGTGTGTTATAATCAAGCATTAAAATATTTAAATATCTTTCGGGTAATCTTTGTAGCTTTATCAAGAAGTTATGTCTGAGAATTGTTTTTCTGTTTGCCGGGGCGTGTTTAACAGGGCCTCTTCTATCGTGTGGTCGGTGGAGAGGTCAGTCCATTTCGATTGGTCAGACTAAGCCCTGAAGAGTTGCTCTCTAAAGACATTTCTGATTGGAGGAAATCAGATACCTCTGAGGTAATGCAGTAATACTTTTGCAGAATGCAGAAAAATGTTAAACTTAGAAGAGCTGAGCCCTGTAAGTACTATTGTCTGATGGTTTCTGTTTTAAGGCTCTGGATAGCGGTGGAAGATCTCATTCAGGACAGCCCAAAGCTGGATCCAAGCAAGAGGGCGCACCCCCTGATGTGGACATGGAAGACGCCCCTTCTATGTCTGATGGAGATGTATGTATCTCTGCTTCTTCCCAATCTCCCCGCTTGGCTTCTGCTGCAGTAAGTGGTGGCTTTCTCTTTTTCCTTTCCATAGCCTTTGGTCTTTTCCCTTCTGTTGCATTCCTTTTCACTTCAGTTTTCTAAAGCATTTCTGCTTAAGGCTGAATGTCTTCTTTAGAATCCTTTAAAAACTGCTGTCCTAAGGTGCTACAATGCTTTTGCAAAACTCACCCTTGCAGTGTTTCTAAATTTTAATTGCTGCGGCACAGAATGCTTAAGTTTGATGTTTTTTTGCATGCTTTGTTGGCTCATGTCATTTATACACTTAATTTATACCTCAGACTGATTGTTACTTCTTAAACCTGTAAAATGTGACTACTTCATTTGTTCTTTTCTTCTACATTTTGTGACTTTCATGTGAGCAGAATAAATAAGAATATGAACCTTTGTACAAGATATATTAAATGGATTGTATGGAGTGACTTTGGAGATCCATCTTTATCCTTTTAGGATCATCAGGATTCACATCCTCCTGCTGCAGCCCAGGACTCTGGCTTGGCAGGAAAGAGCAGCGCAGTGCCAGACATCTTGAGCAGTATGCTGAAAGACACCACAGCGGAACACAGGGCTCACCTATTTGATCTCAACTGCAAGATTTGTACAGGTGGAACCTCCATAACAGTGTTTTACAGACAGTTAGATATTATCCAAATAAGTCATACTGCTTTAGGTTTTATATTTACAGTACATGTTGTCACCAACTCTCCTTCAGGTCAGAGACCAGCTGATGATGAACCAGCTGCCAAAAAACCTAAAATGTCTGTTCCTAAAAAACAAGACCTACCAGAAAAGCCCAAGGCAGAACAACGGCCATCCAAGGTGCCTGCAGACCCGTCCACAGCCTCTTACTCTGGCAGTGAGACCCCAGTGCCAGCATACCAGCAGAGTGTCATGGAAGAGCCAAGCAGCATGTTGCCCATTGTTCATACCCCTGCAGCTATCCCTGCTGTCTCCTCTGTCACTATAACGCGACGTGATCCCCGTACTGCCAGCCACCGCTCTTCTGCACCTTTGTCTCAAACGGGTCCTGATGTTGCAAATCCTGCTGCTGCACCAGTCAGCATGCCTACTGGAGTGCCTGTATCCGTTGAACCTCCTGTGGTGGAGATGAAGTGCCCTTTGCCCATGCCACCTCCAGCTCCAGTGTCTGTATCAAAATCCACAGTGCCAAAGCCTGTCTCTTCAACAGACACCCGACACTTTGGGGCCAGCACGTCCAGGTGTGCTTTCACAGCAGTTTTTATTGTTCTCCCTGCTGGAAAGGGACCATTAGAAACCAGTAGGATTAAAACCTAATGGTTTTGCCTTCTAATGGGAATTGGCTTAACAGTTTCCAACAGAGATCACTAATTCTACTTCCTGTAGAATGCCTTTAGAGCCCTCTAGGAAACCATCAATTGCATTTAGAATCAGCCGCTGGTCACCTGCTATACCAATGGGATCCTTTACATTGTGATATCAACCCATTCAAAAAGCCAAAACACTTTACAAAGCCATCAGGAACCAACCGAAACACTTAGTGGGTTCTGTGGTTTTTCCAGCAGGGCTGTAATGCATTTTACTTGAAAGCAAGTTCACAGACTTGCATTAAATTGCAACTTTGCAGACACTCTCAATTCCATTTTAGAAATTTTACCGTGAAGTTAAAAACATGTTCACAAAATTCCTCAGCAGTTCTGTTGTTGGTGTGCTAGTATGATCTGGATTTAAGAAAACAAGTAAAAAGGAAATTTTGTTTGTAATTATTTCATAAATAAAATTGAACATGCCTAAGCACTAAGTGCACATAATCAGAGTGAAACTGCCAGTTGTAACTGCAGAGGCACATCTTTCAGTGAGTGATGTTAGAAGGTAAGATAATAATTAAGATCATTAATAACAGTTTTTTGTGTCTGCAGCGTATCTGAACCCCCTCCAGAAGGCGAGACGGCTCTGTTCCTATCAGGACAGGAGATGATGTGGAAAGGATTTATCAATATGCATACTGTTGCAAAGTTTGTCACAAAAGCATATCTCGTCTCTGGGTCTTTTGAGCATCTTAAAGAGGTTCGTTCTTTGTGCTTTATCTGGCTAAATACTTACTGTTACAGAGCTCAAATGTGGTATGTGTAGGAGTTGTTGTCAAGTGTGATTTATACTTCATGCTGAAGCACATTTCTTACTGTCTCACAGGACTTGCCTGATACCATTCACATTGGTGGTAGAATATCACCCCACACGGTTTGGGACTACGTAGGCAAATTAAAGACTTCACTGTCAAAAGTATGTGAAGTCAGAATTTAAAAAAATGACATTTGCACTTTTTCCATTGTGTATATACATTTTACTGCTTAATATTCCAAACACTTAACTTTCTTGTCTGTGTCTGTCTTTTTTCTAGGAGCTGTGTCTTATTCGTTTTCATCCAGCAACTGAAGAGGAGGAAGTTGCATATGTTTCCCTGTTTTCTTATTTCAGCAGCCGCAAGCGTTTTGGCGTGGTGGCTAACAGCAACAAGCGCATCAAAGACCTCTACCTCATCCCATTGAGCTCAAAGGACCCTTTGCCTGCTAAACTCTTACCCTTTGATGGGCCAGGTAAGAACAAGGTTATGTTAAAGACAGAAGAATTGTTTGAAATCCATATTTAATTGTGGATTATCATGGCTATCCCTACTAAATGTTTCATAAATGCCTTCCATATCCTTCCAGAAACAGGTAAGTATGGGTATGAACACCATTTTTGGTGACTTGTATATGAAATAAGAGTTTGTTCCATGAAATTAATGGTTTTCTAAGGTTTTTGCATGTGTTCTCTGGTGAACATGATTGTTTGATATGTAACTTGGCTTGTGTTCTTTCCTGTTTGTAAATCATGTAATTAAAATTTCTAATAAAACATATGCATAACAAATTGGTAGATATGTGTCTCAACCTTGTTTCATAGTTTCCTTTGTAATAATTTTTTAATAACATTGGAACCGTGGAGAATTTTTAAAATTTCAATAGAACTGATAAAGAAACAATAGGCCTACACTATAAAAGTGATAAACTCACATTAAGCCACATGCTGGAATATAGCCATAAGAACAAGCTGACCATGGAAAAATATCCGAGGGACGATAGCAAGGGCTAGAGGAGGAGAAAAAATACCTGAGCAGCTGCTGAGAGGAATCATCCAACTAATAGACATGTTCCTGCATCCTGTGCCTGCCCAGAGGATTGCCTCTTCATCCTGTACTTGTTATTTAACTGTGAATGACTGCTAGAGTATGAAATTGCAGTCAGTATTAAGTTGACTGAGTGAAAGAACCTGATATTAATTATGAAAGATTAGAAAAAAGTGTTAGAACTATGACTGTCTTAAAATTAAAATGCTTATGTTAACAAATTGAGTAATTTGAAGTCAAATGGAAATGATATCTTCTCGATAATAATGACCAGACACTACTAAATAATTAGATTAATAATTTACAATGTAAATACAATACAATGTAATCAAATTTGTTTTGGCTTTTAGACATGTCTTCCTCTCTGTCATTTATATATATTTATATTTATATATATATATATATATATATATATATATATATATATATATATATATATATATATATATATAAAACGTGTGTTTGTGTGTGAGAGAGAGAAAGTTTGGATCAAACTCTCATGTCATATGCAAATAATGCTACAAGACTACTTAAAATGTTAGTGTGTTGTGGTTAATGATTAACTAATGCATCATATTTTAATGTTTTCTTGACAGGGCTGGAGCCAGCTCGTCCCAATCTCCTCCTTGGACTTTTGATTTGTCAGAAAGACAAGAAACGAACTGGAGCCCCGCTAGAGAATGAGGAAAAACGTTCCAAAACTCTACGAGATGACGAGACTGGTCTCCCAAAACCAATCGCTGTTAGCAAAACTGACAAAGCTATACGAGCCAGTCTGGAATCTGTAAGCACAACACCACCAGGGACTCCACCTCCCCTCAGCAGCTTGGAGTCTTCATTGGGTCCGCTTCCAACATCGTCAGTGTTTTCTATTCTGTCTTCTGTCAAGGCACCTGGTGTCACAAGTACAGGTAGTAATTCCCCATCAGCTACCACTTCATCAGCAGTACCTGCCGCCTCTGCCACCCCCCTTCAGACCATCCTGAAGACACTGTTTGGCAAGAAAAAGCAAGATTCTGAAGCTTCTCAGTCACCTTCAGACCAGAGTTCAGATATTTCAGTCCCTCTGTTAGATCCAATTGTCCAACAATTTGGAATTACCAAAGGGAAAAAACTAGACGAAGAAGAGGATGACAGACCCTATGACCCTGAAGAGGAGTATGATCCTAGTGTTAGCTATGGTACAGAGAAGCCAAGTGATCCCATAGTACCTGCAACCATCAAGCAGCCAGATGTCATGACTGGTGTGGTGGATGATATTGCTTATGACCCTGAAGATGACTCAATTTTTGAGGATGTTAAAGTTGATCCAGGTTCCAAGAAACAACAAGAGGAGCAAGAGGAATCCCAGCACCCACAACTGCCCGATGCATTAATTTCCCAGCCTGCTAAATCTCTGCTAGCCAACAGTCAGCTTCTTCAGCTTGGTAAAAAGGTTGAGGAGTTGGTTGGTAAAAGCTCAGCCAACCCAATTATTAATCAAAGAAGGGATCCAAGGCAGAGCAGGGACCCTAGACAGGCATCTGCTACTAGGAGGCTAACCTCTGATTCTGCAGAGAAGGAAGAATCATCTGACATTACATCTACTATTACTACTACTACTTTTACTACTACTACTGCTACTACTACTGCTGCTGCTGCTACTACAGCAGTAGCAGATAAACCACCACTTGACATTGCTGCAATCCTAGACACATTAAAATCACAGCAATCTAAGGTCATAGACACTCCCACACAGCATTCTTCTGAGGACACAACAACGGAACCCTGTGCAACCGCAGAAATACCAGCATCAGAAGATGAGGCCAAAATGGAGTCTGAACCATTGCATACTCCTGTTTCTCAACTAGACACGTCCAGGCCAGAAGAGGAGGCAGAAAGTGAAGAGGTACTTTTTCTAGAAGCAGACAGCACAGAAGTTTCCATTCCACTTTTAGGGGAGAAGATAGACCTTGAGTTAGTAGATAGTTACATGGAACCTGAACCAAAACCTGAAGAGAAGGATGCTCCTATTGAATCAGAAAGCAAGAGTTTTGAAGAGATTTGGCCTAATTCTGCCAGCATTTTAAAAGCAGAACCTGTTGGAGAGCCTGTCTCTTCTGTTGGAGAGCCTGTGGAATGTACTCCAACGACATATTATAACATCTCAACAATTAGTACCCCAATAACTTCTATTGGAGTGTCGCAAGATGTTACTCAAGTAAGTTCATCTTACATGGATTCACATAGCTCCCATCTGCCACACATGACCTCTTCGAACTCTCAAAATGAATACAGAGGCCCACCAGACATTCCACCTCCAGTGTCTTTTCCACCACCAGTTGTACCTCCGCCCATGCTTGGTCCACCACCAATGACTGTTCCACCACCCCTGCATATTCCTCCTCCAGTGTCAGGGCCACCTCCATTGCAGGGTCCTCCTCCAATGCAGGGTCCTCCTCCAATGCAGATGGCTCCACCAATGCAAGGGCTACCTCCAAGTCACAGAGAAACTGATTTATCCCAGTATCCACCACCTGGACCATATCCACCCTATCAGAATCAGTGGGGAAATAGTCCACAGTTTGATGCTTCAAGAGGACCACCCCCACCAATCATTACACCCAGAGGTCCCCCTCCACCAGTGCCACCAATGGGTCAGAGAGGACCTCCGCCTCAGATATATAATAGTAATATTCCACCACAGCCTCATATTGGCCCCAGAGGCCCACTTCCCGGTCCTCCACCTGCTGGGCCACCACCGCCGACTTTTGATGGACAAAGATTTAATGGGCCCCTCCCACCTTTCAACTTTACTGGACCCAGAGGCCCACCTCCACCATTTACAGGTCCCCCTCTTGGCCACTTTGATAGCAGAGCGCCACCACCATCTCACTTCTCTGGGCCAAGAGGCCCACCTCCACTTCAAAATATTGGTGAGCATGGACCACCACCTAACATCACAAGAGGGCCTGGTGATCAGTATGATAATGATGGTGGAAGTTCATACCAACAGGGGATGGAGCAGCCTCAGACTCAAACAACCACACACTCTTACAGAGAGAACCAGGGTCCTTCACATGGACCTGCCTTCAGGGCCCCTCCACCAAACCACTTTGATGTACGAAGAGGCCCTCCTGGTCCTGTAGGGGATATGTCAGGACACAGATTTCCTCCCCCAAACCAGTTTCGTGGCTCACCTCAGCATAGAGGATCTTTTGATGAACCAAGGGGAGGATTAACCCAAGACTTTGAAAGGCATAGGGGACCAGCACCACAGCAGTTTGGAGGGCCAAGAGGTCCTCCGCCAGGACAGTACTCCGATAATGATGCAGGAGGTCAGACATCACGCTACCACTTCGATGACCATTCAAATGACATTAGACCTATACGGGGGCCTCTGTTACCTACGCCTCCTGAAGGTCCGCTTCCAGTGCCAGGCCGCATAGGTGGACACAGCCCAGAGTCCCATCGTGATGAACACTGGCGACGACACTCCCCTGAAGTGAGGAGGCGCAGCAGCTCTGCTAGAGATGGTTCTGAACCTCAGGACAGGTCAAGTAGATTTGACAGTGGTCCCCGTGACCGAGATGGCCCATCAAGGCTGTCCGAAGAGAGGCAAAGAGACTTGTCAGAGGACAGGAGAAGAGACCGAGACCGGGATGGGTCGCATGGGGGCCGGCCTTGGGGCTGGAACAGAGACCGTGAATGGGATCGTGGCAGGGAGAGAGACCGTGAAAGAGACCGCAGCAGGGACAGGGAACGAGAGCGAGACCGCAGTAGGGACAGAGAAAGGGATCGGGATCGTAGCAGGGAGCGGGAGAGAGAGAGAGACCGCAGCAGGGAAAGGGATCGCAGAGACACTGATCGACACAGAGAAGGAGATGGAGACAAAAGGCGAGATCGGGACCGAGAACGAGATAGAGACCGTGGCAGGGATCGAGAATCGGACAGGAAAGACCATGACCGAGACAGAGGAAAGAACAGAGAAAGGGACCGAGACCGTGACAGAGATCGCGACAATAGAGACAAAAGACGTGAACGCTCAAGGAGTCGCGAACGAGACCGTGGAAAAGATAGAGACAGACGAGAGAGGGACAGAGAGCGGGACCGAGACCGGGAAAGAGAAAAGGACAGAGATAGGAGGGAGAGGAGCAGGAGTAAAGATAGAAAGGAGGAAAAAAAAGAAAAATCTGAGACCTCCAAGGACATTGAGAAGTCTGCTGATACTGAGAGTGCATCCTAATTTTCTTCAGTCTGTATCTTTTCATAATTACAAATGTTTCACAGTTTTTGATACCTGGAGTTTTCTTTTCTTTAACAGACTTGCATGGATTTCAAAGTATTCTACATGTGTTGAAGTCTTTTCAAAGCTTTTTTGGTACCTTTTTTCCTGGTCTTGTTGCATATTTTATGCTTTTGTATTACATTCAAGGACACAGGTCTTGATTTCAGTTAGAGAATCTCATTAGAGAGGCAATGTCATACCATTCTGTTGCTTCGACATGTACTTCCCCCCTGTTAAAATATATTTTAAGAGTACATTAAGTAACATTGTTTAATAAACAAAGACATGTAAATATGTATTTGTGTATATACAGGTATGTTTTTAACTACATTTTTTTCTAACTAGAAAAGTAAAGCCATATAGGTTAAAAAATTCATGTAAATGGAAAAAATTGTCTTTCTGAATAAGGTCTTTGAATGGTAATGCTTGTTTAGCACTGAAAGGGTATATGTGTAGGCTGTTGTCAATCAGCTTCCCACTAAGCTTGTCAGATTTTGTTTAAATGTCTATTAAACCCCTCTTTGTATGACCTCAGCCTCTCCTTTCTTTATCACTGCATTAACCATTAAAGTTAACAATGTATGAAAGCTAAAATTTTAGTATGTCATTAGTCTTAAAATAAATCAGTTCTGAAAAAGGGTTAGTCTGATAAGACAGTATTGGGATAAGAATACAAACAGTTTGTTAGACCCCTCTCTGTTAGCTTCATCTTGTGGTTAAAGAAAGAATAACAAAGCCTACAAGTAGTATTTCCACCAGTGCTCCTTAAACCCTTCATGAGCAGCAACACGTTTGTCTTGGTTCTTGTAATGAGATGAGGCGAGATGGTAATACACTTTTTCGCTAGTATATGAATTCAATTTGGTTAGATTTGTTTTATTGATTCTATAGAAATGATACCATAGCTAAACATCTGATGTACGGTAGGTGTGTGTGTGTGTATATATGTGTGTGTGTATATATATATATATATATATATATATATATATATATATATATATATATATATATATATACACACACACATACATACATACATATATATATATATATATATATATATACACACACACACACACACACACAATTATATTGATTTAAGAGACCATGATATTGGCACATTTAAAAAAATAATTGAATTCGTTGACACACAAGCAATGAGCCCACCCCCCGTTTCTGTATTCATGTTGACTTGATCAGTAATGAGTAGAAGCTGAACATTACAAATAGGTCTTTTGGTTAAATCTATCAAGATTACAGCAATTGGAGAAGGCTGTGTTTTTATGTTTAATGAAACTCAGCAGAAAGACTTGTATGACAGAACCTCAAATAAATACATTCACAATTAGGCTCACAATTTTGTGAGCAGGGGTCTGTTTTCCCCATGAAACCTTTGAACCTGATTTTGCAATACTGATATAGTGAATGCTAAAATAACAGGTTATGCTGCAGTAACACAGAACAGGCTTGCAGGCTCTGTGCAAAACATCATTTATTTAGGCAGAGTAAGAAGTGCATGACATGAAAAAAGGGACATCTGAAAAATGAAGATTTAAAAGAAGCTCTATGAGGAAGATCTCCATCTTCAAGTGGAGAAAGTGTTGTTCTACTGTAAAGTGCATTGCCACACACTTCTACAAAAATGAATTAAATGAGGTTGTTTGAAGATTCAAATCTGGAATTCTAACTGGCAGGACAAATGTGGCCACTAAAATGTATGTTAGTTGCTGCTTATGTTATTAGCCCATAAATAGCCTTATCTGAAATGTTGAACTTTCCTTTGGTCCATATGTTCTCTGAGCATGTCTGAATCTGAAAAAGTTTTTCAAATCAATCAAACCATTTAAAGAATGGTGAATTTATTTATTTTGATGGTGACTGATCTTACTTTGTCTTCATCATTCAGCATTAAACTCATCAGCTTCATCATGTATTCATATTCATCTGATATAACAGCTCTCTTTGTACCCTTTTTGTTAATGTAACTACTTATTATTAATGTTAATGATTTTTAAAGTGTTTATGATCTAACTAATAACTGTAGTGTCATCTGCCACCACATAATCATTTACAAACTAAATTTAAACCATTCTTTAATGCTTTATAAGGTTAGTCTTATTTTAAAGTCCTACCAAGAGTTTTTCTGACTTAAAGGGGAACCGATGTTGCAAAATTCGTTAATCATTCAATGGTTTAGATGTAAACAAAATCACTTAGTGGTTTGGTGTGAAATGTGCCTTTCTGAAGAATTTTACAGAGTCAAAGTTGTTCACCATTATAGTACTAGGAACCAGACGTCCGAAGCATTTAATGGCTCTAAAAGCTACATCCCATTAAGTTTTTACACAAAATGGTTATAGATGCATTGCTTGATACCTGAGACATTGTTTTGTGATAGTTTTGTTATAAAGTTTTGCCCTAAAACATATTTTGAATATAAACTATTACTCCTTCCTTGTTTTCTGTCAAAACCGTGTTTGTAGTTACTTGCCTGTAGCTACAGCCGCTCAACACGACTACCACCGGTGTTGTATTCGATTCAGTTCCCCCTCAAATTCACGTTCCCTTTGACAAATCAGGTCCTTGGGCGTGTATTCACAGAAGAGATAAAAACGCCAAGCAACTCTGGAACTACGAAAAGCGAAAAGGTTCAAAAAAGGTTTGTACAGCAGCTGTATTCACCAAACCTGTACAAAAGAACAGTACAAAAAGCATTTATCAGTACGATTGTTTACTGTTTACTCGAACTGAAAATAATATTTATCACTGAATCTCAATTATGCTGTGTTATCTTGGGTGAATTTATATTGGGGATCGAGTGAAAACGCGGCCATTCAGTCTATTTGAACCTTTCCATTTTCCTTATTGCTTGGTGTTGTTTTCTATTCAGTGAATGAGTGCTCGAAGACCTGATTTCTTAAATGGAACGTGAATTTGAGAGGGAACTGAATCGGATACAACACCGGCACCAGATTTTGTTTACTATTTATTACAGTTTTCTTACCTGTTTTTGGAAGATGGCAAAATGTGTGGAGGACTTAGATAAGATCTGTTTCCAAAATGTTGTAGAGCCATTTTGAACAACACAAACGAGTTGTAAGGACAAAATAGTACCCAAAAAACATAATTTTTAAATTTAGCACTATTTTACCATTATCAGCGTAACATATAAAACCTCATAAAACACATATAAGTTCACTGGTCATTTTGGATAGCAGATAAAATGCTGATATTTGTAGTTTAGATATATGGACGTCTGGTTCCTAGTACGATAATGGTGAACAATTCTGACTCTAAATGGTTGAATGATAAAGGAATTTTGCAAAATCTGTGGGTCCCCTTTAACTCTTTGTGCTCTTTCATGAGTGATCTGTTCTGACAGTAGAGCAACAGCGAGGTGCCGTCAGAACATTGTAAACACTACTTAAATAAGCACATATATATATACATATATATATATATATATATATTAAAATATATATATATGTATATATTAAAAATATATATATATTAAAAACATCCAGGTAACACCCAGCATCTGGGGTGGGCTCTCGAGTAGCGCAACCATCTAAGCGTAGTCCAAGAGATCACAATTGGCCTCGCTAGTGGGTGGAATTGAATGTGACCAAATTAGGGAGAAAATTGGAACAAAACAAACAAAAAAAAAATCAGGACACTCATAAAAGAAGCCAGTAAATGCTACTATGAATTATGGAAAATGTGTGGATTAGAGCCTACAGTGTACTGTAAAAGGTACAGCAGTCTATTAAGTAGAGTAGAGTACAGGTGGCAGCTGAGTGTCTAAAAACAGTGCAGTGTGAAAGTATCTGGACAGTGACAAATGTTGTTCACAATGAATTTAGAATAAAGCACTGACTAAAATAGTCTTTATGTATGTAAAGCTGACACTCCACGTTTTAACTGTTTTTTTTCATTGGTTTATTTACAGATCCAATGTCAACAACTGTCATTTTCCTATATGCTTTAAGAACTTGACAGGAATGAAGTCCTGGGAAACATACTCAGCTGAAAGGCTTTGTAGAAACTGATTATGGAAGAGAAATCCAGGTCCTTACAGAGGAGACACTGCAGTTGCAGCATTCTGTCAGGATTTTTCATTCTTGCCAAAAGCTCCAGAGAGCTCAATGAGTTTGAGTTTCATTTAACACATTAAAAAAGATGTCCACTTCTTACTTCTAGTGAGCTCAATATGATTTTTAAGATCTAAAACACAATGTACAGCTTTAAAATGTCCTTACTTATAAGTAACAGACTGAAATGAGTCATGTCTTCTCTAATTTGTAGACAGACCTGCAGTCTTCAGCATGTGTGGGCTCTTCCAGATCTCATGCTGGACTGATGATCACACTGAAAAATACACCAAATCTGTTCTGCTTTTTACCTTCACATACGGTCTTTTGACAGAAGATCTAATGTTCTTATACATTAAAACTCCACACAAATATAATAATATATATAATTATAATATAAACTGTGGATGTAATGGTTAAGTACTTCACTGATTCACTGATTAAAAATTAGTTTGTCAAGTTTATTTCTGTACTAAATCTACAAAATGCACTAAATGTAATTAAAATGACCTGAACTCCTACAAACTATTTAATAAAACTACTTTCTAATTAAAAAAAGATTATGCTTATCTTCCTTGATCTGAACAACAATTACAATATAATAAACATACATATCATCATTTTGTGTAATTAATCATGATTAATCACATTTGATTTATTTGACCTCAAAGATTTTTCCACTTAAACCCCAGTGTATTACTTTAAATAATTTTATAACATTATTTTCATCATGAAGTTGATTAATCACATTTGTTTCTATTTTAATAATGTTCAGAGAAAATATTATTAGTTTTGTTTCATGCATCATTTCTACTGATCAATACTGTGTCACTGGTTAAAATCATGTGATCCACAACACAACATATAAGAAAACAAAACTCTATTGATATAGAATTTTTTAGCACTTGTTCTCAATTTTTTTATGCTTGTCCTCAAATGTTGCCTGCTTCTTGAGGCAAAATGAACAAGGCTAACGTTAAGGTTTTGATGTTCACTCGTCTGTTTTTTCAGCAAAATAGCCTTTCAGAGCAATGACCAGATGATTGTTGAGTGCAGTATCATCTGACTCTTATAACTTATTTTCACAGTAAAGTTAAAGCTTTCACACAGAATAGGTAGAACAACATTTCTCTGGTGGCTGCTTCATTGATGACTGCTGACTGTCTCACTTTGCATGACTGGAGTGGCCAGAAGGATGGCCATACGTCACGCTAGACCCCGGCCACCCCTTGGCTACGTCTCTGCCTCTGCTGCGGTACCCGCGCTTATAACTACGACCAAAGTCCTTTAAGAGAGTCTGTCCACTCCAGAGGTGCCAGGTTTGTGGTTTTCCTGCCAAATTGGTTTTGAATACAGACAGTAGAAAATGAAAATGAATCCTCTAATGAGTTTATATTGATCTTAGTTTGAATAACTAGAAACCTAAAGGCAGACAAGCAGGTGCAGTAGCTACACACTGCAAAAAGATTTGCTAACATGCAAGAAATAAACACTGAATTTGAGGAGAAAATGACTTAATGCTAGTGAAATTCTGTCCATGAAGCAAAATCATTTTACTTGACAAGAAATGTTAAAATAAGTTGGTTCCAGTCTAAAAGTAAGTAGGCTCTGGTAAGTGTTCAAAGGTTTGAAATAAGTAGGAAATGCTGGGTTTTAGATCAAATTACACTTGCTACAGCACCATCATATATGAAATGCACTGAATATTAGCAAATAATTCTTGATTTAATTTTTTTGCAGTGCACTGTAAAATGAAGGCCAAGGAACAAGAAAATAAGTCACTAATTTAAGTGTAAATGACTTAATACTAGTGGAGTATGCTTTTGCTGTTACTTGAAACAAGTTGGCTCATCTTGAAATAGGTAGGCCTAATATTTATCTTAAAACTAGTTCTTAATCTCAGAGCGTACATTAAAATAGGAAACTGATTTTACTGAACTCACAACCAGGACAGCAAGTGAAATTTCCCGCAACATTCATTTCCTGGTAGGTGAAGCATGTTGGACTATCGCCATTAAATAAAAATACATTTAAAAAAAGGCTCCCTACATAGTGCACAATGTGAGTTCTGAAATTTTGGCTTCTTCACACAAATAGTGCAGTACATTTGTATGCATGTGTCTGAATCCCATATTCTCTTTGTTAGACATGGAGAATATGGGATTAGGACTGGGGTGCAGCATACATTATTTTAAGACCTATGTTGTTATTATGTAAGAAGTATAGATCTGAATCATGTAAAGCAGCAGCAAGAACTGCAAAAAACCGGGTGTCATCCAGCACCTGCTCTGTTTATTAGGCCACATAAGTGACTGCTTAGGGCCCCGCGGCCACCAGGGGGCCCCCTAAGACTTCCGAATTGTTGCTGTACTATTACGTTGTCTTGCAGGTGGTGGAGCATGTGCCTCTTGGCCCCTTCAGTAACAATGATGTAGTTAGAAGTTAAACACTTTTTAACGTGATTCCTGCATGTTTAACTGCCCATTTCTTTGACAGATGGCTCTCCGCCTTATTTTCTTGGCCCTCCAAGCAATGCTTAGAAACCATTTCTATTCGTGCACCAGACTTAGAGTGTAAAATTGCAGATCAGTTCTTTTCACATACTCATCTGTTCCATGTGGCCCATTTTAACTTTGAGCACCTTTTTTAAGGGTCTCATCATGGCCTTGCTTGAAAGTGTGATGTTTATAATGAATATCCAATCCCTTGAAACATAAGGAGGAGTCATCAAAGAAGGAAAAAGAAATCATATTACCTAAATATGTAGTGAGTAAAGCATTTACAACAGTAAAAAAGCAATACTGTCACTGGCTTTGAAGTAAGAGCAGCAATCCCGTCAATAAAGCACTGATAATCTCTCTAAGAAAGCTTCACACTGGATGTACTAATGTAGCTCTTACATAGAGTTCAGCTCTGAACATTACAGCCTTGTTCATTGGAGGTCGGAGTCCAAATCTTTGGTACACCCTGGCAGGAAAGCTAGTATTTTTGGCTACCTTGGGAAAAACAACTGTGCACTGAAACATGCACTGACAAAAGAGTTGCTTTAAATGTTCTTGATTCAAATGTGTCCGTCTGTCCTAAATCAACACAGTTCTTACCAAAAGTAAGTAAAATAAAAGACAGTAAATGTGATTATGTAATACATTTTATTCATATGAACCCACTTTACACATTTAAATCAAGTACATTCAAAGAAAGTTTTTTTGTTTCAAAATTCACGTTCATGTTGCCCCTTTTTTGCTTGAGCAGATGCCCCCCAAATTGTCTGAGCAAGGCCTTGATTAGAATAAATACATGTATCACTGGTAGAGTAAGCAATGATTTTAGGTATGTCAGCTATGTCAGTGGTGTTATTCTTAGTTTTCATCCTAAACCTGGTTTGGCTAATCAATACTTTATTAAATTAAATCAAGCTGTGCTTCAGAATTAAGTGGATTCAAACAAATCCATGCAATGTGAGGAGAAATCATGACCCAAACCTGTGCTCTTTTAACCAGCTCACAAGGTAAGACATGCTTGTGACTTTGAACAGTATTCATGTATTTATCGCACAGTACTGTATTCATTGTACTCTGGAAGAGCAGAACGTTTAGGTAACGCTGGGCTACTGGACTAGAATGTCTGCATTTTCTTCATTTTACTGCACCTGTGTACTCTATAAAGAAGTGCTACTTTTCTCTGTAATCCTAATCCAGGTAGATGTTGTCCCAATTTCTATATTCTATAAAGGTTTACATAAGGTTACTTATGTACATAAAAAATATGGAATATTAGCACCAGCCCACAATTACCAAATATTATAGAAATATTTTCAGGGATTTTATTCCAAGCAATTTCAGAGCATTGCTGTTGATCCATTCCTTACGAAATTTTCACACAACGTGAAGAGCAGCTGGTGTGTTCAGATGATGTAGAAAAATGAAAATTAAAAAAGTAGACACTTTTTTTACACAGCGATGGTATGTAACTGTGAGGTATAAAATTTGCCTTATTTTTGGGTCAGTTCTTGTATCTCATTGGCTAAGCTGATGTTTTAAAAGCTTTTGGTGATCAGTCTTGTGATTTATGTTTTATGAGCATGAGTGCTTGTTCTACACCAAAGTATATGTTCGCCTGTCTTATTAAATATAGATTTCAGCTACAGGCTGCATACCATGAAAATATTTCTTATTATGTATATCATAATAGGACTATAAGAGAAAGGACTGGGGATAAAACCTGGAAATAAATGAATAATGGACCAGAATTAATGACCCATATCAATCTGCTAATAATAATGATAATAATAATAATAATAATAGTAATAGTAGTAAAAGTGTATGGACTATAAGTTACTATTACAGCATGAAACTCCATCATGAAATTCCACCTATAGTGCATGTAAGATGCAAGTCAAGCACTTACCAGACTGGAAGGCCCATTCTAAAGAAAAGATCACTATTTATTTCAACTACTGTGGCTTAAAACTTACATTCCGTTCATAGATTCATGTAGGACCTCTATATTCCATTCTATATGGAAAACAGAACTCCTTCAATTGCTTATGGAGAAAACACTATTGTGCAGTGAGTGGAAACATTACATCAACATGTCATTTATTAAATGCATTTTACTTGAATTGATAATAATAGATAGGACTACAAACTCATAGTTTGGCCACACAGCCCATATACAATCAATTTCAATGTACATTTGTCATCACATTTTCAAAAGCATCCAAGTTGCTTCAGATTATATTCTACCCATAGCAGCATTCTGTAAAATCATCTAACAAAATAGTTTAATGCATTCTTACAGAAACAGGTAATAAGATTAAAGATATCACCTATTTCATAGTAATCAGAGAAAAAGCTTTGTTATTTTTATAAAAGCTTCCATCAGCAGACATATACCAGGTTCTATTTTTGTTAACAATAACACATGATTCACAGGAGACTGAGATCCACATTCTCACATCAGCACTGATTGTATTTATTTTATTTATAACCAGTGCTAATGTGAGAATGTAGATCTCAGTCTCCAGTTTCTCCTCTAAGCACTGCAAAAAAGGTTTCTTGGGTACATCGCTGCGTCTACTTGGTTTACTCTTCTCCAGTTCCTACATCTACAGTGGCAGTTCCAGTCTCAACACATTTTCCTGTTCGGTGCCTTCATTTTTATTACCAGTCTCCGTAGCCTCAAAACTAACTGTACAGGAGTCACTTTTCTTGTTTTTTTCATCATCTCTTTGTTGTTCTATGTCTAGGGCCTCACTGACTCTGATTCTGTCTATGCAGATTCTTCAAGTTCCATATTGGTAGCCTCAACATTAGACAAAGAGCTGTCATCCATGTTCGCTTCACCTGATGTTGGCCCAGAAACGCTGACCTGTCCACTATGCTTAGAGTCTTAAATATTTTCAGTGCTATTATGATGTGAGGATTCTTCTTCTTGGATTTACAAGAAAAGTGATTTCCTTCAACAATATTCTTTGAATCCACACAAATTCTCTCTGTTTTTCCTGATTCATATTTTTCATCTGCCTCAACATTAGACACACATTAGTCACATTTAGAAATCATCTGATGTTGGCCACCTAACACCAGACTCTGATTCTGAAGGGTCTTTGTTTGATGCTGGCCCAGAAACGCCGACGTGTCCAGTATGCTCAGAGTCTTTACTATCTTCACTGCTATTATGATATGTGGATTCTTCTGTAGCTCCAAGGTCACAATCCTGTATCTGATTTGGAGGGTCTGTCTCCATACTTTCATCTGTGCATTCACTGTTGCTCTGGTGGACTGCATGCAGTTTTTCTGAATCTTCATCAGATTGCTTTGCTGATATTGCACTACTACAACCAATGTCCATTTTGTTATCAGTGCCTGTGGAGCCACTTCTCTCATTTACAGACATTTTTTCTGCATTATCTCCACTAGCTGGGATAGGAGCTTTGTTATTATTACATTGAAGATGAGCTACTAACTCTTCTTTGTCTTTATCAGGTTTGTCTGGTTTCAAACTCAGTTGCTTTTTCAGATTTTCCTGATCATTAAGCATCATTAACTTTTGATTAGTATCTGTTTCTTTTTCCACACCACTATTTTCACCATTTTGAACATTCTGAGCAGTTGAAGCATTTGGTGCTTCCCCATTTTCTGGTTGGATTTCTTTACCTTCACTAGGCTCTGATTCTGAAGGATCTTTGTTCGATACTGGCCCAGAAACACTGATGTGTCCAATATGCTCAGAGTCTTTATTATGTTCACCACTATTATGATGTGCGAATTCTTCTATAGCTGCAGGGCCACAAACCTTTTCCTGATTTTCCATATTTTCTCCAGTGCATTCACTGTTGCTCTTGTGGATTGCATGCAGTTTTTCTGAATCTCTATCAGATTGCTGTGCTGATATCTTACTAATAGAGCCAATGTCCATATTGTTATTAGTGCCTGTGGAGCCACTTTGATTAGTATCTGCTTTTCCCACACCACTATTTTCACCATTTTGAACATTCTGGGCAGTTGAAGCATTTGGTGCTTCCGCATTTTCTGTTTTACCTTCACTAGGCTCTGATTTTGGAGGGTGTGTCTCAGGGGTCTCTGCTTTTTTGGATTTGATCTCCTTTAGAAATCTTCTTTGAATCCTTTTAGGACACCACACAAATTCTTCCTTTGGCTCAAACTTCTCAAAGGCAAATCTGATTAGTTGTTTTCTCTCTGACTTGTCCAGAACAGAGAACATAAAGTAGTCTAGAACACTCTGCTTCACTCTGGGAAGACTTCTGTTCACCAGAGTCTCCGTGAGGAAGAACTTGACCAGAGGAGCCTGGTAGTGCTGAAACCCCAGGATGCCCAGACACTTCAGGATGCGGGTGATGCGGAGGTTGTTATGTGTGTTTCTGCAACATTAAAGAGAAACCATAAGCCATAAGCTATGAAGTCTACATTACAATAAAGTAAAAATCTTAGAAAAAGAGGACGGCACCAACCTGTCTAGGTTCTTAAATCGATCTTGCCAGTTTTCTGCACGACCCACTTCACCTGTTTCCTCATCTAGCAATTTTATGCCATAGAAGTCCAGCATAAGCTTATAAGACTTCAACAGTCTTCCCTTCACAGGGTCATCTTTACGGAAAAGCTGAAAAAAGCAGTATTACGTTTTGATCTTCACTACAACTGTTAACAGTTAAAATGAGGAATATACACTGCAATTTTCACACTACCAAACACATGTAGTATGATGCTTAACACAGTAAGAAGAACTTAATGTTAAATGTTACTAGCAGAGCTGTTTAACTAACACTATTAATAGTTAAACAGTTCTGCTATACCATTACTAGTAGTAGTACAAGCTGTGGTCAGAAATAAGAAATCTACAGAAATAAAACATCTAGAACAGTATATGCCAATACTGGCCTTCTAGTACCCTTACAATGCAAATTTCTGTGTATTCCTTGCTCTAACCCACCAATTAAAGGCCTTTCATCAGGTTGTTTTAAAAATAGAGCAGGAAAACAATAAAATGTGCATGACTAGAGAGACCAGAATGGCAAAGCACTAATCTGGAATACCTTGATTTCTTCTGGGGTAAGTGGTTGAGAATCATAGTTCATTCCTTGCTCTTGGATTGGAAACAGCCTACAGAGTTGTTTTTGAAATCGGGAAAATGGTTAAAATAAGTTAAAGTCAGGGTATTAGAAAGCTATTATAGTTAGCAGAAAAGTGCTACTGTATTCTTATTAACCCTGTTGCATTCCTCATATACCAAGACGGAAGGGAGTTTACAATCAATAATAATAATAATAATAATAATGATAACAACAGAAACTATTTGAAATATTTTTCTTTAAATCATTTACTTACAATTTAAGGTCAAGTATCTTCCTTATAGAACCAAAGTGCCCGATGGGCTTTGTTTAACCAAATTACCTAACTGGAACTAAAGAATATAGGAAGCCAGTGGAGATTTTATTGATACTTGTAATTTGATCTCTGTTTCCAGTGTGCGTAAAACTTTGGACAAGTTGAAATTTTGTTGGGGTGGGGTTGTAACAGAGTAGTGCATATATATATATATATACATACACACATAAGCCTGTGTAACAGAGGTTTACCACTGAATGTAGGAGTGCACCCATTCCAGCCTGCTGTAATCATGATACCACTTTTTATGAAATTCCTCAATGGATACACCTGAAGATAAAACAGATTAAACATTCCTTAAACTACTTTATGTGAATATAACATTATAATCTACTTTATTTGTATAATTTACTTAAATACAGTAAGTCTAACGCTGGTATGATGTCTATACCATCAGGACGAGATTTCATCTTATTTTGGTAAAACAGCAGGTTGGGTATGCAGTCATCCCTCTGATCACACACCTTATAAAAAGCACATTCAGAAACATTATTCCAACAGATCCACAAACATATGTAGTACAAAACCGTTGAGGTTAAATTACTAAAAATGTGAACCACCAAAGGAAAATAAAGATATGTGGCTCAATCTGACATGTTGTTTTGTGATGTTGCTGTAGGATTAATGGTAATGGGATACTTACTTCATCCAACTCTTCATTAACTGCTGTATCATCACAATTGACTTCCTAGAATAAAAATCAGGCAGCAATAATGAGATGAATTACACTGCACAATTCAAAATGACTTTTTACGTTTATGCTTTGAGAGCTGAAAAGAACTGAGTCTGAGTATCCTGAGTTGATCTTTGTTGTGCTTAGTTAGGCCTTATGCACGGTCTCTTTTCTAAATTTCTTTAAAATAAAACTTAAAAATCAAATTAAATGTCTTTGTAAAAATATTCTCAGTGTACAAGAAGTCGATAAAACTTACCTGAAACATTTTCCTGAAGTTCTGCATGTCTTTTGCAGCGTATGTTTTTCTGTGTGCACTGTGGGGCCATGGTATGTTGAACTGAGAAAATATAGATAAACAGAATATACAGAATAGGATTTAAAGGTACTAAAATGCATACATAGTAAGACATATGGCTGATTTACTTTTTATGATAAAGAATTAAAAGATGTTCATTAAAATAAACCAGTTTTGTTGTTTTATAAAAGATGTGGAGTGCTATATAAAAATTTTCTATCTCTGAAAAGGCTCTGAAAATGTAACTTATGCTCCAACTTTGGTGTGTCTTTTGTATAAAATCTGTTTATGTACTACCTCTTCCTTTTTCTTTTTTTTTCTTTCTTTTATTTTCTCTTTCTTTAAGGTGTTTTCATTTTGTGGTTTTTAATTTTAGCCCCCCCGGCGTTGGTTTGTTAATGAAGTAAGTAAAAGGAGGACTAACACACTTGTAATTCTATGGAGGACCAGATTTGCCAAATTGAAAAATTAATAAAATTAAAAAATAAATGGCTCAGTAAATTAATCAATAAATAAAAAAAAACTACATAAAGTATATATTGCTTATTGTGATTGTAATTATACACATTTCCTTTTTCTGCAGTTATATATTTCTCAATTCATTTATTTCTGTTATTTATTTTGTTTTATTAATGCCATTTTTATATATTTTTTCCATATCTATATTTTTGACAATTGTTCGCTTTATTTATTGTATTCATTTATTTATTTAATTTTTCATTAATTCATTTATTTATTTCTGTATTTCTTTGTTCATATGATAATGAGGGGGCGTGTTTTTCACGTTCAGGCTTAGCAATCAAGACCAGGAGGAGAAGAGCTGATTAAACTGCTCTTTCACTCCATAAAGAGCTGTAATGCCACAAACAGACAAACCTGCCGATAAATAACTTTCGATGGCTTCCACAGGCAGTGTGTGAAAAGTGTGTCCAAATGTCTGTGTGATCTGAAATTTGCAGAAGAAGACGATGGACCACCTCCTCCAAAGTTCTGAACACTACAGGGTCAAACTCTCAGCAGAGGCAGCTAAATGGAGCAAACTGTCCCCACAGCCTCCACATGAAAAAGTGAACAATCCGTACTTGCACTTTCAGCCAGATCAGCCGAGACTCTCAGATCTCTGACTGCCTGTAAGAAGCCACTACTGTACTGTCTTGTCCTTAGTTGCCGCTTAGAGAGCAAGACATGTACAATCGATCTACAGAATCTAACATCGATCGACCAATAGGAATATTAAGACGCTGTGACATCATTGACTGACAGCCCCTTTATTAGCATAAGGACAAGGAAATACAGAAATAAATAAATAGAGAAATAGGTAAATACAGAAATGAATAGTTATGGAAACAAATGAATATAAAAACAGAAAAAATGTTAATAAAGAAACATATATATAACTAAATAAATTAGTGAGAAGGGGAGATTACTAAATAGATATATAAATAAATGCAGACATATTAATTTATATAAGATTTTATTTATTAATATATTAATTGTTATGTATATTTATTTATTTTTAGATTTATCATCATTATTCTTTGCAATTCTACTTCATATATATTATTTTACTATTTGGACAAACAGCGAATCCTGACTCTCTGTGATAATGTACTCAGCAGCAGTGATAAAAGTTGAAAAGTCTGCTGTAGGGACACTTGTCACTTTACAGTGCCTACAACCAGGCAGGTTAAACTACATTTCCCAGCAACCCGTGGCAGCGTAAGTTTCAAGTTGGTGAGTCTGTTGTCCTTTCTCAAAAGTTCTGTTTTAAGCGTCAATGTAACTGTTAGTGTGTTTTTTTTCTGTGGAGTATTTTTTATTTTCAGTTGTATTTTTGCCAAAGTCCGTTTGCGAATTTAAGAAGTCAAGTCACTTTCGATTCTGATAGTTTCGTCTCAGAGAGAGCGGCTCTACTTTTTTCGAATTATTTTTTAAACCCCGCGTAGAAACATTTTTAAAAAGTCTTTCGTACCACAGTCGACGATTATGAAAGTCAAACGTTATAAAATATCATAATCTTACCTCACTGAACTGGGCTTCCGGAATGTCCTCCTTGTCGTCCTCCCATGTAGAGTCATATTCAGTGTCGAAGGAGTCATATTCAGTGTGGAAGTCTCTCTGGTCTCCCTCATGCCTAGAAAATCTATCGCCCATTGCAGGGTAGCGAATTGACCTCTTAGCCATAAACCCCAGTGACCAGTTTACCAACGCGCTGAAGCGACGATAGAGATAAACGAAAGAGAATCACAGAACCAGTCGAGCTACAGACCTGAGAAACTCGAGCACACCCATTAGCTTTAATACCTACAAACAGAAACTGAAAGTCGGGCTTAGCAGGAGTATTTCAGTTATGTCACGAGCTTAGGAAGCCTTATACAGAGGCCTGCTCAAAATACCACCAGCAAATGTGAAACAAAGCACAGTAAACTTGTAAATACATTTGATTAAACAAAATAACCTCCGAAATAAACTGGTTATTTTTTTTAATCTCTTATCTTGTTTCTCCACCTTGCCGGTGTACAGTTGGAGACGTATCTGTTGATGCACAGTTGCTGTTAATTATCCTCTATTCCGTCTTCTGTTTCTGACCACAGTAAAATTGGTGTTTGGGCTAAAATTGCCAATGAGTGGACAATTGGTTGAACTGGTCTACACCAGGATACAGTAAGATGGATTTTGGGAACTCTTCCGCTCAAGGGTTGGGCTGGTACTATTATTACATTAAAGACTATTGCAGTCTTTGATGTTGAGCTTAATAAGTTGATTTATTTCTTTGTCCTGTTGGGTTATTGTACCAGAGAATAACTAAGATTCAATTTGTGAGTTCAGACCATGCCTTCAACATGTGGTGGTAGTTCTGGGTAGGATTTCTATGCAGCTTCTGCCTGTAGCTAGAAGGCCAGACCCCCTTCATAGCTGTAGCAGGACTGATGTAGGACTGAGGAACAGGGAGGAGATGGGGTGCTAGTGGGGATTGCAAACACTTCGTCACGGAGCGGAAGGTGAGGATGTGGATTTATAGGGGGTTAGATTGAAAGAAGGAGGGGTTTCAGGCTTGTTCCTCCCCCCAAACCTCACTTTTAACATAACTACATATTTTAAAACATATGAAAACATCCATTCATAATTTCTGTAATGCAATTTACCCCAAAAACTAAGAAGAGAAGACACATTGAATTTCAAATATCAAATAGATTATAAAATGTAATATTAGTTTTTCAGCATTACAGAAACATGAAAAAGGAAACAAAATTATCTCAACAGGTTAACAAGTTCACACCAGCACACATAACCTCACACGCAAAGGCTGAACTAAGTGTAAAGAAAGAAATCAGCAGGCTAAAACTACGAGGAGAATAAAGGCAGTGAGAGAGAGAGAGAATGAGAGTGGTGGGGGTGAGGGCACCTGCAGATGTATCCCCCGCCTAACACAGACTTGGTCAGAGCATATAGCTTTATGCAAATTATATGTAAATTAAACAATCTACATATACAGTTATTGACTACTATAATGCAGACTTGGACTGGTTCAGAAACAGAACACAGTGTCATTGGTGTCCCTCATGTGCGTCTTAATGAAGTCGACAAGAGTTGCTCTCAGTCAGGCTGGACGCTTTGAAGGTTCTTGAATGGTTCATTTTTACCCAGTTATATGATGGTGGAAAAACCCAGTTCCAGCTTCTGAACCACAGGCTGCCACCATGTCTGGTAGGATAGATTGGAGATAGGCAAGGCCTCGGCTTATGTCACACCGTCCTTCTCAAGGAACATAACAAGCCTCACAGAGACACAAACACCAAAGAACTGTTATTCCCAGGTGTAATACATACATTCTGAAGAAACTGTATTCTGTAGTAGAAAGATTTAAATTTGATTATGGGAGATGACCTACATCCCTTCATCCAAACAAAAGTATCACCAGGAAACCCAACTTAGATGCCATAAATTATAATACAGTGTGATAAACTGAGCTTTTCTCAGAACATGAAGTTCAATAGTGGCTGCAGGCTCATTACAATCATTCCTGAGTCCTTTATGAAACTTACTGAGCGGTGAAATTTCACCAAATTTAGAAAAATATCTGCATAATTAAATGGTTGAGATGTAAATAAAGTCATTCGGAGTGGTTTGATGTGAAATGCCCTGTTTAGAGAAACTTCCTGAATATGAATTGTTAACAGTGGTGGTGGTGTGGTGTTTAACGTCTCACAGAAAGTTCTGACATTACTTGGTTGTAAATACTTTGCCTGATAGCTAAGAGATTGTTTTTTGAAAGTTTTGAGACAAGATTTTGGCCTAAAACTTATTGCCACCCCTGGTTCCTATCACCACCACTGTAAAGAAATCCAAGTCAGCAACAATAAACAGTATACCATTTCACATCAAAACACTCTGAATGACTCTGTTTACATTTTAACAATTGAATTACTAGAATATTGTTAAATATTACTAGAATTTGGTGGAATTCCCCTTTAACGGGTGGACTAAAGTAATTTGGACGTGCTTTTAAAGTGAGAGAAGGCTAAGAATTTGTTTATGTAAAAAAAAAAAACACAAAAAAAACGCCCAACTTTATCTTTAACTTTATCCTTGGCTGTGTGAGGTGATAAACATAATCAGGTTATTGTTATAGACTTAACTCTGCGGTTCGTAGAGCATCCCAGCAGTTTGCTGTGCATTATGTGCACCATTCAGAAATTTGCATATTTATGTATGATTATCTCATTTTGACCAAGAAGAACTCAATGACCATAAAAATGTATTATACTACATTATATATCAACATTACAGTGAACAGAAAAAAAAATTCTAAACAGTGAAGGTTTAGTTTTGTATGGACTTTTTTTAATGGACTCAATTTTTAATTTACATAAGCATTATTTGGGAATATGACTAATGTCAAAACTATAGATTATCTCTGGTCTGTAATTCCAAACTTCTATACTGTCCAACTGTACAGAATTAGTGTAATAACCTAATATGCAGAGTGCTGTAGTGTGATTACTCAAAACTGTTGCATGCATAAAATATGGCTACAGGCCAAAACCCTGTTGAAAGCACATACAGTCGTATGCAAAAGACCTTTGGTCAAAATTTTGTTGATTTTCAAAGAGAAAAAAGTTTTTATTCTGCAAATATTAGTGTGCAATTTCTGTGTATTTGAGTTTAACATATTTAACATCTAAAATATAAAATGTGCAATTACCTTTACACTGGTCAGAATTCTTGTTTTATTTGTCCAGTATGTTAAATTCAGCACATAAACTGTAATTGTGGCTTGATATATGCTGAAGTGCGTTCTGGGATGTGTTAACTTATTTCCCTTAGAAAATCAATAAAAATTCAAACAGGGGTGCACAAACCTTTGCATATGACTGTATATATGTAGGCCAGGACTTCTGGAAAACAACCTACTGTTCTCAATTATCCTGTCAGCCATAGAGCCAGTTTGTCCATGCACTGAGGCAACAAGTGAGCCAAAATAGCACAGTGACTCACCCATTCCTTTTGACAGAACAGAAAATGAAAGATCCTAAAATGTTATGTATGTCAGCGGTGCTGTGAGTCAGTAGGTACGCTGATACTGAGTTTTTGAGCAGCCCTACTTAAAAGCATGTCGGTGGATGAATCATGAAAAATAATGAATGAATTAAAAGAAAATGAAAATAAAATGAATGAATCAAAACCATCCTAATAAACATTGTGAAACACATACACCGCATACATTATTTTATTTTAAGATAGTTGAAGAACATAGAGCTACGCCACCAAAATACCAAAAATCTCTTGCAGTGATTAAATACATGTAACTATAATTGCACATTGCATAGATTGTAGACAGCGCTAACCACATGCATGCATCTGAAATGTCACAAAATGTCAAATTTTTTCTGCATAATTTTTTCACTCTAAACATTTCTACATTATTCAGTCCCTCTAAACATTCAGAGTAGTTTGAAATATGAAATATGAAATGGTAATTGCATAGAAAATTACAGACTTCTTTGCAATACAATGGTGCTGACGGGGATCCAGTGTATACACATTGCAAATACAGTCGTTTTCTCAATGTTTTCTTATTTTCATGTAACAGCTTGAGAATGGTACATTTCACATCAAACCACTCTTAATAGCACTGTTTACATCTTAATAATTGACTTATGCAGAAATGTTGAGAAATCAGTGGAATTCTACTTTGCTGACAGCCTTTATCCTATGACTATAGACTGAACAACTACGTTATCTTCAAGTCACTCAACTGAGGATGCAATTAATGATTTTGCATCCCTTTAGAACCAAGCCTAATCTGGCTGTATTTGGATTGACAAAAGAAATGATTTCCTTCAACAATATTCTTTGAATCCACACAAATTCTCTCAGTTTCTTCCTGATTCATATTCTTCATCTGTCTCAACATTAGACATACTTTAGTCACATTTAGAAATCATTTGATGTTGGCCATCTAACACCAGACTCTGATTCTGAAGGGTCTTTGTTTGATGCTGGCCCAAAAAGCTTAGAGTGTTTACTATCTTCACTGCCATTATTATCTGCTGATTCGTCTGTAGCAGCAAGGTCCCAATCATCTTCCTGATTTGGAAGGTCAGTGTCCATAGGCATAATTTCATCTAGGCTTTTATCATCACTCTTGTGGATTGCAGGTGTTTTTTCTGAATCTTCATTAGATTGCTGTGATATCTCACTACTACTGTCAATTTCCATTTTATATTTGCCTGTGGAGCCACTTTCCATATTTAAAGACATTTCTTCTGCATTATCTTCAGTAGCTGTGATATAAGTTTTGTTACCACTACCACACTGATGCTGATCTACTGACTCTACTTTGCCTTTATCACTATCATGCGCATTTTTATTTTGTGTAGTGGATTCCTGATCTTGCTGATCTTTCTGATTGTTAAGCCTCTTTCTTTCAGGTGAGTTTTGATCTGTTTCTTTTCTCACACCACTCCTTTCACCATTTTGCACATTCTGGGAAGTACTCATTTTCTGGTTGGATTTCTTCACCTTCACCAGACTCTGATTCTGAAGGGGCGTGTCTCAGGGGTCTCTGCTTTTCTGGTTTTGATCTCCTTCAAAAATCATATTTGAATCCTTTTAGGACACCACACAAATTCTTCCTTTGGCTCAAACTTCTTAAAGGCAAATCTCATCAGTTGTTTTCTCTCTGATTTGTTCAGAACAGAGAACATAAAGTAGTCTAGAATACTCTGCTTCACTCCGGGAAGTCTTCTATTCACCAGTGTCTCTGTGAGGAAGAAGTGGACCAGAGGAGCCTGGTAGTGCTCAAACCCCAGGATGCCCAGACACTTCAGAATGCGTGTGATGCAGAGGTTGTTGCGTGTGTTTCTGTGACATTAGAGACAAAAAAATTTAAGCATGAACTCCAGATTCTCCGCATTAAGTTCATCTTCATTATATTAAATCTAGGAAACAGCACCAACCTGTTTAGGTTCTCAAATCGATCTTGCCAGTTTTCTGCACGACCCACTTTGCCTGTTCTCTCATTGAGCAGCTTTATGCCATAGAAGTCCAGCATGAGCTTGTAAGACTTCAACAGTCTCTTCTTCCTAGTGTCATCCTTACGGAAAAGCTGCAAAAAACAACAGTATTGCATTTTTTAACTTTCCCTTTTTACACTCCACTTCATACCTGGTAAGTATACAAAAATGGAACATGAACCCGGCTGATTATTAAAGTATATTTAAAAAGATTGCTTTTATAGAAGAAGGCAGAAACACTCTTAACTTCTAGTATAAGGTGAGGTCTGAAGCTCTATGCGTCCTGTGTTTGCAGGGGATTGGAATGTTTAAATTAAGGGGGCCCCCTGGTCCAAAGGCCCATAGGGATAAGGCCTCTCACTTTCTCCCTTCTTCTCTTAGTTCCAAATAGATGAGATCATTTTTAAAAAGAACCATATGTTCTGTCTCCTGTTTCAACAATAAGAACCATATATAAGCAGTTGGAATATTCTGTTCTAGGGGGGACACTTAGAATTGGCACGGATCCTCTCTCAGGTACTTTATAGTGCTTGATATGATACTGTTTTATTTTGTAATAAACATCTTTTACAAGCATGACTTGAGTTTTCCTTCATCATCTTCACATCATCGCCACTTAATAAACAACATACATACATACATACATCATCTAGACCGCTTATCCTTCAGGGTCGCGGTGGATTGCTGGAGCCTATCCCAGCTGTCATTGGGCGGATTAGTAAACAACAATTATTATTATTATTTTTTGCATGATTTTCTTAAAGCCAATGAGCTTAACTACGGTGTACCACCTGTATACACTTATATACTTGTATAACAATTTATAAACTTTTTTTTGTATGAATGGTATAACTGGATCAGGTCATATTTATGTGCTTTCAAACTTGGTTTTTCACGCTATAATCAGGCCACAATTTAACCCTTGTGTGGTGTTCAGGTCTGTGGGACCCATTTTCAATGTTTACCAAAATTAAAAATGATGCGAGTTATTATTATTTCAACCTCAGATTCCTTGGCCTTTGCTCATTTTCTGTGAAGAACATATAAAATAACACATTTTCAATGACTTCACACTGTACATGTGGTGTTGGGGTGAACCCGTGGGGAATAAAAGTGTGGAGGTGCTGTGTCCCTTCACTCTGTTCTCCTCATACATGGCCAGCTGTTATTTTGTGTGTGTCTGTTTGTGTATGTGTTTATATATGTGTGTGTGTGTGAGGGTGGACAACATGGACAGGCTACTGACTGGCTACAGCTGCTAAGGGAGAACCCTACACTGGCCACTTGTGATATCTGGTGTTTTTACATAAATTGTTATGGTTATGTTTAAAGAAAACAATAAAGCAGTGCTCCACCAGACCACTGAGTAACAAAATCATGAACACCACACAAGGGTTGATGTTGTCTTCAGATGTCAAATACTGTGAAATGATGAAAAGCTTTAAACATATAAAATATATAAATTATAATACGAATACAGTGCCGTAAAAAAGTATTTGTTTCTCGAAGACCCATCTTTGTTAAGAGCGTACAATAAATGAAATAATCAGTTAAAAATGTGCAAAATACAAAAATATGCAAAAACAGAGAAAATTAGGAGAGATGAATACTTTTCACAGCATTGTATGTCAGCTTTATTTCTTATTTCAGCAATAAGAAGCTTTTTAAAAGACTCTTAATAGTCTCTTATTAAGTATTAAGTATTAGCAGTGTATTAAAAAGATACAATTGAACAGGTGCAGACACTATTTTATCTGGAGGGGTGAGCTTACATGAATTTAGATTAAAAAAAAAAATCTCTGAAATCTCTAAAACATTACTCCAATAGCAATCTTGCACATGTTTCAGCCAAAAAAGATAAAAGTAGAAGCTGGTGGTTTGTAAGACATATAAAGCAGTGTCTGCAGTGCTGACCACACCTGACTCGGCTAATTTAAGCCTTTCAATACTTTACAATTCCAGCAGGCTAAACGATAATATGTGCACAACTAGAAAGCACTACTGATCTACAAAAAAGCCAAAGCTGACATAGCTTTAAAACCTTTCTGACATATTAAAGACTTTAATACCTACCTTGATTTCTTTGGAGGTAAGCGGTTGAGAATCATAGTTCACTCCTTACTCTTGAATTGGAAACAACCTACGGATTTATTTTTGAAATATGGATAATGATTAAAATAAACACTGGGATTTATGAAGCCACTGTAGTTGGCAGAAAATTGTTACTATATTTTCATTAACCCTGTTTCATTTCTCACATACACTCTTAAAAATAAAGGGGAAGGGGACAGAGAGGAAAAAAGGACAACTTCTTTACAGATTACAGATTTTTTCACTCTTAGAAGTAAAGCTGCCAAGGGAAAGTTATTTGCGCAATACCATAAAAGTAGAAGAATTTTCTGTTATTTGTACAGAAAACTCAGGCTCAGGGAGAATATAACATCTTTCATATTATGCAGGCTTTTTTCTATACTTTCTTCTGTTTCATTGAACTAAATTGCCTGTTTTGTTGAACAAAGTGGCGCATTGCCTTTACAAAAAGGAAGTTTACCACTGAATGTAGGTGTTCACCCATTCCAGCCTGCTGTAATCACCAGACCACTCTGTATGAAACTCGTCAATGTATATACCTGAAGATTATATAAAGATTAAACCATCTTAAATCTACTGTAGAATATGACTGTGTCTTACATCAGCACTGTGCTCATCATTACTCATGTCATACCATCAGGACGAGATGTAATCTGATTTTGGTAAAACAGCAGGTTGGGTATACAGTCTTTCTTCTGCATGTACATCTTATAAAAGGACTATTCAGAAATATTATTCCAACAGATCCACAAACATATGGAGTATAAAACTGCTCAAGCTGAATTACAGGGAATGTGAACCACTAAAGGAAAAAAGATATGTGGCTAAATCTGACATGTTGTTTTGTGATGTTGCTATAGGAGTAATGGTAATGGGATACCCACTTGATTCAACTCTTCATCATCATCTGCTGAGTCATAAAACCTAACGTGCTAGAATAAAAATAAGGCAGCACTAATGAGATGAATTACACTGCACAATTCAAAAGATTGCAAAAAATACTTTTTCATGTTTTGGGACAGAAGAACTGAGTCTGAGTAGCCTGAGGAGATCTTAGTTAGGCTTTGTTAGGCCTTATGCATGGTTTATTTTCTAATTTTCTTTGAAAAAAATAAATGGTAAAAATATTTCTTAATGAACAGGGGCCAACTATGGCATTGGATTGTTGACCCCCAAAAGTAGAGAAACTAAACTAAAGTGCTAATTTGGGGTAGATTTTTTTCAAGCTGCTTTAAAAAATGTGTTGGGTTAGAAAAAAAAATGAATCGTTTTATGGCTGTGTATTGATCTTAATGTTGAATAGCTGGCAACCTAAAGGACACACAAAAGAGGCACCGTATGACTTTTAATAAACACAATATAGTTGCAGAAGTGTATGGTGAGGAAAAAGAAATAAATCATTAATACTTATACAAATAAATTATTACCCGCCCTCCGAATTTTAACCCACATTCACACCCATATCTCAGTGTATAAGAAGTCTATTAAAAACTTACCCAAAACATATGCCTGAAGTTATGCATGTCTTTTGCCGCATGTGTGTTTCTGTGTGCACTGCTGGACCATTGCATGTTAAACTGAGAATGTATAAACAGAAACAGCTGTAATATGACTTTAAGGTAAGGTTCCATAATACATACATAGTGAGACATTTAGCTGGCAAACAGCATGTGGGTTTAGTCTTAATGATAAAGAATTTCCATGATTCAAGATGTTCATTAAATGAAACCTCTGTTTTATTGTTTTATAAAACACTACCTACTACCTACCTCCTGCATTAAAAAGCTCTGAAAACATGACCTCTTGCTCTATGGAGTTTTAGAATTAAATCTAAATTTTAAATATGTATGTTTTCTTTCTTTCATTTCCTCTCTCTTTGAAGTGTATTCATGTTTTACTCTTGGTTTCTTAATAGTTTCCCTTTATTCTGAGTTGATGATTATCACAGTACTGTAATTGATGGCTTTATTAATGTTGTCTTTATGCAATTAGAAATTGCATGTTACTACTACTACTACTACTACTACCACTACTACTACTACTACCACTACTACTACCACTACTACTACTACTACTACTACCACTACTACTACTACCACTACCACTACTACCACTACTACTACTACTACTACTACTACCACTACTACTACTATTACCACTACTACCACTACTACTACCACTACTACTACTACCACTACTACCACTACTATTACCACTACTACCACTACTACTACTACTACTATTACCACTACTACCACTACTACTACCACTACTACCACTACTACTACCACTACTACTACTACTACCACTACTACTACCACTACTACTACTACTACTACCACTACTACCACTACTACTACTACTACCACTACTTAGCATAGCTGTAATTTCTCTTGTGTTAGACAATCATACTGTAATCTTGGCTCTAGCGAATCCTGACCTTCTAGAAGAATTATTCAGCTGTAGTGATAAAAGTTTGAAAAGTTGCTTAGTTTTAGCTGTCACTTTACAGGTACAGGGCTCTTCATTTTCTGACAGTTACAGCGTTCCGAGTTAAACTACATTTCCCAGCAGCCCGTGGCAGCCTAACTTTCGAGTTGTTGAGTGTGTGGACCTTTCTCAAAAGTTTTCCGTTAAGCGTCAATGTAGTGTGTTTCTCCTGTTGATTTTATATATTTATTATATAAAATATTTTGATAGTTCCGAGCGGCTCTAACATTATAGCTTCAGGACCTTCCCTGTCTTTCTTTTCAAACCCCGCTTAAAACGTTAAAAAAAAGTCTTTAGCGCCTCTGTCGACGAGTATGAAAGGCACGTCACTGGACAGGGTTTCCCGACGGTCATCGTCGTCGTCCTCCCGTGTAGAGTCATATTCGGTGTCGAAGGAGTCATATTCAGTGTGGAAGTCTCTCTGGTCTCCCTCATACCTAGAAATAGTATCGCCCTTTGCAGGGTTGCGAATTGACCTCTTAGCCATAAACCCCAGTGACCAGTTTACCAACGCGCTGAAGCGACGATAGAGATAAACTAAAGAAAAACGCACAAGTGACAAAAGATAGCTGCACTACAGACATGAGAGAAATAAGAGCACCCCACTGCATTTAATACCTACAAACAGAAACTGAAAGATGGGAAGAACTCTCTCTGTACTGGTCAATCCTGGGACATAGTAAGAAGGGTTTTGAGATGGGTCACTTCTTACACTAATGCTTTCATTTTTCATCTTGAGTCTTTTGTTTCTGAACTAAAAGAGTGGGAAATCCAATGAAGATGTCATGGATTAGAACACAGTAAGATGAACTAAGCTTTGCACAGAACATGAAGTAGTTAAAATGAAATTTCAGCAAATTTTCAAAACGTTCTTAATAATTAAATGGTTGAGAGTCGTTCAGAGTGGGGAAGTGGAATGGTTCAATCTAGAGAAACTTTCCAAATCAGGATTGTTCACAGTGGTTCAGACATCTGAAGTTAATGCCACTAAAAGCTACATCATAGAAAGTGTTTACATTCAATGGTCATAAATACACAGTGAGAGAAATGTATTCACCCCTATTGCTGCTATTATCAACATTACAAATAAGCACTCAAGACACTTGTAGGTTCAAAATTATGAAAAAATTATATTCCCCTTTAATGGATGGACTAGTCATTGTGGTACACTTAAGTCCTTTGTCCTCAGGGCAGAGTTTTTGCATATTATGTGCACCATTCAGAACATTGTATGTTTATATACTGCCAAAAAATGATTCTCACACCTTTCTGTATTCAGCCGCAGTAATTTGGTAATTATAGCTCACTAGCACCATCTGCTGGACTAAACAAGTGCAACACGTGCCAAAACAGCCTTGCATTCATGGGGAGCAACTATTACTGTCAGTTAGCTTGATGTGTTGCTCATTTTAGCACAGTAAATTGACCACTTATATTTAGCCATTGACCTTGCTGACCATTTTTCTAACATGTTAAAGTAATGAGAAGGACTAATGAAAGAGAAAGGCAGGAGTAATGGTACCAGTTGCGTAACACACAGGGCCACACCTTGTTTATTTTATAAACAGAAACTGAAAGAAGTATATAAGCTATGCTATAAGCTTCACAAGCTTAAACATGAGCCTGTTTGAAACAGTATAAATAAGAAGCAAACAACAACAAATGTACTAAATGGTTAAGATGTAAACAGAGTCATTCAGAGTGGTTTGGTGTGAAATGCTCTGTTCTAGAGCATTTTTCATTGAACTTGCCATTATTTTATAAATATTACATTTAAAAACTCAGAAGATGTGTAGGACCGGTGGTGCTTTTGGATAGTAACTAAAATGGCTTTGTTTGTGTTGTAGACATTAAGACCCCTGGTTCCTATCACCACCACTGTAAAGGAATCAGAACCGGGAAACAGATTGGGCAGCGCCATAAAAATGTGATGCACTGTATACATGTGTGACAGTGGTGCACATGCACGGTGAAAACCGGGCAGGAGAATAAGCTCTTTTACTGGTTAGGACTTCAAGAGCTGAAATCCTAACCTGTTAGATTAAGCATCAGCATAATTACAGAGTGACAGAGGAATCAATCAATTCCGTATAGAATTCCTCTAAGCCTTCTGGAAGTCCTGGATACATCACTGACTGAAAACAAACAGCAGCCTAACCAATGGGTTGTCTGAAATGGAAAACAGTGGGGGCAGCTCTATACCAGCTCTATACCTCTAGTGAAAGAGTCACAAGCTTCAAGTAAACATGGAAGGTCTTTTAGAAACTTCAAATGTCAAATGAATTCCGTCCCACCTCAAACGGTGAAGCAGTTACATTCTGGTGCAAATTAATTTTCCATTCCACCTTAAACAGAGCAGTAGTTACATTCTGGTGCCTAAATGCGACACTGTTTAAGGTGGAACGGAAAATTTGAATAGGAAGCTCAGCAGTAACCAACTATTAGATTCTTATAGGGACACTAGCAGAAGTTAGCATTATTGTTGATGTGGGTTTTTTACTCATGTTTTGACCAAGTTTTGACATTTATGGCTCACGTTAGAGGCCTAATTCTAACAGTCATGATTCACCACTGCTGTGATGGGAATGTGTTTGATTTATTATATCTGTGTGGAAATTTACAGTGAAAAATACAATAACTTATCATCCGTGTCCCCTTATGTTCCTATTTATTGTAACTGTCCAGCATAGTTTCTATTCTAAGGCCATTTTTATCACTTTATCCATGCACATAAGATATGAGTGACCCAAATGAAATATAATCACAGAGCTTGTGAAGCCAGTCATGCTACAGAGAGCAGCACGCCTATTGCTTTAGTTAAAACAGAAAGTGAAAGATGATCCTGTACAGATATGTATTTCAGCTGTGCTATAAATCAATAATAAATAAATGAATAACTACATTTGGTGTCATGAATAAATTCATTCATATTACATTTCAAAATTAATACAGGATAAAGCTACATCATGTTATTATGATAAACTTTTATGATATTATGATAAACGATTATGATATTTAAACATAGCCCTTTCAGCAGTCCCTTATACATGTTCCGAAGAAGGGCATTCATTAGCACAGGAATGAGCAATATCATCACTTTTGTGAGCATATAAACTAGATGATGAACTGTAAGTGTCACACTTAAAGGTCTTAAAACTTCAGTTATTTTCTCTATTTGAAGGTGTTTGAACATGTTTGCCCTGATTTCCATATAAACACACACACTGTGGTTAGCACAGTACATGAAATCCAGCAGCCATTAGTGTTGAATATACCTGCAACATTTAAGAAAACCATTACCGATTAAAACCACACCCACCCACACACACACACACACACACACACATAAAACATTATTAAGTACACTTAAATCTCAAACTGTGCCATCTCACCCAGAGTTTAGCTGAGTTTACTAACAGCTCTTAGTAAGGGCCACATATGGTGCAATGGATTGAATAATGAAGTTTTTTATCAAGGGCTGGCCCAAATAATTAGAATACTCAAGAGCTCATTCGTTCGTATTTGTTTTTCAGTCACAAAAACTGTAGCCTAAAAAAATAATCAGCAAATTCCTTTAAATAGAACAGTTATTGTTAATTTATCATTTTGCCCCAAAAAACAAAACGTGTATAGTCATTTGCGAAAGTTTGAACACCCCAGGTCAACTGACAAGTATTGTTGATTTTCTAAGTGAAAATAACTCAACACATCCTCTACATAGGACCTAAATATGGCATTTTCCCCACAAAGTTTACTGCACAAAGAGTTTAACATATTGGGGAAAAAATAAAACATACAATTTAAATTGTGCCATAACTTCGGCACAGATCACATTATGTTTTATTTTTGTCAAGTATGTTAAATTTAGAAAAAAACAGTAATTGTGCATTAAAATGCACAGAAGTGTGTTCTCTGTGAAGGATTTGTTGACTTCCTTACACATATAAAATCAACAAGGCATGTAGTTTCACCAGCAGCATCCAAACTTTTGCCTACGACTGTATTTCCTTCTTTACTTTCCTGCACCATTTGAGCAGAGCACCCACTATTTACATTGTGTGAAACTTTTATAATGAACGGACCAATAGAAATGCTCCAAAATCACTTGCAATAAAATCTTCTTACATTAATATAAATTACGTTGTCTAAAAAAGGTCTTCTCCATGGAAGTTACCATTTTGGAGATTTGTTTTTACAGCAATGATCTGGAAAATGTTAAAAATGCATAAAGTATAGCTGGTACAGTTTACAATGCATCATAAATTCATGTCAGTCATCAACATCATCCCATCTTAGAGATTCATAAGAAATCATAAGCCCTTTAAATGAACGAACAATACGAATACTCAGTGCAAGATTTGCTATAATAAATTGGTACACCATAGAGACACGAGAGGTTTGAAGAGTCATCTCAAACATGTAAGTACACTGCTGTGCGTCCAAACCACTCAGTTCCATCATGTAAACACCTCAGACTTCAGGAACCTTTCTAAGAAAACAGTTTTCTAGTTTGACAGCCCAAACAGCAGATTTGTTTACTGCTACAAAATCACCATCACATGTTTTTACATCTGTATCACAGAAGTACAATGCAGTTAGTACAGCGCAGGAGCTGCTCTGCAACACCACACCAACAAAACCATCAGGGTTTCTGTGATTTGACTGGATCTCTATGGAGTTTACGCTTCACTCACACACGCAAGTGGAAAAAAAAAACAGACTTGCGTCTTGATAGATATAAGATGCGCATCTAGTGTAGCCGACGCTAACTAAAACACTGAGTAAAATGAAAGCGTATCTCTTCCATCAGACAGATCGAAAACAAATGTTCAAATGTTATATTTTTGAAGTTTTGAGAACATGTATTCAAGTAGTCATTCAGAAATATCGATGAGTATTTGAAGGCTGCAAATGCTGTTCAGACCAGCCCTAGTTTTATCTGTTCACTGACAGTATTGTAAGTAGGGATGTTAGTGATTAACTAACTAGCATTAATGCTTTTGATTGAAAAGTTCATTTAATTTCCAATAAACAGCAGACTTTTAGGACCATTTTTCAATTGTCCAGCAATGAGATCTCAACTCCTGACGATCGAATTGACTCCTCAACCCCATTTCATGTTAACCAGCAGCATCAGAGCTCTTGATTAAGGCAAATAGCAGAGATTGCACCATGCTAAATATAGTTCACGGCACTAGTACACTAGGATATTTAGCCGCATGACTCAGTGCAAAGGTAGGCTGCAACTGACTCCTTTTAAAGTTACGTTTCATCTGTCACGTAGTGTTTGTTGGCTAACAGTTCGCCTATGTTGTTAGTCCCATAGCATAAAGGCTTAAAAGCTACCTGCAAAGCTATTGACTTCATGTTGAAAACTAGGCATCAAGTTTAAAGCTACTTGTACAAACCATATATGTTCATTAATATAAGCTAATAATATGTGGTAAATATAGTAGTAATATAGTGAGTAGACTACATTACATTACTGACATCTGCTATGTTAAGCTGTGTTTTCCATTCAATAAAGTCTAAAGCCTTGTTTATATAAAAGTGCTGTGTTTGATGTTTCTGTGTCTGTGTTTTTAGGTTTCTTCTCCTTTTCTTTTAAACTTTGGAGTCGTAATGCAAAAACAGAAGTAGTCCTACTTGCATGGAAGGCTAGACACTGACACCTTTATCTCAGCATCTAAAACATCCCATTTCAATAGCAACAACAATATCCCATCCCAATTATCCCCAAATATTTTAGCCACCAAGGCTTTTGAAGGTCAATGGCAGTCAGAGCCCCCTGGGCACTGTCTGTAATTATCTTTGTGAAATTAATTTTGTTAAAAGATCATATCAAATCTCTCACAATCATATGTTTAATGTAACTAGCATATATGCTATTAAAAAAAAGGTGTTTCTTTAAGGGTTTGCGTGCTTAAAGGGTTCTTTGCATGGTGAAATGGTTCTTCAGATTGATGGAGAATGTGTGGGTACATGGTTCTATATAGAAGAAACCTTTTGGTGCTATGTAGAACCCTTTCTATAAAGGTTGTGTATAGAACAAAGTACAGTATAATCATCTTCAAAAGGAAGAACCATTTAAGCATGCAATGAAACATTTTAGCATGCAAATGGTTCTTTGAGTGTTCACAGTTCCTTATAGAACTGTTGAACCTTTTAAAAGACTTCTTTTTTAGGAGTGTATATACATATATATAACTAGCTAATATATTTCACCATGGCTTCTGATTCTAGACTGGTTTCTGTTGCATCAGTTTTTGTCAGATTCATGTAAATTAGAATAAATGCTTGTATGTGTTCTTGTTTTGTTTGATGTTATTAAACTAGCAGGATGACAATCTGTATCTGCTGCAGATGTGCTAATCAACTGTATCCTACAGTGGTAATTGATGTAGCAGATGGACATTAGGCTGAAAAATGCTGGAGCCTGAGCATCGCAAGATGTTCACCTTGTGTTCTAAACACTAGGCCTAACACAGAGGTTTTGTTTCAAGCTGAGAAACCTCATGGTGTTTTTTTTCTGCATTATTTTTTCCTATAACTGGATTTAAGCTGTAATTTCTTGGGATGGAAGTGTCTGTAATTTATTTTTTTCCATTTCGCTTAAAAATAATTTTTAAATCCTTAGATTACACCAAACAAATTACTCCTCTGGCTCAAAGTTCTCTAAGGTAAATCTGATCAGTGTCTGACCTATACAATACAGCAACATGAAGTATTCTTTTTCATCCTTTGATGTTGGCTGGGGAACACCAGACTCTGATCCTCTCCTTTTACTTTTTGTTTTCTTGCTTTCAGTGTTTGCCTTGGAACACCAGGCTCTGATCCTGAAGGGCGTGTCTCAGGGGTCTCTGCTTTTCTGGTTTTGATCTCCTTCAAAAATCGTATTTGAATCCTTTTAGGACACCACACAAATTCTTCCTTTGGCTCAAACTTCTTAAAGGCAAATCTGATTAGTCGTTTTCTCTCTGACTTGTTCAGAACAGAGAACATAAAGTAGTCTAGAACACTGTGCTTCACTCTGGGAAGACTTCTGTTCACCAGAGTCTCCGTGAGGAAGAAGTGGACCAGAGGAGCCTGGTAGTGCTCAAACCCCAGGATGCCCAGACACTTCAGAATGCGGGTGATGCGGAGGTTGTTGTGTGTGTGACTGTAACAGTAAAGTAAAAAATAAAGTTAGCCATTATCACATTCAAGCAAATATTGCTTTGAAAAAAGTGCTGCATTGACTTCATTCAAACGTTTACATTGATTCCACATGAATAATATACTGTTGTATTAAATGTTTGAACACCTGTGGTCAAATTACATGTTTTGTTGATTTTCAAAGTGAACAGTTAACACATCCTCTACAGAGAAACACACCTAAATATAACAGTTTTCCTGCAAATTTCAGTGCATAATTTCTATTTATTTGGAAGAAAAAGAATATATATAAAACGTGCCAATAACACAGCACTTGTGCTGATGTACTGTTTTCATGTAAATGATGCAAACAGTTCAGCCAAGTACTTTAAGCGCATCACTTTATTCAGGTTGAAAAAGAGGACGGCACCAACCTGTTTAGGTTCTCAAATCGCTCTCTCCAGTTTTCTGCATGTCCCACTTCACCTGTATTCTCATCCAGCAGTTTTATGCCATAGAAGTCCAGCATAAGCCTGTAAGACTTCAACAGTCTTCTCTTCAGTTGGTCATTTTCACGAAAATGCTGCAAAAGAAGGCAGTTTATCTCATCTCACTACCAAACAGCTGCAGGGTTTAAAGGGGGGGGGGGTCCATGACAGTAAAGGGACTTCCTATAAAAGGAAGAGACAAACACTTTGGGTGTCTTATATTATTTCCTTGAATAAAATGTGAATTTGCATCTTGTTTCATTAGACTTCTTCCAATGAAGAAACTCGTAACTGTACAGTCTAGTGCAGCGAGCCGCACGGCTCTAGTTTAAAACTGAAGAAGTTTGAGAAACATTAGGTACTTCTGGCTTTAAGTCAACAACAACCACGAATCCAGAGAAAACAAATGCTGTTAGCAGCCACATCGCAATCCAATAAATCTGCTTGTGTTATCAAAGAGTTTCCATTTTAGGTTTTTGGAGAAACAGTCAGACTAGTCTACATTTGACCCATTTGACCCACCAGGGGACCCCCAAGACCTCTGCCTTAATTCAAAGTCTGGTCAGCTGTTAACATTAGTGTTTACATTCATGAGGACTAAATCATTTCATACGACCCAACATTCTATAGTATATAAGACACAAATGCACAATGAAAAGGTAATGCTTTTTGGAGAAACAGTCAGACTAGTCTATTTACTTCAAATGTGCACAACATTTTTATTAATACATTAAAATAAAAAAAAATATCCCTGACAATTGTATTCATGTAATATATTCATGGAATATATTCACGTCTACACATCTACAATAATGCTAATTTCTGCTATGAGATTTCTGATAATGTGTTAGCATTAGTTAACATTGAATAAATTAGTTAACATTAACATTTTTGTCCATTTTAGATTAAATACAGACAAGTATTCCACATGCTTTATTTGAAGCTTATATATTTTATCTTGTATGTTTACCTTCACTAAAGAGCCCAGACATACACCTGATAGCACTGTTTGCCATTTCTACAACTGACTTAAACCTGGTTTGACTAGTGGTGGCTGATTTGTAACAGATCGCTTGTAGTGACTTTGTTGAACCAATTCCACCAGTCCAGCTGAATCTGACTTTTCTGTAGCATCTTTGCAACGTTTAGGTGCTTATTATAGATGGAATAACTGATTAAAATATAATTAAATTCAAATAATAATCTTTCATAGTAAAGTACCACATATTAACTTTTGTTCAAATTTTACAGCATTACCTCTGTTACTGTGTGTAGTTTGCAGACTGGCTTTGAAGTTGCCATTAGATTCTTTAAAATACACTGAACTGATTGAACGATTCACCCTTTCAAGATCTTAATCCTTTTGTTTCTAACCAAACAGGAGTATTACTGCAATACTTTCAGAGTTTAGTACAATAAACATGTTAAATAAAAATGAACTAAACATTACAGATGTAAATGTGATTTTAGTTCCCAGAAATTAGGCTGTCTCTGAAGTCCTTGCTAGCCCTGAGGGCTCCCCACTGCACATCTGTATCAAATAAATTCAGTGCATCACTTTTTTCAGTGCAGAGTTGAACACTGTGGAAATGAGAGATGCTTTATAAAGGGCTAAATGTGCCATGATCAGTATATGTTTTAATGTAATTAATCTAAAACACTGTAACTTGTGGAGAAAACAAGCCAAGCTGTAGGACCTGTCTAATAAAGTTGTAAAGAACCTGAAATGCTCTTTATACATACCTTAATTTCTTTCAGGGTAAGGACATGTGCACAATGGTTTACCCCTTCCTCTTGAATTGGAAACAGCCTGTAGGATTGTTTTGAAATTTGAAAATCATGATGTATCAGAGCCTGTCCAAATTACTATTATGGAAATTTGCAAATACATTTTTAATTATATGTATAGCACAATGTTTACCTTTCATGGTACTTTTTATATGGCCCATTGGCAAAATCCACTACTGTTATACATTGTAAGATAACTCAAAACGTGTGCAGACTGTGTGCAAGAATGTAAATTTTTCTTACCACTGAATGTAGGAATGTGTGTATTCCAGCTTTTTGTAATCACGAAACCAATACTTGTGAAAGTCCCAAATGAATAAACCTTAAGAAAAATAGCAGTACATTATTTATAGTTTAAACCACATAAAATGTATTATGTTTAACAAAAGAGTAATCACTTATGAATGTATGCCTACCATCAGGGCGAGATGGTATTTTATTTTGATAAAACTTCAGGTTATACACCTCCCCCTCCTGCAAGACCAAACACAATAGTTATAAACACAATATCAGATTTCCACTGAAAGACAAAAAACATAAATTTATGATAGTGTTGTGTAAAACTGCTGAAAGATATAAAACTGCTGAAATACTCACGTAATCTTCAGACCTTTCAGCATATTTAATGTTCTAGGTTAAAAAACATAACTGAAAGTTATCTCATGATATCACAGACAATTTAAAAAATAGTGTCTTAAAGAGAAACTTTGAAAGTAAATTTGTGCTTGGTTTGATCTTTTAGCTTATTGTATAACTGTCATCTAGAAATAGCATGAATCCAATACCAAGGATCAGTATCTGGCCAATACCAGTGAAAATTGCAGGATCAGTTTTTGTTATATTATATATAAGGAAGAAAAGAATGAACACAATTTAATTCTATAACAAGTTAAGCCTGAAATATTACAGAATTGCCTGTAGTGCAATGTATCATAAAATGAAATTAGGTAGGTCACATGATATCAGTGCCCACATGAAGTAAGAACAAGTATCAAGCCAAGAATTACAGCAGAATTACAATTAGTTCATTTTAAATAGTGTAATATATATATATATATATATATATACACACACACACACACACACACACACACACACTATATTGCCGAAAGTATTCGCTCATCTGCCTTCATACGCATGTGAACTTGAGTGACATCCCATTCTTAATCCATAGGGTTTAATATGATGTCGGCCCACCCTTTGCAGCTATAACAGCTTCAACTCTTCTGGGAAGGCTTTCCACAAGGTTTAGGAGTGTGTTTATAGGAATTTTTGACCATTCTTCCAGAAGAGCATTTGTGAGGTCAGACACTGATGTTGGACAAGAAGGCCTGGCTCACAATCTCCGCTCTAATTCATCCCAAAGATGTTCTATCGGGATGAGGTCAGGACTCTGTGCAGGCCAGTCAAGTTCTTCCACACCAAACTCACTCATCCATGTCTTTATGGACCTTGCTTTGTGCACTGGGGCTCAGTCATGTTGGAACAGGAAGGGGCCATCCCCAAACTGTTCCCATAAAGTTGGGAGCATGAAATTGTCCAAAATCTCTTGGTATGCTGAAGCATTAAGAGTTCCTTTCACTGGAACTAAGGTACCGAGCCCAACTCCTGAAAAACAACCCCACACCATAATCCCCCCTCCACCAAACTTTACACTTGGCACAATGCAGTCAGACAAGTACCATTCTCCTGGCAACCACCAAACCCAGACTCGTCCATTGGATTGCCAGACAGATAAGCGTGATTCATCACTCCAGAGAACACGTCTTCACTGCTCTAGAGTCCAGTGGCGGCGCTTTACATCACTGCATTCAACGCTTCGCATTGCGGTTGGTGATGTAAGGCTTGGATGCAGCTGCTTGGCCATGGAAACCCATTCCATGAAGCTCTCTAGGCACTGTTCTTGAGCTAATCTGAAGGCCACATGAAGTTTGGAGGTCTGTAGTGACTGAAAGAAAAGTTGGTGACCTTTGCGCACTACGCGCCTCAGCATCCTCTGACACTGCGCTGTCATTTTACATGGCCTACCACTTCGTGGCTGAGTTGCTGACATTCCCAATCGCTTCCACTTTGTTATATTACCACTGACAGTTGACTGTGGAATATTTAATAATGAGGAAATTTCACGACTGGATGAATTTTCACGATCAGGCATAACATTATGACGCTCATTGTCCATTTTATCAGCTCCACTTCCTATATAGGTGCACTTTGTAGCTCTACAATTACAGACTGTAGTCCATCTGTTTCTCTGCATACTTTGTTAGCCCCCTTTTTTTTCTTCGGTGGTCAGGACCCCCATGCACCCTCACAGAGCAGGTACTATTTGGATGGTGGATCATTCTCAGCAATGCAGTAATACTGATGTGGTGGTGGTGTGTTAGTGTGTTTTGCGCTGGTCTGAGTGGATCAGACACAGCAGTGCTGCTGGAGTTTCTGCATCTCTAGGTATTGAGACATGTGGATTGGTACTAAACATTCCTTGTAACCTTTTTTTTCCTCCAGTTTGTTAATATGAACAGACTAAGTAATGAACTGGTACTTGGTTCCAATGGTGTATTTGAAGGCTGTCAAGCCACTTACCCGACACATATGTCTATAATTTTGCATGTCCTTTGCAGCATATAAGTTTCTGCGGGTGCGGTGAGTCTGCCGCTTGGATAACTGAGAAGACAGACACAACATCAACAGTCAACCAATATGCAAAAATGTAATAAATTATAAGGGGGCAAGTACTTTTCACAAAAACCTTTTTGCAGAAAAAAACAATTGCAATATTACAGGGTAGTTGGGTAGTTAATTTAGAAAATTATTTTACTACACTCAGGGTTGGATTTTGGACTTTTTACTTTGAAAATGAAGTGATGTCTAAATATTTAATACACTGTCCTAAATGTATTCAGTAATGTATCATATTACACTGTATAAAAATGTAATATATTCAGAATACATTTAGAATACACTTTGAATACATGTTGAGGCAGATGGGAAAAACCGTAACGTTAATGTTTATTTAATTTACACTTTTCCTCCCTATCACTGCCTCTTCTGTTTAATATGTGTCCTGAAATATTCACTTATTTAAATATAGTAACAAAGTTCATGAACTTCTTGAAAAGGAATTCACCTTATTCAATAACACAATATGTTATGTAATATGACAATAAAGTTGGTAGCAGTGTGATTTTTCAGTTAATTACATGTATGTTACTTGACCATGAAACACTTCACAAGTCCAGTACCACACCAGTGCTAAGCTTATTACTTGTGTCCACTTCTGAGGAGACAGTTCAGTTTAACCATTCTCAAAAACTCAAAACAGTTTACTAATGCTCAGACTAATAACCGTTTCATTACATTGGTTTATCAGTCTACTCAGGCTTTAGCCAGAACTTCACTACTTGTAAAGAAGCCATTTTTTTGAGTTCTTCTTTTTGTTTGTATTTACACACTGTGCTTTTTTTTAAATTAATTAACAAGCATTGACAATGTCTCTTTTAAAAATGGTGTATATTATTTAAATTTAGTGGGTACGAATTCTGACAAAATTCTCCCAAAAATGTAAAAAGTAACTGTATTCTGAATGCTGTCTCAATTAAATGTAACTTGGAGTGAATACACATAGTACATCCCAGCCCTGACTATATTATACTACGAGATATACTACAGTATTACAGATACTAAACAGATTACAGATTGCTATAATTCTTGTATATAATATGCAATTTCTATAGTGCTTTACATTAATTCTGTAATCATCTATGGCCTAATACTTTAATCTCCATATAATATGCACAGATAATCTGCCCCACTTCAGGTTCTGTCCTAGATAATATACGGAGGTGAAAGCATTATAGGTGATTGCAGAGGTATTATAAAGCACTATAGAAAGAGTTTCCCATTCTTAATAGAAAGCATCAAGGTTTTTTGTATTTTTTTCACAATAATGAGGGGAGCTGGCATTTTCAAGTGTTATAAAAACAATAAACAGAAAACAGAGGTTTTGATGTGACTACAAATTTAATGGTCAGTACTAACTAATACCTCTCAGATCCTCTTGACCATTTCTAGAAGCTCCATTATTCCTTTTAGGTTAAACCCATAATATTAATCACCCAAACAAGTCACTCGTCACTTACTGACAACTTCAACACTGACAATATTCACTATGTATTTGTGGAAAGATTAAAATAATAATGTAATCTAATAATATTACTTTTGGGGATTAAGTCGCAGCACCACTGTTAACTTTTACTGACCCTTCTCAAATTTCCTGACCCCATTGAAATAGTCCACTCCAACTAAAATAGTCCACTCCAACTTCAGCTGTACTTTCCCGTAAATAAATCCGGGACGAGGGTTACTTTCACTTTCGATAGCTTCGATTTAGAGTAGCTTATTCCCAAAAAACAACTTACTGACTCCTTCAGCAGCGTTTAGCAGCAGTTTTACACTGATTTTCCTGCCAGCTGACAGAAATACAGTCATGAAAAGTTAATAAAGTGTGAACTTAGCGACTGAGCGGAACTCCACCTTCGTCCTGTCGTGCTGTTCTCCGTCATCCTCATCGTCCCATGTTGAGTCGTACTGGTTCTCAAAGTCATTCTCGGCGCTTTTTGAATCGGCCATTGTCTAGTTTCTTACAGTATTATGAGGCTTGTCCATAGACCCTGCTGACCACTGCGTAGCCAGCTTACCAACGCGCTGAGGCAGCGAGCCAAGTGAAAGTTACTGTCACATGTTGTAAAACCAGTCAGAGGCTAAAGCACACAAGCCAAACACACCCAGTCACTTTACATAAACAGGCCCACCTGAAATCCTACAGGCTGCCTCAAAGACATGAACATTAATCACATATTAAGAGTAAGATTTAAGAATAGATATATTGTACATAATAAAGCCGGTAAAGCTAAAGTCAGCACTAGAATATACAGGAAACGGCAACACGAAGGAAAAAACAAATTGGAGGTAAACAGTGGCTAACAGTGGCTAACACAGAAAAAAGAAACAAAGGTACAATCACTTTCTTTCTTACACAATATACATAAATAATTTTGACACAATACATTTTCTGAAGTATTTTGAAAGGTATATCTTTAGTTTTGGTTGGGATGAAAAACTTTTATGACCAGAGATAAGAGAATAAATTCCTCTTGAGGCAATCTTGATGAAAAAACTATTAGAACCATTAATACTGAAACCTGATTGTTTTGCTTCCTAAGGGGGAGTTGGCTTAATGGTTATCATTAGAGACCACTAGTTTGTTAAATCTGTTAAATCAATCAAAGAGTCCATTACACTGTGATATCAGCCCATTGGGAAAACACAAAATACTGTTATTGACTTAAACACTGAACTCTGAACTCTGAATGGCAGTGTTTATTGACCCAAAATATTCATTATTATTCTTTTAGTCAAATCTAGAGAGTCTATGAAAGTTCATAATTGGTGTCTTTTAAACAGTGATTTGAAAGATACAACTTGCTTTACAGAGAGACATGAATTCTTTAAAAATGACATTTTCTCATAAATTGTTTAGAGAAATCAAACTGCCGTCATCATTGAATGAAAATTCTGCTAATTGTTCAAAAAATCTGAAAACTTCAGTCCTGGAGACAAAGTCCGGTGCAGTGGTGGTGATAGGGGGTAAACCTGACAACCCGCTTAATTTGATTGAAGCAGCACAACACAACTTTAGTAAAGAAATGGATCTATATAGAACCATGAACATTCTAAAAACCTTTTCCATGAATAAAGGGTTCTTCAGTGTTGTATATGGTTCTGTATAAAACATTTTTGAAAAGGGTTCTACAGAGCACCAAAAAGGGTTCTTCTATTATAACAAGCCTGACATCACAACAATAGAAGAACCCTTTTTGGTGCTATACAGAACGCTTTTCAAAAAGGTTCTATATAGAACCATCTACTGCACTATCTCCATCAATCTGAAGAATGAGCACGATGCAAAGAACCCTTTAATCATGGAAAGTGTTCTTTGAGTGTCCATGGTCCTATATAAAACCATTTTAAGTATTAAAGAACACTTAAAGAACTATCATTTTTAAGTGTGTAGGAGGTAAATCTGACAGCTCACTTAATTTCATTGAAGCAACACAACTAATTCAGTTTAACTGGCTCACATGGGTTTGTTTTGCCGGCACTCTGTATTTTATCCTTTTTTGATCTGATATACAAACTTCTTGCATATAACAAAATGAACCAAATTGTAATTCACTGTTCCAATCATTTCTTCTCCCAGTAGATCTACATGCATCAGTTTGAATCTTCTTTAATGATGTGTTTGTCACAGTCATGAACCACATGGTCATATTTTGGTCAAGCTGATGTTTCAAAAAGTTCAAAACACATTTCAAACTTTTAAATGACTTGTACTTTCCATTTTGTTACTACCTAAACTTTATCAAATGTTTCAGTAGTGACTGTACTGGTAATGACTATTTTAGCTACTTTTGACCATAACTCTAAAACACTAGTCTGTACATGACTAGCAAACACAGCTTTGCACAGACATACACACTTAAAATCATAATAATTTTCATTAAAACACATATAGGTTTACTTAATTGCAGAAAATCTGTGTTTCATTTGTGACAATTCTTGAAGTTCCACACTGATTTTCAGACACATTTTGGGACACATTTATTTCAAAACAATGGGATCTAACTGCTCACCAAGTGGCCTTGAGGGACAGAGATTCAGTCTCACTCATGTCTTTAGCTTTGTATGTTTCAGAGGGGTCTGGATTTATCTCATTTGTGAACAAATGAGCTTTCATTTGGTTATAAAAGTAATCCCATTTCCATCACCTTCAGTCATCTGCAGAAATGGACAGGTGTGTTCTTAGTGAAAAGTACACAAGGCAACTGTTTCCGCGCTATATCACATACAGCGATATAGACGCAAAGCAAATTGACATAAAAGATAACATAATCAGCCACAGTTGATGATCAGCTGTTGCTCAAAGTGACTTATATATGCTTATGTTACACCTATGCATGAGATGGAAGCCTTCATATACACTCTTAAATATGAAGTTGCCACAGTTGGTTATTTAGAGCGATAGCCGACATGCAGCCGTCTTTGGTGTTATGAGCTGGCTCCTTCAGAACTTGCAAGGCAGTTGCTAGGAAATTATCCCAGTTGAGACCCTCTCACTTGTGGACCTTGACTAGTCGTATTGCCCTGAATTAGAAAATGTTTTATTCGTTATTTATTTTTCGCTCACCAATTTAGTCATTGCCAGTTAATTTCACTAGCTAAGTCTACAGCGTCAGACAATGCAACCAAGATGGAAGGGTGATATCGTAACAAGAATATACATCTGGAGACAACTTGTTTAACTTCTAAAACCCGCTCCCAAATTTCTCTAGTCCAGAGGTCTTCAGTTCCAGGCCTTGAATCTAGACCTTCTTGAATCCTGTTTGTGCCGTTAGGCAAACTGTGAGGGGTCCAATGCCATACATGTGGCCTGAGGTGACCCAGTACACACCTCTCCAGTGACTTAACAAGATGTGACATGAGCACTACAGGTCTGTAGTCATTCAGTTCCTAATCTTTGATATTGGGACTACACAAGATGTCTTCCAAGGTACCAGGATCCTCTGCAGTCTCATGTTTTATATGTACTGCAGGACACCACACAGCTGGTCTGCGCAAGCCATCAGTTTACATGCTTTACAGCGTTTTTCAGACATGTCATGCTCATAAGTGAATCAAATAAGAGGGAGGTATATATTAACTAATTCTGAGGGATGACAAACAACATTATAAAGATAAAATTAACCTTAATGATGGTGTGAATCCATGCAAACTCCCAAACAACGTGGTGTTGATGTGATGATCTTTTATTTTGCCCTTTTTCAATTGAGTACAGCAGTGAAAAATGACTGGACCTATAGAAATGCTCCAAAATGTCTTGGAATAAAATCTCTTTACATTAACCTACACTGAAAGTAAAGAACGCTTGCCCTCTCCTGTAAACCTATCATTGTGCAGATAGTTGTTTTTTTCAAAGGACAGCAACATTTTGCTACCTCCTCTTTAATTCCCAGTCTTTTTCCTAACTGGTGTACAGGTTAAGTGTGTATTCTTTTTAGTAATTTAGACTTTCCAAGTCACGTGATGCCCATGTACAGGTAGTAAGTGGATATTCCACTCAGCCACTGGCATATTTAGCCAAGTTACTGAAATATTGGCATATGGGCCACAGATTAGGCAAAATCAAGAAAAGCAGGTAGGATAGGAAGATTCATTCTTCTATTTGGAATACAAACAGCCAAGATGGAGGACACTGTGTCATGATGTTAGGTTCCCAAGCCCTATAAGTCAGGTGCAAATGCACATTGCAAAGGTTTTTGACAGCGCTGACCACAGTGGTCAGCTCAGTTCATTTGTGACAGATGCATGCATGCTATGTAACTTAAAGAATTCTGCTGATCTTTCAGTCACTCTAAACATTCAGAGTGGTTTGATGTGAAATGGCTCATTGCAGAGAAAATTACAGACATCTTTGCGATACAGTGGTGTTGATGGGAATCCAATGTATACATTGCAAATACAATTTTTATTGGCAACGCAAAGTGACCAATGAACCTACAGATGTCTTTTATATGTGTTTATATGTATTTTTATATGTGATGTTGATAATTATAAAGAATTGTCAGGATTGTTTTTAAAAGATATGTTTTAGGTTGAAACTTTATCTTTAATCTACTGTAAAACAACGTCTGAGACATCAGACAATGTTTTCTTAATGTTTTCTTAATGTTTTCTTATTTTCATGTAAGAGCTTGAGAATAGTGCAACTCTGAATGGCAGTGTTTACATCTTAGTTATTGACTTATGCAGAAATGCTGAGAAATCAGTGGAATTCCCCTTAAATGACATGCTTCATCCTATGCCTATAAACTGTGTAACTACATTATCTCCAAATCGCTCAACTGAGGATGCTATGCATGCTTTTGCACCCCTATAGAATCGAGCCTGAACTGGCTGTACTGGATTTACAAGAGAAGTGATTTCCTTCAACAATATTCTTTGGATCCACACAATTTCTCTCAGTTTCTTCCTGATTCATAATTTTCATCTACCTCAACATTAGACATACATTAGTCACATTTAGAAATCATTTGATGTTGGCCACGTAACACCAGACTCTGATCCTGAAGGGCGTGTCTCAGGGGTCTCTGCTTTTCTGGTTTTGCTCTCTTCCAAAAATCGTATTTGAATCCTTTTAGGACACCACACAAATTCTTCCTTTGGCTCAAACTTCTTAAAGGCAACTCTGATCAGTTGTTTTCTCTCTGACTTGTTCAGAACAGAGAACATAAAGTAGTCTAGAACACTCTGCTTCACTCCGGGAAGTCTTCTGTTCGCCAGAGTCTTCGTGAGGAAGAAGTGGACTAAGGGAGCCTGGTAGTGCTCAAACCCCAGGATGCCCAGACACTTCAGAATGCGGGTGAGGCCAAGGTTATGGTGTACGTTTCTGTAACATTAAAGACATAAGTGAGCTGTTACCACATTCAAGTAAATATTGCATTGAAAAAAAGTGCTGCATTGAAAAGACTTAATTCAGACATTTACATTGGTTCCACAAGAATAAAATATTTGTATTAAATGTTTTAACCCCTTTGGTCAAATTACATGTCTTGTTGATTTTCTAAGTGAACAGTTAACACATCCTCTGCAGAGAACACACCTAAATATGACATTTTCCTCTAAATTTTAGTGATTTCTATTTATTCGGAAGGAAAAAGAATATATAACGCGCGATGGCTTTTGCACAGGCTACACTTGATGTTTTTTTGTTTTTCCAATATGTATAATTTAGCAAATAAACAGTAACCATACATTCAAATGTGTATAAGTGTGTTCTCTTTAGTGGATATGACTGATTTTCACTTACAAAATTAACAAAACATGTAATTTAACCAGTCGAGCCCAGTTGTGCATACAGTTTTGTCTTTTGGCACTTGTGCTGATGTACTATTTTCATGTAAATGATGCACACAGTTCAGCCAAGTACTTTAAACACATCACTTTATTCAGGTTGAAAAAGAGGACGGCACCAACCTGTTTAGGTTCTCAAATCGCTCTCTCCAGTTTTCTGCATGTCCCACTTCACCTGTATTCTCATCCAGCAGTTTTATGCCATAGAAGTCCAGCATAAGCCTGTAAGACGTCAGCAGTCTTCTCTTCAGTTGGTCATTTTCACGAAAATGCTGCAAAAGAAGGCAGTTTATCTCATCTCACTACCAACAGCAACAGCCATGAATCCAGAGAAAACAAATGCTGTTAGCAGCCACATCACAATTCAATTAATATGCTTTTGTTATTAAAGAGTTTCCATTTTAGGCTTTTGGAGAAACAGTCACATTAGGCTACATTTGACCTATTTGACCCACCAGGGACCCCCAAGACCTCTGCCTCAATTCAAACCCTGGTCAGCTGATAACATTTGTGTTTACCTTTGTGAGGAATAATTATTCCATACGACCCAACATTCTATAGTATATAAGACATAAATGCACAATGAAAAGTTAATGCAATGAATTAACTTCAAATGTGTACATTATTTTCATTAATGAAATAAAATTTAAAAAACAGTTGTGATGATGTAATATATTCATGAAGTTAAATTTCTGATAATGTGTTAGCATTTTTGTCCATTTTAGATTAATTTGGAATTATCTGTAATTTGGCATTAGATTCTTTGAAACATTGGACGTTGGACGATTTTCCATTTCAAGAACTTAACCCTTTTGTTTCTAACCAAAACTTTACAAGGACACAGGAGTATTACTGCAATACTTTCAGAGTTTAAGTACAATAAACATATTGAATAAAAATTAACTAAACATTACAGACAGGTGATTTTAGTTCCCAGAAGTTAGGCCTTCTCTGAACATCTGCACATCTGAATCAAGTAAATTCAATGCATCGCTTTTTTCAGTGCAGAGTTGAACACTGTGGAAATGAGAGATGCTTTATGGAGTGCTAAATGTGCCATGATCAGTGTATGTTTTAATGTATTTAATCCAAGACACTGTAATTTGTGGATAAACAAAAAACCTAGCCGAGCTATAGAACCTTTCTAATCCCATAAAGTCATAAAAGTACCTGAAATACTCTTTAGACATACCTTAATTTCTTTTAGGGTAAGGACCTGTGCACAATGGTTTCCCTCTTGCTCTTGAATTGGAAACAGCCTATAAAATTATTTTGAAATTTGAATGATTTATCAGTGCATATACAAATTACTATTATTATAAATTGCAAATAAAGTTTTTTATTATATGTATAGTATCTTCACTTTTTATGTTACCTTTTAAATGGTCCATCGGTATTATCCACTTGTTATACACTGTTGTGGTTTAAGATTGTGTGCAAGAATGTAATATATTTTTACCACTGAATGTAGGAGTGCACGTTTTCCAGTTTGTTGTAATCATGAAACCAATACTGGTGAAAGTCCTGAATGAATAAACCTTAAGAAAAATAGCAGTACATAATTTATAGTTTCAGCCACATAAAATGTATTATGTTTAACAAAAGAGTGATCACTTGTGAATGTATGCCTACCATCAGGAAGAGATGGTATTTTATTTTGATAAAACTTCAGGTTATACACCTCCCTCTCCTGCAAGACCAAACACAATAGTTCTAAACACAACTGTAGAACTGATAAATTTCCACTGAAAGACAAAAAACATAAATTTATGATAGTGTTGTGTAAAACTGCTGTAAGATATTTGCTGAATTGCTGAAATATTCACGTAATCTTCAGACCTTCTAGCAATTGTAATGTTCTAGGTTAAAAAAATAACCAACAGTTTTCTCATGAGATCTCAAATACAGAACATTCAAAAAACAGAGTCTTGAAAAGAAACTTTGAAAGTAAATTTGTGCTTGGTTTGATCTTTTAGCTTATTGTATAACTTAGAAATGGCATGAATCCAATACCCATTATCAGTATCTGGCTGATACCAATGGAAATTACAGGATAAGTTATTGAAGAAAGAAGAAAGAAAAAAATTAAGCCAATCCAGTTCTGTAAAAAATGTAGCCTAAAGCAAAATTAAGTAGGTCACATGATAACAGTGCACACATTTTGCCTTAAGCTAATTTAAGAACAATTAGCTAGCCAAGAATCACAGTAAACAATTACAATTACAATTAGTTTATTTTACTCTTTATTTGCCCTTTAAGTACATTAAGGTTATATATATATATATATGGGTAGCGCTGTCGCCTCACAGCAAGAATGGCCTGGGTTCGATTCCCGGCCGGGCGTCCGGGGTCATTTCTGCGTGGAGTTTGCATGTTCCCCCCCGTGTCTGCGTGGGTTTCCTCCGGGTACTCCGGTTTCCTCCCACGGTCCAAAAACATGCAGTCAGGCCAATTGGACATGCTAAAATTGCCCCTAGGTGTGAGTGAGTGTGTGAACTGTCCAGGGTGTATCCTGCCTTGCCCCCAATGACAGCTGGGATAGGCTCCAGCACCCCACCGCGACCCAGAAGGATAAGCGGTTTAGACGATGGATGGATGGATGGATGGATATATATATATATATATATATATATATATATATATATATATATATATATATGAGAAACATTAACATTGTTTAACTAGCTGTTTCTTTAGTCTGACTAAAGAGAACGTTGACTGCTAGCAGAGCACTTTACTCATGTGAGCATTCACACATATAACAGATGTATGTATGTTTATGCATCTCTAGGTATTGAGATGTGATTTTGTTCTAAACATCCCTTGTAACCTTTTTTTCCTCCAGTTTGTTAATGTGAACAGACTAAGTAATGAATTGGCACTTGGTTCCAACAGTGTATTCGAAGGCTGTCAAAACTTACCCGATACATATGTCTATAATTTTGCATGTCCTTTGCAGCATATAAGTTTCTGCGGGTGCGGTGAGTCTGCTGCTTGGATAACTGAGAAGACATGCAACATCAACAGGCAATAATTTCATCTGTTTCAGTTTGTTTAGAGGGGTATCATGCTGAGAATTCACTTGCCCACCATCAGTGGGCCACTGCATTCTAGCACTGGCTGAGGACAGTAAGATGTTAGATGTTCATCTGGGCTCTTCTGTGACTTTCTTGGTGAGTCGTCATTGTGCTCTTGGCGGAATTTTGGCAGGCCGGCCGCTTCTGGGAAGATTCACCACTGTTCCAGTTTTTCTCCATTTGGAGATAATGGCTCTCCATATTAGCGTGTTGGAGTCCCAGAGCCTCAGAAACGCCTTTGTAACTCTTTCCAGACTGATACCTTTTATGTACTTTCTTTCTAAAGTCTTAGGATCGTGGCACAGTGTGCTGCATGAGATCTTGTGCTGCATGAGACCTTATATTGCTAGAAAGGTTCTATTTAAATGATGTTTAGATTCAGCAGGGCTGACAGTGATCAAGTCTGTGTGTCTAGCTTAACTGATCTCACTAACTAAATTTAGCTAACTGGTTGGCTGAGTAGCTAGGAGGGCAAAAACATTTTCACACAGTTGGTGTTGAATAACTTTTTTATTTCAATAAATGATCATTTAAAAACTGGATTTTGTACTTTTGACTCTCCTGCAAGACCAAACACTATAGTTATAGACACAATTCCAAAACATATATTAAACAATAATAGAAGTGACTAATAGAAGAACTGATCAATTTTAATATATAAAATTGCTGAAATACATAGTTTTCAGCATTTTAATGTTCTAGGTAAAAAAAAAAAAACAGCAGTTTTCTCATGAGATCACAAATACAGACCATTCAAAAAATAGAGTCTTGAAAAGAAACTTTGAAAGTAAATTTGTGCTTGGATTGACCTTTAAGCTTATTATATAACTGTCATCTAGAAATGGCATGGATCCAGTACCCAGTATCAGTATCTGACCAATACCAACAGAAATTACAGGATCAGTTATTGGAGTTATATAATGTACTTACTTGTTCTGTACATTATATATATATATGTATGTATATATATATATATATATATATATATATATATATATATATATATATATATATATGGAACTTAACTCAAAAAACTGTCTATGATGAGCAAACACAGCTTTGTACAGTTATACACACATACAATTCTAATAATTTTCATTAAAACACACAACGTTTACTCAATTACAGGAAATTTTTTTTTTTTTGGTTTTTGGTTTTTTGTTTTGGTAGTGACAATTCTTAAAGTTCCACATTGAGTTCCACATTGGGACACATTTACTTCAAAACAATGGGATCTAACTACTCATCATGTGGCCATTAGGGACAGAGATTTAGTCTCACTCATGTCTAAAGCTTTGTTTGTTTTTGCATGCACTCTTACGAAAGGAAAACAAATCACAGGAACATCACTGTCAGATAAGAGTTTACTCAGCATCTCACAGGGTTTCGGATTTATCTCACTCATAAGCAAATGAGCTTTTATTAGGTTATAAAAGTAATTCTGTTTCCATCATCTTTGGTCATCTGGAGCAATGGACAGGTGTGTTCTCAGTGAAAAGTACACAAGGTAATGGTTTCCTGGCTATATTACACTATCATACAGCGATATGGAGGCAAAGCAAATTGACACAAAAGATAACATAATCAGCCACGGTCGGTGATCAACTGTTGCTCAGTGACTTATATAGTTACTTACATAAAATATGACTTACATATGCTAATATTACACCTATGCATGAGATGGAAGCCGTCATATACACTCTTAAACATGAAGTTGCCAAAATTGTTTATTTAGAGCACTGGTCGACATTGAGGAGCCACTCTTGGTTCCCTTTCAATGGATGATTCCTTAAAGAACTCAACTAAAAGATTCTTTACAGAACCAAAATTGGCATAAAATTAATGGGTGTTGTGTTTGACTAAATAATGCATATCTTCAATCACTTCTTGTGGTTGAACATATCCTGGTCCTGGAGATCCACCATTCTGGAGTACAGATCTAACAACTCTGTGTTTAATTTACAGGAAGCCTCTGAAGACATGTATCTATTAATTGGATCAGGCGTGTTACATAAGGGCTGGAGCTAAACTCTGCAGGCTGGTAGCTCACCAGGACCAGGATTGGGTACCCTTGAAAGATTAAGATTGTAGAAAGATTCAGTGCATTGAGTTCAACAACTGTGACAATTCAAGTCATGTCAAAAACTGTACTGCTTTCTAGGTATTTTGAAATATTTGTTAAAAATAACCTATTGCTTACCATACCAATGTCAGTGTGTATGAAATTTGGCAAACATATCCTTTTAAGATCCCTTCTCAACAGTTATTATAAACAGAGGCCATTCTATTGACTAATGACTCCCTGTCATTTGTCTACTATCTGCTGAAAGGCCTATACCGGCGCCATAAGGCATGAAGTGCTTGGGCCCCTCAGATCGCCAATTGTGATGTAACTTGCAGACGATCGCTTTGCTCTCATATCAATTTCAGAGTAAATTGTTATCATCTAACCGTCAGAGCGTGATATAACAGTGCATAAAGAAGTTATGTACTATATACCAAATATTTTAGTCCGACTACATCAATGGATGCATTTTTGTTTATTATTTTCATGCCTCTGACTAATGAACAGATGGCAAAAAGAGTGCTGGCAGATCCCTTTAGATCTTTCCACTAAAGACAGAGCTGGCAAAATGCATTGTCACCAACTTCAAGACTATAGCACATGTAGTCTGTGGACACTGCTGTGTAAACTAACAGCATGCAATATTTGTGAAAATGTTTTTAAAAAATGTGTTTAAAAATCTGACTGGCATGCATTTTGCCAAGCTAGATCAGTCTTCAAAGGACTGCTTTCACAATGTACGCATTTTTTTCAAAAAGAGAAGATTATTGCCAGACATATTTTGCTCACAGTTTTAGTGCTCTTTATGCCTTGTGTTTTATGTGCCCTGCATGGCTGTCTAGAGTGTGGAGTGCTTCCGGCTCCCTGACTTTAAATTCAAGTCAAATCAAGGTTTATTTATATAGTGCTTTTTACAACAGGTGTTGTCACAAAGCAGCTTTATAGAAAAATCCAGGTCCAAGCCCAAATGAGCAAGCCAATGGCGACAGTGGCAAGGAAAAACTCCCTAAGAGTAAGAGGAAGAAACCTTGAGAGGAACCAAGGTTCCTCCTTTTGCCAACACCAGATAGCAAACAATAACAAAAAAGCAATATGAACAGAGAATAAGGTTTTAGCATAGTATAAAATAGTATAAAATGTTATAAAAAATAGTCTAAAATATTAGAATACAGAAAAGGGGAAAAGCAGGTTAAGCAATGGCTATGATTAAATAGTTCGAGTCTGTGCAGCAGTAGCATCAACAGATGGGCATGCAGGTGAGGTTTGCCCAGCGTTGTACAGCAAGAAGCTCCATGATGGTCAAACTGGTCCAGGAGATGGGCGAGCAGTGGGCACCTAATCAAGGCAGATAAAGCAACAGCATCAGAACACACAGGATGAACAGTTGTTCAGCTTGGCAAAGAAACACAAAACAATTCGTTCTGTTTAAAGTGACTGATTACAGTATACAGTGTACAGCAGAAACTCTGGCAGGTCGAGCTATTACAGCCAACTAAAAGGGAGAGCCAGAAGGTAACAAAGACATGAGAGCTTCCTGAGATGTCAGCGCTCTTTTGCTCCACTGTCAACAAACTTGAGTGAGTGAGCGAATAAACGCAGTGGGACAACAGCACCAACAACACCAAATTCAACTTGAAGCAGTCAAATAGCCTACAACACAAACGCTTTTTCTGCACTGACCAATTAGGTTAAAGCTAAGGCCTTTAGTGACAGGTTTAATGGAGGAGGGGATTTTGTGTTGTCCACACTGAGTAGAGATCAAAATTATCATGACACAAACAAAAACTACTTTTTTGTTTGGTTTTGCTAGTAGCACCACGACTGCAAGTTAATAATGGATCACACTCTAAGGCCTATTTACACCTTCATCACCCCCTTTTTTTTAGTGATCAGATCACATTCACATTTTACTTGACCACATAAAAAGCCAGATGTTAACACCCCCAAGACATATTATGACTGCATTACAATCGGATCATTCAAACCTCATTTGGAGGTGGTTAGAGATGCATCTTCACAGATTTAACACAAATGGAATGCATTTGCATCCATATACAGTTATGTGAACTGAATTAATCTGCTGATTAACAGGTGAGAGGATAAACAAGACAATGAAAGACGGAGGATACACAGTTCTTTCTTTCACTCTGGGCCGAAAATGTCCAAACAAAGCAAGTCGACTCATATCATAACAGGGATATCATGACAAACTTCCAGACTTCTGCCTATCAGCAGAGAATCTCGTGCTTTTACTGCATAATGTGGCCAAGAACCACTTACCTTGTCAGGAAGACACTATTTGAACATGCAAATTGACCAATCACACCACCTGTTGTTAGCAAGGCACGTAGGTGGAAGCGAAATTTGTTTCCCATCCAAATGATAAAAAATGCTGTACGGAACTGCATACACACTGACATTCAGATAGCCAATCATAATGCAACCGACAAAATACCAACAGTTGTGGCAAGCTTGGTGAGCAAAAGAAGCTCGATTTCTGTGTGGGTACTTCTTGGGGATTTTTAAATGTATTCAAGATTGAATCTTGAATCTTGAATTTTTAAATGCATAAATGGTATATTCTAAGTACAAAGTATATCCAGATACAACGCAGACATGAAATACATGATAATGGAAGAAATAAACCAGCTCTAAAAGGTCAAGCACCAGACCTGCCTAAACATATTAATTAATATTAATTAAACATATTAAACATAATAATTGATAGTCAGCTAGCACAGCTGACTGACAGTTATGATACTTTTCTTTGGTTAGCCACAGAGAGACACGCAGCCAGAAGTAGTATTAAAAAACACTGTGCGCTGTGTGAGCCCCCAAGAAAAAAGGCCATGCAGTGCACCTTCTGTTTTTCAGCCTTCAGAAAAAGCCCAATGTGGATCTCCCTATTGCCATTAAGTTGTCTCTTAGTTTATACAGCCAGTGGAGAGCAACTAAGGAGCCTGGTTCTAAAAACAATGGCCTATGCCATTTAAAAGCTATCATGACAAACATCTAACCAGCAGGCACTATACCAAGCCAGGCGGCCTTCAGGCTGCGTTCAGACGGCGTTCAGTATCTGCTTCTGAACTATAAGGAACCCACCTGCAAGGTGGAGAAAGAGCGGAGCGGATCTTTATGGGTGGGAAGTTCAACACCAGATCACACATCACATTAAACAGACTAAAGAAACTAACCCTTATTCTGCTACTTCCTAAGCATCCCACATTAGCATTAGCGAACATTAGCAAGTGCCTTGAACACCACAACTAGAAAAGAGACACATCAAATATCTACATTAAAGTAAACTACTTATCAAGGTACAGTAGTGAGGGGTACTCATCATCTGTTTCTCAGTGTCTTTTTAGCAAATTCAGTGAGTGGTAAGCTGAGTATTTTTTAAATTGCAAATGTGAGCAAACTTCTTGTACTGTTCAGCCTCACGTTTGCTCTCTGGTTCAGTTTTATCCACCCTCTTTTTTGATTGGTTACCTCCTGAATGGTGACACATGGCAAGACTTTTCCACTGAAATGGACCATTTTTAAAATAGATCCTCAGCGGAGAAATCCACAGGGGAATGAGCAGAGCCTGCAAAATCTGCATCCTGGCAAAGGAATAATGGCATTATGCTCAGAATATGTTGCGTCTGAACGCAGCCTCGATCACTGCATGGCTGAGTTAAGTTGAGAGACCTTGGTCTCAACAAAAAGAAATCATAAGCATATTTTGAGAATCTATCATTTGAACAGTGGGCTTAAAACATTAACTAATAAAATATTGATACTTATGCCAATACTATATTTAAACAAAATATCACGTTATACTGTCTTTTTTTTTCTCCAATCCTTAGTTATAATCTTATGATATGTACAGCTTTGCCCAAACTTCTGTGTATTAAAAGTTTATTAAATATGAGTAAATTTTAATAGGACTGTATGATAGAACAGACACCAAATAAGATTAGAGTATGCCTGCCCAGCTGGTCAGTTATGTATCTTGTAGTCTAAGTTCCTTGTGTATATGTATTATGTCCAAGTTCATGCTGTGCAGCCATGCTTGTGGGTTTTAAGTGTTACCATGACATTTAAGTCTCAATGGTTTTGGGCTCGTTAAATCTTGGCTGTCAACCCCACACCCACCTCCACACCTCCACCCTCTCTGTTCCCTCCCAAGTTGGCTTTGTTAATGATGAAGGGTCCATCGGTGAGGTACTAAGTGTGTCTCATAAAAGGTCATCTCTGCCAGCTCTCACTGCATCAGTCAGAGTCATTAGCCATGTGTGCAACAAATACTTCAAATAGGTACACGTCAGGCTGAGCAATCACAATTGTTCTAGAATATGAATACGCCAGCTGTTTCCCCCCAACACGCACACTTTCGTGACAGGAGACTTCATCACACAGAACTTGACGATATGCTCATAACTCATTCCGCACAATGGTTCACCTGCTTACTTGCTCACTATAGCCTATGTAGTTCACTATGTGGCAGTTTGACCGGTGAAACAAGACAAAGACTTTGTACATTACTTTGTAAGATGCTCTATATCAGTAACTGGACAACTGAAAAAGGTAATCATTTTTCAGCACCAGAAAAAAACATATTTTTATCAGAAGATTACACACACATTACATATATATATATATATATATATATATATATATATATATATATATATATATATACATATATATATATATATATATACATATATATATATATATATATATATATATATATAATGTGTGTGTAATCTTCTGATATATAATGTGTGTGTAATCTTCTGATATATATGTATATATATATATATATATATATATATATATATATATATATATATATGTTCAGTCATGTCAGCCTTTGCCTTTATTTCAGCTTCCACACCTGCAAAGTTCAGCCTTAAAACTGCATTTTCTGCTTCTCTTGATTCAAGTAATCCCTAAAACATCCAGTGATGTTGAGGTCTGGACACTGGGGTGGTCAGTCCATCGTTCCAAGAACACCAGAAGCTTCTTTGTTTGACTCTTTGATTTTTATTTCATCCTAAAACCGTACTTGAATGAATGAATATAAAAAAGACAATGTAGTTTGCTTGTTTACTTGCTATTACTATGTTTCAATCAAATTAGTACTGTCATATACAGTTAAAGTTTGAAGCATATTATTTGTAGCTACCCATTACTTGATCAAGTACTAAGCAGAAATAATGATCTAAGGGGTCCAAAAAATAGACCCTAGTGTAGTTGTCCCATCTATACTGACAGTAGTTATATGAAGTGATATGACAGGACATCCAAAGTTGTCATCAAAGGTTTGCAGGAGCAACACGCTGTGATTTTGTCCAGGGCTTGCTCAATTGCTTGCTAATTGAGTCAGACTTACCTCTGTGAGTACCAGAGTGAACACAAAAAACAAACATATAACAGAAAGAAGAAACCACAATGGTCTATAGAGAGAAAATATATGTTTTCATTTTTTTAGATGTAGACTTATAACATGTACATGCATGTAGTGTAGATGCTACAACAGGTTAGGGCCCAAAAGCAGAGGGACTTTTTTTTAAGATTATAAAATTGTGTTACAGTGACCTCAATATTATCCAAAACAGCCAAAACAAGTGTGTGTAAAATGTTGGTATTTCTTATGTTTTGTACAGCTAAAACAGCCTGGGGTGAAATCATGTCAATCTTATGTTTACCCAGTTGTTAGCATGAAATTAGGAAACATCATTAAATATGAAGAAAATATAATGTCAGTAATTTGTTTTGATCATCTTTACTAAAGAATGCTTGAAGACTCTGCTGTTGTTGGATGCTGGAATGCTGGTCAGCCAGCATGACCATGCTGTTTGACCAGCTAAACCAGCACCAGACTAGCAAAAACCATAATAAACCAGCATAGACCTGCAGAAGTCTGGAGAGGCCATGAGCTATTGCTATAATTTTCTGGATTATTATCTTAGTTAATTAACTTGTTATCTCAAGACAACATCTTTGTAATCTTGAGATCACAAGATAATAACTCGTTACCTCATGAGACAACAACTATGTTATCTTGAGATTACAAGATAATTAACTTGTTATCTCAAGATAACAACTTTTGTTATCTCAAGATAACAAAATAATGAACTCATTATCTCGAAATAACAATCCAGAAAATTCTAACCACCTATGAAGCCCTGTTTACGAAGTCCCGCTGGTAACATCCAGTATAAATAAAAATAATGCATGGCCACAACTTAGTAGGGTACGGAACCCCGCTGATGACATCTTGTATTAATAAAAATAATGTGTGGCCACGACTTAGTAAGGCATGGGAACAAGATAATTAAGTCGTGGCCACAACTTTGTAAGGCATGGGAATGAGATCCTAATGCGTGGCCACAACTTAGTAAGGTGTGGGAACAAGATCCTAATGCATGTCCACAACTTAGTAAGGCATGATCTCGTTTCCATGCTTTAATAAGTCCTGGCCACGCATTAGGATCTCGTTCCCACGTGTTAATAAGGCGTGGCCACGCATTCTTTTTGTTCATATGGGACGTCACCAGTAAGGCTCCGTAGTAGGGTTCCTGCCTGGGTCAGCAGTTGTTTCTGAGTGTGCAGTGGGAAAACGCCCTCAGAATCTATATCTGAGAATGGTCTCTCAAACAGAAACGTCATGATCGGAAGGATCAGTATTACAGTATCGATCCGCCCAGCAGCTGCCGAGCATGGCTCTGAGAAAAACAGTGAAGTTCGTTCCTGAGAAGAAAAGCAGAACCAGGAACTTAGCGGCTCATGAACGAAGCCAGCGAGCTGCTTCATCTCGCTAAAGGAGCTTAACAGCCGCTCATGTGCCATAAAAAGCGGGTAGGTGCTGGGAGAAGCTGCCCTCACGTGTCCGTCGCGGGAGGATGAAGGCGCCGAGTGTCCGCGCGCTCGTCCTCGTGCTCTGCGTGCTCGTGTACCTGCTGGCAGGAGCCGCCGTGTTCGAGGCGCTCGAGGCGGAGAGCGAGAGATCCGGGAGGCGCGAGCTGGAGCGGAGAACCGCCGAGATGAAGGAGAAGTACGGCTTCACGGACGCGGAGTATTACAGACTCGAGAAGCTGCTGCTCATGGCCAAACCTCACCGAGCCGGCCGCCAGTGGACATTCGCTGGGTCATTTTACTTCGCCGTCACCGTCATCACTACCATAGGTGAGCGTTTTGTTTAGTTCCTGCAGTTTTTCAGTTTCTCCATCTCTCATACTTTACAGTTAAAAGGGAAACTCCACAGATTTTCCAAAATTTCTGCGTAATTTATAGTTTGTTATGAAGTGCTTCGTTCTAGAGAAACTTACTGAGACAGAATTGTTCACAGCGGTGGTGAATGGAACCAGACGTCTGAGGAATTTAATGCTTTTAAAAGCTCCTTCACAGTAAGTTAGTACATGAAGTAGTTATGAGTACACTGTCTGAGACATTGTTTTAGGGTAGTTTTGTTTTAAAGTTTTGGTCTGAAATGTATTTTAATCAGTTTATTTTAATCCATTCGTGGTGGAAGGATACATGAAGGTTGTTATAAAGGCAAAATAGTGCCCATACAAACTTTTTATTTTAGATTTAACCTTATTTTACCATCATCAGCATTACATATAGAAACTCAGAAGATGTGTAGGTTCACTGGTGGTTTTGGATAGTAAATAAAATGGCTATATTTGTGTTGTAGACATTAGAACTTCTGGTTCCTGTCACCACCACTGTAAAGAAACCTGAGTCGGTTAAGTTTCACCACTAATGAACTATTTCACAGCAAACCTGTGGAAGCATATCAGCATCAAAATTAAAGTGAAAATGTAATATATGAAATGGCCATGTATTTGTATGTTTGCCTTTAGATTTCATGCTCAATGTTGAGCTCAAAATGAAAATTCAGATTCAATTTTAATTTGGTAATTTGGCCATTTGGTAAACCAGTATTGACATTTCATTTACACATATAGGTGGATGCTATATGAGTAGCTTTATTTAAATTAAAATGTATTTCCAGGAATTTATTTATGCTTAATGTGATTATGCAATAATTGTGTCAAATTGCTAATTAAAATATAACTAATCTTATATGCATTTTCACTCTCTAGTGCTGCATTTAAATTGCATTATCAAAGAGAATACCAAGCTACAAATAGGGCAGAATTCAAGTGTAAATGGGAAACAGTGCTTCTGCTCTTTGCACTTACATGTTCTCACCTGCTGCACTCATTCAGTGTCAAAATGCCTTTCTCAGACTTCCCAACCAATATTAGTATATTAGAATTTTCATTTTGAGCTCAACATTGCATATGTGAGTGGGAAATTTAAATGCAGACATACAAATACATTACCATTTTACATATTACATATTCACTTTAATTTTGATACTGATATGCTTCCATATGAACCAATCTGAATGACTGCACTGAGTTATGCAAAAAGTAAAAAAAATCATACTTTAAACCATCTGCAGCTGTTCCAATTCTGACATTCTCCTCATTCAGGGACCATAATGAACTTTACAATCAGTTTTCTTCCTGTCTAATAAAGCACATGTAAACGTCAAGCACTTCTTGCCCTCTTCTTGAGAACATTGTTGGGTGCAAAGCACTTTTTTGACACTAGATGTCGCTGTTTCATAAACTAGCTCATGTAGATTTTAGGTTGGGTTTGACCGGAATGCCAAGGTCTGTCCTTTTCATTTGGTATTCAATTCAATTAAAAATACACACAAACACACACACACACACACACACACACACACACACACACAAACACACACACACACACACATTTTCCAAACCTCTTATCCTTCTGGGTCGTGGTGGAGGGGGGAGGGTGCTGGAGCCTATCCCAGCAGTGACTGGGTGGAAAAAAAAATAAAAATAAGATTAAAATAAAAATGAAATACACAGTTAGTGCTTATGGCTAGGGATAGTACTTGGGGACTACTGAAGAAAGTTAGATCCTATAGGTAATAATTACACAATGTAATGATAAGCATGTTTTCAGGGCAAGATTTTTAGTATTTTATGTGTTATGTGTTTTTTTAACAAAAAATGTTACAAAAATAATTGATATATTTGATACATCAGATGTTTTGTTTGGACTGATATTTCAAGTTAATATTTGATGACATATTTATTCTACTCTGGAATATCATAATGTTTAGGTGACAGTGGGCTGAGCCTAAGCATCTTCTTTGATGGCTCTGGTGCCATTCCTTCTAACAGAAACTTCTAAAAATGCCACAAAAATTGCAACACCTAGTATTTATAGTTGACTTCAAAAAAGTATTTATAGTTGACTTCAAAAAACCTAGTCGTCTGAGCTTGGGTGCATGTATAGCATAGGCCCCTCCCCCTCCCCGCCCACTTTGCTCTGATAGGATGCATCCACATGTTTACAGTCCTGTTTACATCCTCAATAATCTGCAGATCAACGTGTTTACGTGCACTTGAGTAATCAGATAATGTGAAAACTCCGGGTCTACATGAGTCCAATTTCTGCTTTGTAACCGGCCAATAAACTCACAGAAGAAGACGTGACGTAAACGTAATGTAAAATTCAAACTTCATTTTTTTTTCCAAAAACTTTGCGCCACTGTACCTGAAAATATGAACATATCTAGAAGATCAAGAAAATTTAAATCCTTCATTTCATCAATCATGTATTTGGTTTCAGCATCACTCCAAATGTGTTTTGCTGCCATCTCACGAGCGCTATTTTAAACACTACTTGCTTATTTCTGGTACTGCAGTCTGTTTTCACACATGCTGTTTACATGACCATTTGAATAATTAGACAACTGCAGAAATCCCATTATGATTTGTTATGCTAGTCAGTGTGTTTACGTGCACTTAATAATCCAATCATAATAGGATTTCTACAGTGATTTGATTATTCAAATGGTCATGTAAACAGCAAACTCCAATTTCTTAAATCAGAAAATTTATTCTAATAATGTAGAAATGTAGAATCAGAAGCAACCAAACACTCATGCGCTACATTCAGCATTCAAGCCTCAAGCTACAAAAAGTGGATGCGTCTTTTTGGCCAAAACACTAGCCTACACCTTAATTTATAGGTATGAATTGCAATTTAAATAGTAGTCACAATGTTGGTCAGAAAAAAAATATAATTTGATATTTTCCCCAAATCACTCAGCCCTATCAGAGACCCTCGGAAGAAACAGAGGAATGTATGAGTGATTGTTTTACATTTTGATTCACAGTTTTGAACATTTTTCAGGACTTTCCATTGAAATTGTTACTACTTTAGTAAAATGACCAATGGGACTTCAACTAAAACAAGTTAGTTTAATTAAATACATTGCATTTCTGTTGTAATGTTGAATGCATGCTTGTAACGCTTTGTGCTTTTGCATGTTACGACAGGTTATGGCCATTCATCACCTCGAACGGATGCTGGTAAAGTCTTCTGCATGTTCTATGCTGTGCTGGGCATTCCTCTAACGCTTGTCATGTTCCAGAGCATTGGAGAGCGCATGAACACATTTGTACGCTACCTGATGCACAGAAGCGTCAGGTGCATAGGTCTGGCCAGGACGGGTGTGTCCATGGGAAACATGGTTTCTGTTGGCTTTCTGTTCTGCTTGAGTACACTTTGTATAGGGGCTGCCGCCTTTTCTCATTTTGAGGGCTGGAGCTTCTTCCATGCCTGCTACTACTGCTTCATCACCCTCACCACTATTGGGTTTGGAGACTTTGTTGCTTTGCAGAAGAAGGAAGACCTGGAGAAGAAGTTTCCATACGTGGCCTTCACCTTCACGTACATCCTTGTTGGGTTGAGTGTGATCGGGGCATTCCTTAATCTTGTGGTGTTGCGGTTCCTCACTGTAAGTTCAGAGGGAGAAGACGGGAATGAGAGAATGACCCAAGAGGAGCCTCACAGAAGATCCTGTATGGCGTCCACCGTGTCTACAGTAGAGAATGGACACAGCAGCCACAGCACCTTCTCTCTGCCCATGGCTGGAGGCAACAGCTGTACCAACCTCATCTCTTCTACATGTGGGGAAAGTATGGGCCCCAAGAGGAGAAGCAGTTCTCTTTCACATCCTGGACTTTGCTCGTGCTGTTTTTGTCCCTGGATTTCGTGTGGACTGGATGCCTGTGATGGCTTCAGTCTTACAATGTCAGAATCAGTAGACCGTGGATGCCATTCAAACCCAGTCTTCTACAACTCTGTCTCCTACAGGGTGGATGGGGCGTCATACTGTGGGTCTGGAGGCAGCTCCGCTTTGGGTTCTCCTAATGGACTTCTGATTCCAGACAGGAATAGATCCTTTATGAGGAGGAGATCTGTATAAACAAGTGAAGGAGCTTTTGGCTGGGTTTGTTGGAATGTACAGCAGTAAATTGACACTGTTTTAACAAAACCTTATATATGTGAAGTGGAAATCTTTGAAACGTATACAAAGTGTTTTAGTGCAAAATGTAGAAAACCATAAAGACTCGGATTTCTTTATAATAGTGGTGATAGGACCCAGACGTTGCATGTCTGAAATGCAAATGTTGCCATTTTATTTAACCTTCAGCCTTCACATGTCATCTGAGTTTAAATTTCTTGGGGTTCTGTTTTGCCTTACAACGACCTACATGTGCCTTGCAGCCCTGCAAATATATTTTAAAAATGTTTTAGGCCAAAGATTTTTTCAAAACCTTTCTAAAACTAGCCTGGAAAAGGATGGCATTCCCACTCCAGGTAAGGGGAAAGGACCTGCCCCAGGTGGAGGAGTTTAAGTATCTGGAGGTCTTGTTCATGAGTGATGGGAAGAGGGATCGTGAGATCGGCCTATATCGACTATGATACCAACTTAGAGATATTATATGGATATAATTAAGGTACAAGGTTTTTTTTATGATGGCAAAGAAATGAATTTGATAAAGACTCAAATGGCAAAATGGCTAGTGAGCTGGCTAAACTAAGCTTTTAAGCTAACTGTTTAGTATGCTTTTTCTTATTTTTGACTCATGTACCATACATATAAATACTATGTAATGTCTCAAAGACTAATTGTGTACAGCATTGTGCAAAAGTCAGAGACTACCCTTCATTTAATTTAATAAATCAAAATAACCATTATGTTATTCATTTTTCAGCATAAGAAAAAAGCAGAAAACATATTTTAACAGAACGCATTACAGAGAAGCTTCAACAACTAAATATTATATCATTTCTTTCAGTATTTAATGTGTCCTCTCTGCATTTATTACAGCTTCTGTTTTATTTCAGCAGACTTGCTTTCAGTTTTTCAAAGAAATCTGCAGGGATATGTTTCCACACCTCCAAAGTTCAGATTTAGAAAGTTTCTTCTTTTTACAATCCACGTAATCACATTCATTGATGTTGAGGTCTGGACTCTGGGGTGTTCAGTCCATGGAGTGCAGCAGCTTCTTTGTCTGATTTCCAAATTTCCTTTTTCTGTCTATTTCTGAAGGCTTTTTGCACATCCTTTCAGACCCACAGCATTGAGTTGTCTTCTCACATTGATTGATTTTGTCCTGTTGCTTAAAGATGAAAGCTTTAAGTGCTGTTTATGACAGTGACAGTTTTGGTGGTCTCCCCAATTATGTAATATCACCCAGAAACGTAAAAAAAAAACCTTTGCACCTTACTTAGTCAAAATTGTAATAAAACCCAATAATGTAGTAACTTACCTAGCAATGTAATATAATGTCTTAACTGAAATTATAATAGTATTTTTTAATATCTTATTACATTATTTATATTTATACATTATATATACACACATCCACACACAGGATATATATATTTGTATATGTATATATATATATATATATATATATATATACACACATTTTTTCAAAGTGGATGATGTAATACTTTTAAGAGCAGTTGTCAAAGTTCTCCTACAATGCTTTAGAGCATTTGGTCAGTATGGATTGCTGCAGTAACTAATCCAAACTGTCTCTTTTTATATGATAAGCCTACTCAGAAATGGCCTAGTGAGTAGCTGAATTACCACACCCGTTGATATATTATGACTTAAAGCTGCTTCTTACTCCATTATGGAATGTCTATATAACATTTTGGAATCCTGCTAAACCTTCTCAGCTATGAGCAATGCTAAGTTCTGAAACATTCTGCCAATGTGTCATCACTGTGATGTGAATTATGATTGGCCCTGGAGGCTCTCAGAGACCCTTTAATTTGTTTATAGCGCAGTCCCTGAATGACTCTCTTAATCTGAAGTGGTGTGTATCAGCCTGCCAGGAGTGTCGGATATTTTAGATTAAGTGGGGGGTGAATGTGAGCTTGATGGCAATCTTCCGTATTTGAGTCTTGCATGGTGCATTTAATAAAGAAGAGCATTTGCACAAAGTAGTGCTTCTTAGTTCCAGTGCTGCTCCTGTGCTCTACACATTTTCCTTGATCTAGCTCTACAAATTGAGCTCAGTAGAGGTTCAGCACTTAGCTGATAAGTTTAACAGGGTTTTCACACATCCTGGAAGACCTGGAAATTACTGCCGAGTTTTCCAGCATGAAATCCTGGAAAAGTGAGATGTTGGGCTACTGAAAATGCATATATTAGCATATTTTTAGCTGCTAATGCCCAGTGTCCATTCATACCTCTTGTAGTTTGTAATGCTACAGTGTCACATGTGGACAGATGCAAGCACTTAGTTGTGTGCAAAAGTTTTAGCACCCCGGTCAAATAATATGTTTTGTTGATTTTCTAAGTGAATATAAGTGAACACATCCTCTACATAGAACACACATCTGCACATGTTAATGCACAAGTTATGGCATATTTTATATTTTAGTTTTTTTTCCAATATGTTAAACTTAACATATTAGGGTTCTCCTTTAGCAGCTGCAGCCAGTCAGCAGCCTGTCCATGTTGTCACCCTCACACACACACATATACAAACACATACACAAACAGACACAAACACAATATCAGCAGGCCATGTAGGAGGAGAACAGAGTGAAGGGACACAGCAGCTCCACACTTTTATTCCCCGCAGGTTCACCCCAACACCACATGTGTAATATAAATGTGTGGGGGGTGTACTGTGTGAAGTCACTGAAAATGTGTTATTTTATATGTTCTTCACTGAAATGAGCAAAGGCCAAGGAATCTGAGGTTGAAATAATAATAAAACGCATCATTTTTTTTTTTTTTGGTAAACATTGGAAATGGGTCCCACAGACCCAAAAACCACACAAGCGTTAATTATTTAAAGGGATTTGCAGCTTAGTTTCCATAAGGGCAGGAGAGTGAATGATATATTTTGAAACTTTAACAATGTTAACACACTAAATCAAATTCTTCTGTTTATGGGAGAAAGACGAAGTGTTTGTTTGATGATGGGCTCTATAAGATAACCTTTTATGAGCAACAGCTGTTGTGTATGTAAGTCACAAAAAAGAAAGGGGGGCCCTATTGAATCATGTATGATAAAACGTGAAAAAAACATAAACTGCACAAAGCACCCTTGTACAGTTTACCACTAAAAAACATTGGAATGATAATGAAGATTTTTTTTATTAATGATGAATTGGAAATTAGCCGCTCTGTTTTTCTCCCACTGTCCAAAGACATGCAGTCAGGCCAATTGGACATGCTAAAATGCCGCTAGGTGTGAGTGCCCTGCCCTGCAATGGACTAGCAACCTGTCCAGGGTGTATCCTGCCTTCCCCCCGATGAACACTGGAATAGGCTCCAGCACCTAAAGGATAAGTGGCTCAGAAGATGGATGGATGGTTAGAAATTAGCCTGACACAAACAGTCAGTTAAGTGTGCATTTTGTGCTCTCTTTGTACCTGCAAACTGATACTGTACAGAAACCATCTAAAACACTCTCTTGTTGTTTGTTTTGTCAAAAAAAAGTAGCACTTGCACTCAGACTCTTGGATTATGAAAAGTGAAGCAATACACTGTCATGTGCAAAAATCAGAGACCACCCTTTCATTTATTTAAATTCCAGGCAAAAGTGCCATTAAGTACAAGTTATTCATGTCCAGCATCAGTATGTTTATATAAATAAGAACTAGCAGAAAATTTCACAGAAGCCTCAGCAACTAAATATAATTTCAAATTTTTCAGTATTTAATGTGTCCGGCCTTTACCTTCGTTTCAGGAGACTTGCTTTCAGTCTTCCAAATCTGCAGGGATATTCTTCCACATCTCCAAAGTTCAGTCTTAGAAGTTGTTCACCTGTTTTTTTCTCAATCAAAGGAAGCAAAAACATGTTCAATGACGTCGAGGTCTTGAATATTTACAGTTTCAGTGTTTTAGTTTAATGTTCTTCTTTGTCTGTTTTCTTTTCTCAGCAAGGACTTCTTGGCAGGTACACATCCTTTCAGACTCAAAGCATTGAGTTGTCTTCTCACAGTGGAAGGATGGACAGAAACACCTGTGGATTTTTTCAGATCTGAAGCGAGAGTGGAGCTCGATTTTTGTTAGAAGTCCCATTTTCTCTGTATTTTTCATCATTATTTTTTAACTCCAGATATGAAAATGCTTGTTTTTTTTCACGTATTTTCCTTTGATGTTGTCCTTCCTTTTGCAAGTGGATTACTTCATATCTAATCTGTATCCTGCTCTTGGCACTCTTTCAAGCAGCTTCATGAGGAACCTCCTTTATACTTAAGAAAGATTGTTCTCAAAGGGTTCTTTAGCAATTGAATTGTTCTATTTACATATAAATAAATATATAGAAACGGTTCTTTGCATGGTGAATTGGTTCTTCAGACTGATGGAGAAAGTGTTGTGCATGGTTCTATATAGCACCAAAAAGGGTTCTGCTTTGTTACAACCTTGACATAGTAACAATAGAAGAACCCTTTTGGTTCTATATAGAACCATTTTCAAAAAGGCTCTGTATAGGACCAAACACAATCTCCATCAATCTGAAGAATGATTTCACCATGCAGAGATGCATTTAAGCATTAAATAGTTCTATATAGACCTCATGGTTCCCAATAGACCCATTCCCTATACTAAAGAGCCCAAGAAAAGCCATCCTTTTTAAGAGTGTAGAATTCATGATTTTAAATAAAACCATTGTCTTTACTAAAGAACCCTTAAAGAACCATTTCCAGTGTGTGGAAAGCTTTTCCAGCAGTCTTGAAGAAGTTTCTTATACTGAATATGCTATGTATGCTGTAAAAGCACTTGTTGGCAACCTCAACCACTTGGTGAAGGAGTTCAAATATTTTGGAAATAAATCTGGCATCAGGTTATATTTGTACTTTGGAGCATATTTCCAGCATTTAAGAGCAAGACTTCAGATAAAAATATCTTAATAATTATAGAAAACACATTTTGTTAGATGTGTCCAAACGTTTGACCACTAGTTTATGTTTGCATGTGTCTATATTATATGTGCCACTTTAAACATCAAACAGATATTTAACAACATATTTCATACCCTGGTCATTAATAAAGGAATGCATTTGTTGTAGTAGCACGTTGTGAACATCAGAT